CTTGAACAACCCAATATATGTATTTGTGCACAGTCAGTAACAAACCTAATAAATAATGGTGTGGGGTTAATTGTGGTTTTGTTGTTGAATAAGGAAGCTATTTAAACAATATTACACAAATGCAGCGAACTATCGACCAACTTTGTAACACTCATACCAAAAATAATGCCTTAGTTTTTTACTATAAATTTTTGGTTTGAATGTGTATAAATTACTTGTACTGGGCACATGTGACTTGCCAAAACAGACAAGTGAACTGAGAAAGGGGGGAGGTAGAATATTACTGATAAAATGTCACCATGCCACATTCAATTGCTAATTCAAAACCTCATGATCAAACCCGAACAATAAAGAGATTTAACAATTTCTTTGTTTGCAAACGACTCTCTGTCGGATTTTAGAAAACCGGCCAACAAGTGAGAAACACGTGGCAGTTTTCATTGGTTGGTTTTCACTACAAAACTGGAATCGAATAAATAACTCATGAAACATATTCAGTGGTGTCAATTTAAAATAAATAAAAGATAATAGTCGAATGAAATCATTACAATAAGTTGTGCATGCAGTTTCATGCACAATCTTCTGCAAACTACCGTCTTCACTCACCCTTCGCCATTTTTTCTGAGGTGTAGCGTCGGCAATGTGTAAGTTACGTGCCCTTGATTCCTATTGTTTCCGCTTGGCGCTGCCACCTAGTCTGTGTCAGTGTGTGGCGCGGATCAAAAGAAAGAATGGTAACTCGAATTACAGTACGTAGTATCAGAAAGGGAGGGGGTCAGGCCTACCCTGACTTTCTCAAAACATACCTTCTACTACTGAAATTTTCATTCATGATGGAATAGCTGGTTGGCGTGCCACAAATCCCCACCTTTGCTGCAATACAATACGTCAAATCAGTATATTCAGGTAATGTGGTACCAAGTGTTACATCTTATCTAATCGGAATTTATTCTAGTGTGAAAATTTTTATTATGCGCCCGGATCGATAGATCTGAGGCGTTTATTGTTTTTGTCCTGTCTGTTTCACAGGTGCTTGAGGACAGGACCCCCCCCCCCCCCTTCGAAATAGACCCCTGGGCTTTTTCGACTTTTTTCTCATAAATAATCTTTCATTGACATATTTGTGATAAGCTCTATACCAACAAATCGAAGAATTACCTAAAACAAACGTTCTATAAAATCTACCCTACACTGTATATAAAAATCAACAAGGTTGCCAACTCCGTAAAAAGCTTATCGAACGGAAGTGATGAGGAGAGGACTAATTTCCCATATTCCCCATATAACCAAACATGTGTGTAAGATATCAACAAAAGATATATTCTTGTTTTTTGAACGAATTCTTCATAAAGATATTATTTTCAAATGTTTTGTAGATTTTATACGAAATATTTACGGAAAAGAAGGTATTTAAATAAATTGTATTTTTAAAAGGGCACAACTCTCAAAACCGTTACATGCAAATCAGGTATTTAAAAATAATTAGAAATATTTCATTTACATCAGCAGTTTAGAACTCTATTCTTCCAATACATTTGAAAGACATTTTTTAAAATGTAAATCAACCAAATTTCTTCAAATGTTTATCTCAAAACAGTGTTTCAGACTTTCTGCAGAACTGTGTATTTCGGTAAAAAGTGGTCTCCTCGTCACTTCCGTTCATTAAGCAGAAACGCTGACTGTAGCCTGACATCCTTTTGGAAAACTGACCATAACGACTGTTAAAGTGCCTTAACCTTCATGAGAGTTGGTGGTCAATGAAAAGAATATTCAATTTACAATACGAGTTGTTGATTTTAGGGCTTTGTTTAGATTTATGAGACGATTCAACCAAAATTCTCGGCAGTGCCTCTCGGTTTGCAGACGAAGTTGGCAACCTTGTTAATTTATATATAGAGAGTGGGGTAGAAATTTTTATAAAATGTTTATTTAAGCAAATTTTCTGAATGGATAGGATAGATTATATCACAAATGTGTCATCCATATATAATTCATGTGAAAAAAGTCTAACAGGCCCGGGGGTCTATATTGCGGGGGTGGGTGGGGGGGGGGGGGTCCTGTCCTCAAGCACCTGTGGTCTGTTTGTCTGTTTATCTGTTTGTATGTGTCTGTCTATGTCAACTTTAACCTTCGCCATAACTTTTGAACCTTGAGAGATAGAGACTTGACATTTGCTCATCTTCGCTAGCCAAGGGTTTCTGATACGCTACTCTCCTCATGAACCCTTGGCATACGGTGAAGTGAAAAGACGGGATTGTTTTCGTCACGTGATCTCGAATCTATCTGGTACGCATAGATTGCGTCATCGACAGAAATAAAGACGCGTGTTTTAAAACATGCCAAGAAAACCTTAGCATTCTCTCCGTATAGCAAACTCAATAAAAGCCGAATTAACATTAATCTGTGATTTTTCCCCTGGGAGACGTGCGGAAGCAATTAATGTCTGCAGTTTTGAGGGAGGGATCTTAAAATTTACTGGGTTAAAATTATAGGTAGACTAGAATACTAGTTATTTAGAAGCCTTTGCCCCCCCCCCATTGTCTTTTTCGGGTGGGGGGGGGGCGGGGGGGGGAATGAAATTAATTATAGTAAAGTAATTCTTCAATAAAATAAGCTGCCTTTCAATTTTTTTACGTAATACAATTTCAGAATATTTTTTCTCAGTACAAATAAATTGACATCGGGTAGTTGTGGAAGTACCGCGTCGAAATATAGATAAAAGAGTACCAAATTTCCGGAAGTTTACATCATTTCCTGGTGAGACGAGTACTGAATGGGTAGACGTTACCCGATTGGCTATGTATATATTTTCATTTTAAAATGAATATTTTCTTTTGATTGTTTTTTTCTTATTTTCTTTAGTCCAATTTTTTTTAAAATAAATAATGGTACCAGTGTCTCTGGCATTTTACGTATTTTGTAAATAAAGATATTTGACAGTAACTTTTTAGGGTATTTGTACTACTTCCTGGGGTGGAAGTTTATTTTTTCTTTAACTAAGAAAGCTTAAAACCTAGGATCCACCCCCAGAAGTCTGCTGCCGTAAATTGTCTTGCTGGCGTTTTGGGAATATGGGTGATTTGCATCAATTACACTTTTATTGACTCCATCGCTGTCGAAATCGGACGAGATTTCTTGGCATGAAAAATAAATCAGAAGTTTTTTCAAGAATAATCAAGAAGCAATAATTGAGTTATGCTTATTTATTATTTATAGTACAAATCTGAACTTCAATATAGATTTTTAATCACATATTTAGAAGATATTGGATGACACCGTAGCTATTCATAGAATTACATGTTATCTTATGGATCGTTGTTTACTTGCGTTTTCATTCCCCAGATTAAAAAGTCAAGAAGTATTCCGAACGCAAATATCGTAATTTACAAAAAACAATTGCTGATTGGTCGACCAGGTTTTACCGAATCCCAATCAGAACTCGAGAAAAAAACACCCAACTTCTATCAACACCGTATGCCAAGGGTTCATGAGGAGAGTATCGTTTCAGAAACCCTTGGCTAGCGAAGATGACATTTGCTATGCATACTCCACTAATAAAGTTCTTTCAAAAGACACCAAGGCCAATGATCTTGTGACCTTGACTGTGACCTACATGGTAAAAATAGCTTTTTCGAACTTTTACCATAACTTTCGAACCATAGGAGATAGAGACTTCATATTTGCTATGCATACTTCACTAGTAAAATTCACACAAACGACACCAAGGTCAATGTCCTTGTGACCTTGACTGTGACCTATATGCTAAAAATAGCTTTTTCCGAACTTTCGCCATAACTTTTGAACCATATGAAATACAGACTTCATTTTTCGTAATAAAGTTTTTTCAAATGACGCCAAGGTCAATGGCCTTGTGACCTTGACTGTAAATTATATGCTAAAAATAGCTTTTTCGAACTTTCACTATAACTTTTGAACCATAGGAGATGGAGACTTCATATTTGGTATGCATACTCCACTTATAAAGTTCTTTGAAATGACATTAAGATAAAGGACCTTGTGACCTTGACTGTAACCTATATGCTAAAACAGTTTTTGGAACTTTGTTGCCACCGGGCGCATAGTGTTTACAAACACAACTTTATTTGTAAAGTAAATGAAAGCACAGGTGCATGGGGATGGGACTTCCTCCCCCCCCCCCCCCGTTAGGTACCCCCAAGGGTTCTTTGACTTTTTTTTAAATAAAATATTTTTGTAGGACATATTCACGTATTACGACTGAAAAATCCAAAATTCAAGCTAAAACTAGCTTTTTATAAAAAAAAAAAATGTGAAAAAAGTCACAGAACCTTGGGGAGGGGGTCCCGTCCCCAAGCACTTGTGCATGAAAGAACTTGGAAGCCATCCACCATGCATCAGTTGCGGGGCCAACATGCTAAAAATAAAAGAATTTTTCAGTTTTAACTCAATGTTCTTTTTTATTTATTTCTAACATTTTTCTTTCCCGGCTTTCTATCTTCTTTCTTTCTATCTTTTTAATGAATATTATTAATTTAATTAATTGTGCTTGTCAAAGGCATGAAAATGAAGTCAAAGGTACGGGCACATGACGTTAAATATTTAAATAATACTAGTTATAACCCATATCTAATGTATGGGTTCTTTTTTTTTTTTTAATTAGAAAAAAATGTTATGACAGGTGCTTATGGAGAACGCTGAGAAAATACAGGTGCACTACAGATAATATATAGACAATATACAACAGTGCAAGGAAATTGATAAGCCTTCTCGTGCATAGTTTTTTTTCTCTTACAATGAGACTACATTATGTCTTGTTTTCCATTTTAATAAGCGTCTCTCCTTGCTTTGCTTCTGCATCTAAGGATTTCTCAGAGGAAGTACAATTCCTTTTCGAAAAAATTAAATTTCTCGAAGCAAACTACGGATCGCTTAAAAATGAAGTTAGAGTCTTACAAACTGAGGTAGGTGATCTTAAAGTTGAAAATGGAAAACTTCGCAAGCAGCTTGACGACCAAGAAAATATGGTGAAAGAATTGAAGACACAAATTAAAAATGGACTTTCAGAAGGCAAAGGTATTCAGAGGGACGATCAGAACACAAAACGCCCTCAGCTGTTAAATCATACAATTATAGGACAGCCACAAAGAATAAGTAAGTTTATTTAAGGTCAAATGACCCCTTGATAAGAGAGATAACTTCAGAATGAAAAAGATGGTCTGACTATAAGCACTATGATATCATTGCACTCGCTTCCCCCTCCTTCCAAAATTATAAAGCATAAAGCATTTTTTCTTATCACATTTCTCTATAATATCGTTTTAGATTTTTGACATTTTTGCTTCTGTGTGCAGGGAGAGCTTCTTCAAACGTTGGATTTTCTGCTTCTATAAATGGAAACATTGGAGTGGTCAGTAGCCAAGTTCTTGTGTTTGGAAGAGAAGTCACCAACGTTGACCATCGCTACAGCACAAGAAATGGACATTTCACGGCGCCTTACGAGGGCCTCTACTTTTTTACGGTGTCAATTGTCGCAATGCCGAACAAGTACATTGAGACAGAAATAGTGCATAATGGAGTCCCACTGTGCTACATTTATTCTGGAGAAGGGTCCGGTTATTATGGTCCTGGGACAAACTCCGTAGTGGTACAACTTGCCGCTGGGGATGACGTGTACGTACGTGTCCGAGGCGGACAGCACGGCTCGGGGAGCGTTATTGACGGAGTGTATTCAACATTTACGGGTTTCTTTCTCAGTCCAAATGTATGAATTCCTCAGTAAATTTAAATTTGTAAGTCTTGAAGGTTTTGTTTTTTTTGAAAGAATATGAAAGAGTCTTTTTTCGTACTTATTCACATGTCGATTAAGAGGGATATTTGCGCAACATTAAATGTTTTTTTTAGCTTAACTCTGAAATAGCCTATACATGTATTTTGAATTTAAACCTCGCACCTTACAGGGAAATGGGGAAGAATTCAATTTTTAAACTAGAATCACTCTACTGCATGATTATAGCTGCAGAACTGTAGCGTTTTGGTTTCATGGCAAAAGACCAATACATGTATATAGTAATACAGCCATAACGCTTTATGTAGTTCTGCAACTACTACATGATAAACTGCACAATTCTGTCAATTCTTCTCTAAATATCTTAATACAATGTATTGTAAACTTTTAGATCAAGCCTTGAATTTCTGAAAGAAGGTCACCATGACCTACTTATTGATCAACACATCAAATATGCATTAACTGAAAAACATGGATTTTTCAAAATTTATTATTAACTAAAATATTGAAATACTGTATACTCAGTATTTTCGCACCCTTTAACCTCGTCAAAAGTGGGTGAATTAAAAACGATGCGAAACCAAAGTCTTGAATGCATTTGTGTATGTGCGTATTTAAAGAGGTAAATCGTTCTCTCGTGTGAATGGGCAAAAATAACGCTGTATACAGTATAAATGTCATCGATACCGACTTCTTGGCTGACATCTTCAGAAGGCAAAAATTAGTTAACTAAGAAAGTTTGATGATTCTAATCCTCCTACAGTATCCTAAATATCAAGATAAAAACATAAAACTCCAAAAAAGATATATCAAACTGACCTACTTTCAGGTTGAAACCCCCCACCCCAAAAAGATAACTCAAGATGCATCACTGCCGAAATTTGGTTTCTTTCAGCCTCTTATTATCCGAAGCATTGAAATAATTGTAAGACTTATATACAGTGAGTGAAATTTCCAAAATAGGTCACGACAAAACTGGGGATGGGGGTTGTCATACTTTATATTAAAACCTAAATTCCTCAGCAAATATGGATTATCAATCGGTCCATCGCATGATATAAACTTCACAAGATTTCAAAATCATTCACAACTGAGAAGTGCGACTGTGTTATGCGCCAAACTCCTCTATTGCTTCTGCTCATTCTCTTTAAAATAAAAGAACATAGTTCTGGGTTCATGTCATTCCCCAGACTTAAAGATTGAGGGAGGGAGGGTTGGTTGTGTTTCCAGTGTGTACAAACATTTTTGGCACATATTTTAAAATTGAACGTCTAAAAATTAATGGTTTTATTCATTTGTCGCAACATACTAGTACTCTTTGATTGAGTTATCTTTCTTTTTGTACTTTCATCTTATTTAGTACAACTAACTTTGTCATCAGATTTAGATATATTTTATTACAATGTATCTCATAAAACATAAATGGAGTTAGAGGGGACCTCTCTTTTCAAGCAGACAACAACACACTTATTAAGAGAGATCAACAAAAGAGTTCATTAAACATTGCAGAATTGGAAGCCCTATCAACTTTCTACAATGTACTGTACACAAGCACTGGGGAGTCGGTTGTGAAAACTTCCTGAACTGTAATCTTTCTCCTGTTATGTGGTGACACCCTCCCCCTCCACGCCTTTTCTATATAGATTTTGTATCTATATGTACATTCGTTCCTAATAAAAGCAATATATTAGTTATCTAGGATGTATATTATGGGCTTTAATAAAAGACACAAAATTGAAAATAGTGAAACAGCCTTGAGCAATGTCTCTTAACGCCCCCCCCCCCCCCCCCCATCACCACCACCACATTCAAACGCGCTGAATTCTGAATGCAATTGACATATCTTCTCGAAACATACGTTTGACACTTACAAGATAAAACTAAAGAACACAGAAATCAAGAAAGGGCTTGTCAAGAAAAGCTTCTTTCTTTCATATATACACATGTATTTGACTTTTCCTATCAATTTAAGAGTCGGTGTTCCAATTTTTGGATTGAGTTTACTTCAACTTTTATGAAAGGAATTCGTTCATATTTGAGGACTCTGGCACGTTTCATTACTATATCTACAGTAAATGAAACGTGTCTAAAAATTCCACAGAATTGAGGAACGAGTTCCTTTGATCTGCGTTACAATATTTAACCTTTAAAAAAATAGATTACCTAGAGATATATTTTGTAGGTACCACTCAACGAAAAGTTACATTCCTTACTGTCCTTTTCAATGAAAAATGGATAAATCAGGACTGAACATGGAAGTTTTATATATTTCAGACAAAGGAAGTATATTTATATTACATACAACCTATAAATAGGGGTTTATCTCTTTTGGATTGATTTGTCTCTTTTTAATACATAGGTATCAGAATCACAAGTTTTCTGATTGAATTATTAAACTGCGTCTTGTTCTACATAATTAAGTTTTATACGTATACAAGTACAGAAAAAAGTAAAAGTAATTCAATTGTGACGTTCTCGCAAGTTTCGAGATTATCTCCCTTGGTGCGCTCTTTGGTTGAGGAGGGGGGTTTCGTTGCCGCGTAAACAAACAGGTGGGACAGATATTTGATACTGTGTATGTTGGATACATCGCATCATCGATATACCGGTTTATCATAACTACACGATTGTCAAAATGCACTCTACAACTTGAGAATAACCGAATTAAAGTAAGGGCATCATTTTTTACAGCAAAAAATCGAAACAAAAAAGAAAATATTAGTGGATATGAGACTTTTCGGATGAGGGAAGAGATATGGACCTCTAATAAATACGGTACACATGCATCTGATCATTGCACGTCGGGAATCTAAATGACATATTGATTTTTTTCCTTATTATAACTTGAAAACACTAACTTTTCCTAAAATGTTCGTACAATAAAGAAAATCGGTTTCTAGTACCTTTTATAAAGACTACGACGTTTCTTTCGTTTTCAAGTACCCGAAAATTGATAGTTGATTTGTAAATATGCATAGTTGAGCTTGATAAAATCATCAAATGCATCACTGCCTAACATTATTATCTTTCTATAACAATTTAAAATTTTAGAAGTCATTAATATCATTCTTTTATTTATGCACGTTTGTATACATGTAGAGACCACCTGTCCCACCTCCATGCTGAAATGGGTACTTTTTGCGCCTCTTTCGTAGGAGAGTTACAATCCCGAAACTCGCGTAATTTTGGCGTCACTTTAATATATTTGTGTTGTAATAATTATGACGTCACAATAAGGCAGATGCTAGTGACATCACAATGGCAGTGTAAGGGTGCCACAAATGAAAGAGAGTGAGAGAGAGAGAGAAAGAGAATGTTTTATATTGTTTACAAAATGATCAATATATAAAATGTTACTAATATTATAATCTTCTATAGAGTATTTGTCATTCATTTGCTAATTCTTCTCAGAGGACATCGTTAACTCTTTACTCCAACATCTTTCGTTTGGGGTAACCAGAGGCAAGATAACCCTCTCACATCACCTACAATACGAAATATATTTTATTAAATCTCTTAACAGATACAGAAAATAACCCTATCCACAGGGATGGGAAGAACCATTATCTTACATAAATAATTCAAGCAATGTTACACGGCTTTGAACGAAGAAATTATTAGGGTTCTCGATTTTCTCTCAAAATAAATTCAACAAACTCCCCGGAGCTTTTGGAACTGAAGGCAGAGATAACGTAGTATGGAATTCCCTTCTGGTGCCTCAAAACATGTGTCCAATCAAGAAAGGAGAGAAAAATGTGTGAATTTTAACACCTTCGGCGACGGGGGTCAGAAGAGATTGGACTAACATCCATCAATGTTGAGCATCGAAATCTAGGTAAGCAAGGTATTTTCTGTTTGGAAGGATGGCTTTTTTTATCCATTGCAGGCGTTTCATTGCTCGTGAAACTTTTTTGTATGAACCACTCTTATCCTCGTTTTATTTGCAATTTTCCTCCCGTTATGTGTGTAACATTTGTTGGGTATACCTAAACTTACTTTCTATTTTACCCCCATAATGTTATTGTACAGTTTGACTTCTATCTACAACTTTTATTTTGGTTGCTTGCAGACGCTCAGACTTCGTATACACGGGTGATAAAAATTGAAAAGAAGAAAATTGAACAATCTCTAATTCTCGCCTGGCCTTTGTGAAATCTGTCGCTTTATCGGGGAATATTTGCCGATATGCATGTTTGTTTTACAAGAGCGGAGCTCCACTGTCTCCCTGATAATACCCAGTGTCTGGGGAAGTTTTTTTTTTTTTTTACCCGATTTTGTTTTCGACATAAATTTTCGCTTTATTTGTTTGACAGTTTATTTAAAGATGATGATAAAAGATCATATGCGTTTTCGGATAGAATGCTTTATAAATGCATAAATTATTTAGAATTCTTGTATTATCTAATCTCTAGTGTTCGAATATCTGAATTCAAAGTACACTCAACTCAGGGAAGTTGATGTTTACGAAATTTATGAAGACAGAAATATATATTTGAAAGGAGTATAAGTTGAAAACACTTTCTGAAAAAAAAATTATCATGAAGGAAAGTTAGAAAATTACTTATTGTTCGTTGAATAAGGGAAAGGAAATATGAATTTACTCTTTCCAGATTAAGTATCTCAGGCCTACATTTTTATTTCTCTTTGAGTGAATAGCTGGTGGAAGTATAGTGTGGATTTTGACACTTTTTAATTTCTTTAAAATAGGAAAGTTTTTGTTCCTGTGATATCATGATATAAATTAGTTATATTCAACTGTCAGAGATTCAGAAAGAGAGAGAAGGAGAGAGAGATTTAACTGTCAGAATTTTTTAAAACTTTTAAAAATGACCAGAAAATATAATTTCTTGCATGCACTGCTGATCAATGAGACAAAATTTGTAACATACATGCATGTAATATACATGTGTGGTAAGGGTTTTCTTGGTATAAAAAAGAATTAAAAGGGTACAATGTAACTTAATTAAATGAAAATAAATGGATATTAATTATGTGCATTAATTTTAAACTGCAAAAATTTTATCTTAATTTTTCTATATTATAGCATTTTTAACACTTGTCTCCAGATCTTAGAAACAGTTGAAGTTTGCAATTGGTAAACATGATTTGTAACTCAGTCAGATTATTCACATTGCCCTCAAGTTGATACTTAATTTATAATAATGGAATAAGGATGAATGTATTGATATTTTTAATAATGAGTTTTTCAAAACTTAAACGCAAGAACATTTCATGCTTATTATATGGAAAGTTTCAAAATGCAAGTAAAAAATGTTCTGACATAAATTTTAACATGTCAAAAGTTTCTCCTTGTGTGTTCTACACTGGTGCATGTGAATTACCTTACCAGTAAATAAAATCAAAGGGAAAGGGGTATAAAATTTATATATCGATATTATATAACATTTAAGCTAAAATTCATTTTCAGTGCAAAAAAACAAAAACTTCATGGTTACTGTTTAGTAAACTTTTAAAGGGGATCTTAAATCTTGTCTTGTACTTGAAATTCGAGGTGTAATTTATCTTTTTTGCAGCTAAAATTTACAGTTTTATGCCCTGTAAATCAGTCTTTTGGCATTTTCTTGCAGCTTTTAAAGCAATTAAACAAGAAACCTGAGAAGACTAATGCTCAATTTGGAGTCAGTTCCACCTGATATATATATTATCAAATGTAGGAGATAGGGAAGAAACAGAGAGATTTGTGGGGCTAATGTCTAGCACATCTGAGGCCATTCAATTGGTTAATTACTGATAATGAAGATAAATGATGTTTATTATAAGATTATGAGAACAAAATTGTAGCCAGCTAGGAGGATGGGGTTAGTTCATCCAGCTTAGGGGATGTGATAAAAACTTGATCTGAGGTAAGGGAATTTGGTGTCCTTTGAAATTTTGTTTTGGAAAATGTAAACCAGATGATGTCAAAACTGAACTGCTGCACAAGAAAAAAAAATCTTTTTAAAAGAAACTGGAAAGTACAAATAAACAAGCTTTGCCAAGTTGCGTTGCTAGATAATGATGCAAGTAGTTTTTTTTTGTCTTCTCAGCATGCACACATTTTCTTTTTTTCGGAGCAGTACTTGTAAGTTTCTGTAACGAGTTCTAATGATGACAAGAGATAAAGTTATCATTTGGGATATTTGTGAGAGGCTTGAAGTAAATGGAGTGCACATTTATTGTTGTGCACAAAAAGGCCGACCTGTCATTCTTGCCTGCAGTTTCTGCATTTACATTCCTGGAAAATGGATTGTACCATTGTGTGCTTAGACGGCTCTAGTGTGAAAACTCCATTACACTGATGAAGACCCAAATGATCTAAAGTGACTCACAAAAGGGGGGCTTCCCAAGGGGGAAATAATTTTCCTGTTTGGTTAAGCAGATGGACCTTGCATCAATGGGTTGGACATCAATATGGCATATCAATTAATGCCCAAGTATTAATCCAGAGTTTTATCACTGATGTTATGGAAGTAATACTTTTCAAACACTACAAGGATTCTTCTATGCTGGGAATAGCCATTGAAACATTTTAGTTCTTGTAAGGGGATTTGAATAATTTATTTGTCATGCAACTGTGCCCTAAATACAACATTTGCATTCAAGGGATATTTTCTGACTCGTTATCATCAATGCGAAATAATTAACAATATAAAAGTGCTTTATTTTTCTAATGCAGATTTTTAGACTTTTAAATATTTTAAATCAAAAATGTTGAAAAAACGTCCAAAAATAAATCTTGAGATTTTTCTCAGCTGTTGCCCAAGGATAAACAGATTTCATTTTAAGCTGCCTTTTCATAAAATTATTTATGTCCCAAAAGACAGCTGACATAGCTTAAGCTGTTAACCATTATTTGTGAAAACTCTTTTGAATGATGGATTTTTTCAGATTTATTATTTTAATCCCTGGCCACAGACACAGTGAGCTGGCACGATTTCCCTTCTGCTGCCCTGCTATCAATGATAACTTATTATTGATTGACACCACTTGTGATTTTTCTGATAAATAATTGATCTACTGTTGGACATGGTCATTGGATGAACAGAGTTGACACTCTTTCAGATAATGGTCATCCATTTAATAAATGACCACCTACAGTTATGTGCAGAAAAAATTCAAAAATCAAATCTATTAAAATCACTGTATGTGTATATATAGTAGAGGAATTTATTGAAATTTTTAAGGTATTTTTTTTGTATCCATGGGTATTTATGTTTGTTGAAACTATTGGGACACGATTTTACAAAAAAGGCAATAGAAATTTGATAGATTAATTGTTAATTAACTTTATAGCATTTACTCCCAATTGTTTTATCCTATGATAACAAATTTTAGGACCATTGTCATATTGTGCATGCAGCTGCCCAGAAAGTTGTTTGTATAGGTTAATTATTACCACTTCATAATTATAATAATTACCAGTATATGATGTTATCATTGATGTTATATAGATTGTGATATATATATCCTTATGGGAAATGTCAAATATATCCGTTTCATACTGCATGAAGATGAATTGTTTCCTTACTAATTATATAGGGGGAAATCCGTACACAGTAAAGTGATATAATATCTTTGTACTAGAAGGATATTAATATATTGCTGTGGGTTTTTGGACAACTTTAATTAAATTGAATAGCAACATTGTTACAATCCATTTCTTGCCTTGGTGTGAATTGCATGCATGACTGTGATGGAATGTTTATTGGGATCAAGTTTCAGGTTGAACCTATTCATCCTCACACACCTGGGTTTAAACAGCACACCTAGTTGCAAACACTGACTTCATGAGTTATTGTCATTTAGCCGGTGCATTATTCTTCTCTTCCAGTTTGCCAGCAGCTAATTACGCATCACCAGTTAATTTCTCCTGGGCTGGTACGAAGACAGGCTGACATTGTCCAAAGAGTCAACCAGGGAATTGAAACCAACAAGAAACTGCAGGATGCAGTTGTCACCATGGAAACGTCACTTCGCCTTTGAAGGTATTTCTAAAGGAGTTGTATTTTTCCTTTCTTTTGCTTCTTTTATTTTCTTTTTTATAAAGTAATATTAAAGTGCCTGGTATCTTGCTTTTATGATTTTTCCTGCAATTTTTGATTCATTAGAAAACTATATCCGTAAATCAAGAGCGATGGGGGAAAAAACCCTTAAGATCGATCGATATCATTTGCTATTTGAAGTCAGTGAGCTTTTGATTGCACTGATTGCATGACTATATGGGATACTGGTTCCAGCCAAAATCAATTAAGACATTAGATACACTTGTAATTATTTTAACTAGTTATTTTTTTTAACCAAATGTCAATACTCGAACAAAATACGGGGCATAAAATCATTGTGCGATAAATTTTGTCTGTTGTTTTATTGGATAGATATCAAATTTGCAGTTTTGTGATAAATTATGTATCATGCCTAGAAGTATAATAATTGCATCATTTCGATTTTTCCTGCGAGCATTCTTTTTTGGGTAGGATTTGTCAGATTTTGAGTAAACATTTTTAATCGGAGTAATTACTGAATTTTTAACACTTCAAAGACATTGTTGTGGGGAATCTTTGTTGAGCAGTGAGACACCTATGGTTTTTTTCTATCTATCAAAGCTTAGTTAAGGGGAACTGGTCAAACAATCTTTGACAAATATCCATTGTGAATCTGATACTTAAGTCAACAGATCTCAAAGAAAACTTGTGTGATTTTAAAATTCAGTGCCTTAGAGTAAACATTCCTGTTTCATCCATGTGGTGTTGAAATTTACAGCAGGCTTTGTCAGCGAAAAAAAAAAAAGAAAATTGGTATTTTACTTTACCTAAAAGTTTTACGGAAGGAAAGATGTATCTAGAAAAAACATTCTTTCTAGTTAGAGCTAGAAAAAAATCAATTGTGGTAATTATCGATGAAAGTTGACCAATTGTAAGATGTGATTTATTTGCGAGTGGTCCCAGACTGAAATGTTTTTCCTCCTTTATTGGCAGGTCTGATGGGTCTCCTGAGAAACCACACAAGAAATAGTTCCTAATCGCTACAAATGGAGAACCATCTGATACCGGGGAGATGTTTCACTACCATTTATGGTGAAGGCTTATTATTGGATTATGCGAACACCGAAAGAAAATTTTGCTTCAGTTAGGTGATATATGGATCTTGATGTGTTTGCGATCTGATACTCTTTGTTACAATGCCTGGGTTTGGATGAGGCCACTTTACGTGTACTTAGCCATGGTACTAAAAGTGCGCCGAAGATCATGGCGGATTTTGATTGTGACAGTCTCGCTGATGACGATGGGATTTTTGTGCGTTTTAAATTTGCTGGTTCATGAATTGAATTTTTCCGAAAAGATTGTGAATAGAAAGAGTGAAAATGAATTTATTTTCAAAGACCCGCAAACCTATATTGCGCAGGGAATAAGAAAACCTCAATCAGCGGTTGATAAAAGTGACCAAGACAATGTTAATTTAGATCAGGGTTCATATAGAAAGTATATTTTTACGTCCCACAACAACATTCCAAATGACATTGAACAAGATATCGAACAAGATGATAGTGATGAAGAATACACAAACGTAGAATCAATGAAAGACGATGACAATGACAATGATGATGACAAGGATAACAAAGATGATGAATTTGATGATAACCATAAAATTAGTCCTCATTTAAAAAAACAGAGGATATTTGAACCTTATGATTTCCAGAATATGTCCAAGCTCATATTTGCCAAACCACCTTTGCGATTCCAAGAAGTTCCTATTAATGGGAAACAAATGGTAGGAGAAATGGCCGAATCTGATAGGAAGGAATTCTCTGGGAAGCGAGCAGTTTCTGAGCAGATCTTCTGGAGTGCATATGTAGAGAAAATGGTGCCCAAAGGTATCCCCTCAAGAAAAATATTGATATAAATCATAGGAGTTGTCTGTTTTTATAGATAGGATCATATAAATATCTGCCTGTGTAATGGGGAAGTGAAAAATGGTAGCTCAGAATATTATTCATCATGAATGGTTTGTTTGACTTGGAAAAGAGGATGCTTTTTTTTATAGCACATTTACATTCACTTATGCATGTTATGTAAAATGCAGAGGTTAAAAAATCATGTTAATTATTTTGAATTACTATTAATTTGAAAGGAAAAAAATCATATGAATTACCGTATAAAATTTTTATTAAACCTATGATACAAATTTGATGAAAACTGGACCATCTGTTTTAGTAAGAAATTTAATTCACAGAGTAAGATGCCAACAATGGGAAAAGTTAATGCAATAATTAAACCCAAAAAAAAATTAAATTTGAAAATTTTTCCAGTAAAATTAGTTTTTAGAAAAGCAATCCTGGAAATTCTTTTCAAAAATCTATAAAGTTGTGTGTAAATGTATACAAAAAAAACTTGTTTTGTACGAATACGGATATTGCAAATTCATGCAGATGTAGTGAAGTCATCTTGGATCCCCAGCTATATAAACAGTGATAAATTTTATGAATTTCTTATACGGTTATAATGAATTATGGATCGATATATCGAAGTAATTTCATAGGCCAATTTGTTATAACCAAGTTTTGCTGTATTAATATTTTTTTCTTAATTAATTTTGGGAAGGAGGATAAAAATTAGAATGACTTTCATTCTTTGATGTATGTTATCTATTAAATAGTATATTTCTCAGCATTTCCTTCATGACACATATAATAAAAGGTAGATGTTAGGACATACGTACCACTAAATCTCGGTGATGAAGCATGCTCAAGAGCTGCATTATCATGTTTTCACAACATAAATATTTATGTATTATAACAAATGAATGAAGATAATTTTCAAAAAAGTTATAAAATGCAGGATATCTTTACAATATTTTTAAAAGATAGTGATCGCGAAAGGGGTGTTTAATGGCTGAAATGAAAAAGATAAATTAACTTTTTTTTAACACACATATATTGAACATAGGGGCTGCATACTAAGTACCCGGTTTTTGTTGGGAGAGCAGTGAATAGTAAACCTATACCCGGTGTTATTTGAGAGGCAAGAACCCAGTGAACTGAGCCATTTAGTTGAATTCAGGAACTGATAAGGATCTAAATGTTAAATGATCAAATATTAAATTATAAAAAGTCCCAATCATTTAAACCGCGACAGTAAAACACATTTGTGACAGGTATGAGGCGATAAGAGCTTGTAGCTGGCCAGGTAAATGATAGGTATTACCTGTGTTCTGTGAAGCTCGAAAAGGGGTCGGAGGTCAACACATTTCTTCTCCTGTTTTACATGAAATCATTTTGGGGGATCAGATTCATCGGTGTTCGTTTTGGAGATCTGTGGAACATGTGTAAGATCTATCGCAGATTGATCATAGTGGATGCAAAAACTCATTCCGTGTGTTTATATACCCCCCTAGATAATGTTTAAAAGGTATTATTTTGTTTACAGAATGTTTTTCAGTTTTCATCATATAGTAATTTAATTGAGCAGTGTCAGAGTGTTGAGGAATAAGATATTGACTGTGCAAAAAGTTGGTGCGAATTTGTGCTATTAAGTTATATTGCATTAATTTCCATTCCAATAAAGTACCCTGAATACCTAATACAAATTGTCAACACCCACCCACCCAAATTCTCTCTCTCTTTTCTCTCTCTCTCTCTCTCTGACACACTTAAATTTCTTATATGAATTAAATTCTACTGAAATTTAGAAATGCTCTTCAAATTGTGTATTCTATTTGGAATGGTGGTATTTGTATTAAATATTTAAAAATATGTGTCTAAATTTTTATTGAAACTTTGCATTAATTAGATATAAAGTAATTTTCTCAATGGTTCGAGACTCTCTTTGTAATTTTCTTTTGATAGAAGAAAAAGAAATAAGTTTATGATATAAAAAAAATCTTTACAATTTAAGGACTCAAGGAAAAAATGTTTATTAATTTGCCAGGTTTCCACACAAAACAGCTCTTGGAACACAGCTATAGCTTTCAAATTGATAGTTTCTGTGAATAAATTCATTCCATTGATTACTTTAATTCAATTATCTTAATCAGAGATTCTTAATTTCACTCTATAGTATCATTCAAATACTCTGAATGTGTTTATTCATATTCTGTTGTTTGAATTCATATATTAAATGTATATTGTAGCATTTCCTAGGCCCTAATTGATGATGATTATGCAAGAGAGCAAATATCGTTGAACTTTATTTTCATTAATCTTACACTGACAGAATGCCATAAGCCAATGAATTTCAATCTATCACAGAATATTCTCAAGAGAGGTGCATGCAAGGCTCAATTTGAAAATAGACACCTCAAAGGAAAATGGCAAAGATAAGAACACTCCAATTTCTTTCATTATTTTCACCACCTTAATTAAAAGCCGGGCTCCAACTTGTGTTCATTACCTGAACGCATGATATTTTAGAATATAAAATATGTACCAAGCAATCTTTGTGAAGATCGAGGGTTAATGAAAAATTCTGACATTCAAGAAATATTGGATTTTTCATGCATGCTGCATTTGATTTGTATTTTAATGAGACTTTTGGTCTCATCTTTGATATTACATGTGGGAAGTTTCCAAGAGGAAAAAGCTCCTCTTTGCATGAAAGGTATCAGCATCGCTGCCAGCAAGCATTAACAAAAACCCTGATAGAGAAGAATTTAATAACGTGGGTAAACAGCTGTGTTCGCACCAAAAGAAACACAGCTTTAATAGAAAAGATCTATTACTGTAATGGTTAAATCAAGCAGGTAATTTGTTTATTACAAGGAGTAACCTTAGATGGTGAGATAAGTTTCTACTCACTCAAAGGAAACACTTCATAATCAAATCCTGTTATCTGTTAAACAAAGCTGAAACATCCTACATGTATGTTCATATACTTGTGGAACTCAGAGCTATTTGATGTGCAAGAAATAAATGATTTTATATGATAATAACATAATTTTCAATTAAGAAAGCATACTGCTTTACTAGCTCTGCTGAAAAGGGTTTGACTTGTCAAAATGGGCATAAAATATTTATATATATACAACAAATTTGACTATTTCCTTGATCTAGTTTGAAATTGAAAATACTTGAAGAAAATAATTTTTGATCCATGTAAAAGGGAACATTGAATTATTTTATAGAACAGAATATTCATTCTAATGCACATAACACTTATTTTGAATTAGTTGTTTACACACAATTACATGAAAACATTTTCAAGATAAGTTATTTTTAGCCATTAAAAGCATTGCTATTTTGATTTAATATGAGGAGTTGAGTTTTGTGGTGAAAACAACCTTATAATAAGCATCAAACATTTTAGATAACTCAAGCTCCTTAAAGGCTAACACAAAGTACACTGTACATCAATTCAGCTTTAATTGCTTTCTTTGTGATGAATTATTTAGCAGTCAAAGTGTGAACTCTTGAATTTTTTATTTTCTTCTCATAAACAATATTTTGGTGTTACAATATATATGTTCTGATTAGAAACCTGTGAGCCACCATTTTATTTGAATTGCCAATGTGCTAAAAAATATATCTTATTCTTAAAATATAAGTATGTTCAACTTAATTTAGTTGTTCATTTTTTTTAATTAAAATTGAAAAAACAGAGGGGCAGTAATTGGGTTTGAGATTAAGCTTTTATTTCGATATGTGTACAGCAAAAATTGTCAAAAAAAAAAAAGAACGTCCTGATGTTGTGTATTTTAGTCCCTCCTAGCTGATTTAATAGTTTAAAATGTTTTCTAATTACATGTCTACAAAAATGTTGTTTAATCTGGCCAGTTTCAATTTCTATGGCATCATTGCTTTGAATAAGACATGTTTTACTGTCCATTTGCAAAATTTATGTGCTAAAAACACTTTGTTTACTAAAAGTTGTTTGATAAAATTATTATTTTCTATTCTTCCAGGTTTCTCAGATGAAGAAGTGTTCAACTACACACAAGTGGTTACTAAAAAGTAGAATTTTTTGTGAAAAGTGTGGACCTTAAGAATGCTTACATCACTTGAAGAACAGTTTATGGTGTGTTTCAATATAACTTGTCACACAAGGTAAGATTAGCAGAAATTTGTAACACATTGAATTTGGCTCATCAGTTAGGGGGGTAAGGGCAGGGAGAGGGGTTACTGACCATAGGGTCAAGACTTCAGTGACAGCTTGGTACAGCTGCTTTTCTACTCTGCGGAGAGGATGATTCATGAACAATGTTATTAGATCACTCTGCTTGTATACGTTATGAAATAAATAAACATGCTAACAAGCTTTCTTACTGACATACAACAGAAAGTAGTCTATTTCAGTGTAAATATTTTTTTCATATATTCGATCAATGCATACTATCTTTGCAAGATATATAACTGTATTCAGCGGCAGCTCACACATATTAGTCCGACCAAAATAATTCCATCATGATAAGTAGATACAACATTATTGTTCATGATAAGAGTATTTAGTTGTGTATGTCATACGTTATAAATCAAAAATAACGCACAATATCATTAGAAAGTCACTTTCCCCCCGAAATGCAAATAAAAAATATCAATATTCCTACGTTTCCTTGCCTTTTTTTTTTTTTACATGTTTGATAACAGAGAATAATTAGGTCATTCTTCGATTCATATCTTTTCACCTATGAATTGATAATACTATATCAACAATTGTATTAAGTACATGTTTATAGCCCGTTAATTATCATACAATTTGTTCTTAAAGAAAAAATTAATCATTCTTTGTATGTGTATGTGTGCCTGCTCGTGTGTACACTTTGTAAACTGTAGGGTATGTGTGGCAAAACGATGAATGGTGTTGCCATGGTTATACCATTATATATAGAACTTGAATAATGTAAGTAATTTCTGCGACAAATACATTAGTATATTTCAGTTATTTTCAAAACAAAAAAGGTTTTCCATGTTTTTGTTTAGATTTCAATATAACTTGGCCATTTTAAACACAAGTTGATCATTGCAGATGAAAATGTTAGAACAAACTATATATAGTTCAACAGGGATTTTAATTTTTATTAATCACGGTGTTGCCATATGATCTAATAAAAAAGAAAAGTTTTCTGTAAAACTTCCTTAAACAAAACGTGTTTCTCCGAGCTCGCTGGATGCGTGTGACAGCTTTGCACGTGTGTAGACCAAGGCTAAAATTGGTCTTGCGGACACAAGTACATGTAGGCCTATGTGTACTGTTTGTTAGAACTAGTGACATCTGTTTTTACAACAGTTCCATAATTAGACAGTGCAGTTTTTTTTTATTAACGTCATTATAAACACTGTTAAACATATTAAATCTAACAGTCGAATATCTTTGGATATGGGGTAACCCATATCTATTCTTGTTATTTTAGAAATTATTGAGAGTTCAGGAAAAGGTCTCTTGCTCTGTTGGAGGAGTAATTATAGTTATTTCAAAAAAAGATGTAGAAACTAAATTATGAAAAAGTAATGAATTAATTTGAGTGATTATCATTTTTGATTTCTAAAATGTTTTTAGCTATGGTTAAGGCTCAAAATAGAATTTTCTGTGGACATTTTGTCTTAAAAACGCTACTCCTTCTACAGTTTTTGTCTTTTCACATTTCAAAAGAACCACTGGCACACAATTTTGACTAAACTTGGTACAAAGCATCCTTAAAATGGAATTTAAATTGTTAAAATCAAGTATCCCCTCGCAAGGGGAGATAGACTTCTGGTTTTATTAAAAAATCTTCTTCTCAAGAACCACTGGGCCAGTAAAGCTGAAACTTATGTGCATTGGGGTAGTGTATTTTAGCTAAATTGTTCAAATTTCATGACCCCCGTATACACAATGCAAAAGTTTTATATAGAGAGAGAGAGAGAGAGAGAGAAGAACCACTGGGCCAGAAAAGCTGAAACTTATTGGATGCATCTTGGTATAATGCTAGATTCTAAATAGTTTAGAATGTTTTTTTTTTACATAGAAATATATATTGGAAAAATCTTTGAAAATGTGGGCCAGAAAAGCTGAAACTTATGTGAAGCACCCTGGGGTAGTGTAAATATTGTACAAATGACCCTGGGGGACAATTATCAATTTTTACATAGTGTATATTGGAAAAATTTGGTTTCTTCTCAGACACTGGGCCAGAAAAGCTGTTATGTGGAACATCCATTGTACAAAATTTCAGTGCTTTTATATAAAATATATAGGAAAAATCATTTAGTGTACTAAAAGTCTTGTAATAAAATAATTATTTTCCATTCTTCCAGGTTTCTCAGATGAAGAAGTTTTTAACTACACCACAAGTATACAGTCCCAGTCTGTGGACAATGTGGAGCTGGCCTCTTGGAATAAGTGTGGACGACCCAAGAATGCTTACATCACGCTGAAGAACAAGAATATCGTGTGTGCTCGATACAGAGACTCGCATGTCAGGTTCATTCTAGGTAAGATTAGCAGAAATTTGTAGACACATTGTAGTGTTTGGCTCATCATTTAGGGGGGTAAGGGCAGGGAGAGGGGTTACTGACCATAGGGTCAAGATTTCAGTGACAGTTTGGTACAGCTGCTTTTCTACTCTGCGGAGAGGATGATTCATGAACAATGTTATTAGATCACTCTGCTTGTATATGTTATGAAATAAATAAACATGCTAACAAGCTTTCTTATTGACATACAACAGAAGGTAGCCTATTTCAGTGTAAATATTTTTTTTTATAGAAATTATTTAGAGTTCAGGAAAAGGTCACTCATGCTCTGTTGGAGGAGTAATTAGTTATTTAAAAGGAGTAATAAGTTATTTAAAAGAAAGATGTAGAAATTCAATTATGATAAAGTAATGGATTTATTGGGGTGATATCTTTCTTCTATCACATTCTGGATAAATTGATTTTTATTAATAGTAACTAGTTTGGTAAAAACCAATCTTTTTTTCTAATGGGTAGTTGAATATCAAAAGTAGATAACTCTGGATGGTGAGCCTGTGGTTTTTCCTGTGTTTTAGGGGAGGTCCTCTCCTTCTACCTGTCTCGTTTGTTGGGGATGGACAATGTCCCCGCTGTGGTCCTGTCCACCACCGCTGCTGGTCAGTGGTCAAAGCATAATCTGGACAGACTGAACTGGAAGGAGAACCAGCTAGTGGCTCTGATACAGTGGATCCCTAACATGGACACATATAGGTACAAGTCACTATAGCTGTACCTGGTACAGTCAAACCTTGTTATTGCAAATTCAATGGGACTGAGAAAAGTGTTTGAAATTTGAAGCTTTAAGAAGTCAAGGATAAAATGCTAAAGGTTAAGTGGTAGGGAATTCCAACATCGAGAACACAGTAATTCATACAGCAATGTCTTCGAAGTTAATATGTATAAATACAAGATGTCTTCCAGTGAATATATATACCCTTTTATGCCCATCATTAAACATGTTTAGATAAGTGTATATATATATATATATGTATCATAATATATGATTATTAGGGATCTTGCACTTCTTTTGTAGTTCTTATGTCAAAATTCCCAAAAGGATCCTACAGGCTTATCAGAGTGGGCAGCCCATTCATGGTGTCCATCTTAAGAATGCCAGTCTGCAGGAGGTGATAGAACTACAGCAGTGGGGCAGCTTGTTCCTGTTTGACTACCTGACTGGGAACTATGACAGGTGAGAGAGAAAAAGATAAAGGGAGATAAATCATCCTGGAGAAACTGCTGCCTCCATGGCAAAATTCTTTGTGAAAATTGGCAGCTGTTATATGGTAGACACTAAGATATATGTTAAATCCATTATCTAGATAACTAAAACACATGATTGATTGGATCTCAGAAATGTTTTCTTCAGAAAGATAAGTGATAAGCTTTTTCTTTGGAGGAAGAAGAGTTATTTCCCTTGAAATGTGTGAAAGAAACAAATTAAATAAAAGCCATTATCATGTTTCTTTACACTCGAGTAACTTATTATTATTGTAGGGTTGCAAGTATGCAGGATGCAGCATATGAGCAGAAGAAACCAAGCATAATTACAGAGAGAATTAGAAATCTATTCAAATCCACCAAAACCAACAAGTTCTGGTTGATTGACAATGAAAGTGGTCTTCTGGATGCCTATGACTTGATGTACCACAAAGAACTGGGAGGCAGTAGGTTCATCAAATTCCATCAACAGATGTTACAGACTTTCTGCATCTTCCAGAAATCCACAGTGACTGCTATTCAAAGACTTCTAAAGGAGGATCAACCTCATGTTTATTTATATAAGTATGCCATGTCCCATGATCCAATTCTGCAGAAGGTGCTACCTAATTACAAGTCGAATTTGATTCAAAAGTGGTTTCAAATGTGGTTCCAAAGAAGACTTGCTGAGGTTTATAAATGGATAAATCATTGTGCTAGCTGACACATGTGATCAGCCATACCATAATCTAAATCTGTGATAAAACTCTAAAGACAAACCAAAGGTACTTCACTCAGGCAAAAGGTAGTGTTCATTGTACAATCAGTACAGCTCTGTCCTAAAATAGTCTCTGTGTTTTTCCAAGAACTCGTATAACAATGTTTCTGTCATTTTTTTTTCGTTGAAAGAGAGAATGGGTAAATGTATTTTAGTGTTATGTGAAGGTATGATTTTCTGTTTTAGTGTTGCTATTTTTGTTGAGATATTTTACAATAGTGCTGTCATAATAAACATGTATTTTGTTGAAAGGGAATATTTTAGTAACAGTTCATTGTATGCACAATAGAAATATGTGGTATTTCAAATTTGGTTCAAACTTAGGAAAAAAACCTCATTAATCTACTTATATGTCACATACTCATACCAGGTACTTATTCCAGTAACCATCATCCAAATGATAAATGTGTGTTACATTTATTGAATTCCATTCTTCAGTATTTAATGGTATATTTTTCAGTATTTTTTTTTTTAATAATTAAGTCAGTGTGATTTTGTTTATATTTTGTGGAATCTTTTGCCCAAATTTTTTATCATTATTTTTTATTAAATGCTTAAACTTTATACTATCATATGAAAACTTACCATAATAAGTTGATGGACTCATACCTACATACATTGTAAGATACCTGTACAATAAGTTGGCCGTTCAAGGTAACAGTTGGATTATCATTTTAATAGAAAATAATGATTTTTTCAGTAATGATGGGACATAGAAAAATCAGTAGCTGACCATTTGAAGCAGCTAAGGGGTATTTGAAGTAGAAGGTTCATTATGATTTTCTTTTTATTTTACACAAGCAACTGTGTACTACATGTACCCCTAAAATTTTTAAGCATGCCTACTTATCAAAAATTTACCTTGTCAAATTCCATTGACAAATCAAGTCTGGATAATGAATACCTGCAATTTTTCAAAATATTTGCATGTGAATCTCTTATATTGAATCTTTTGACATCTGTTAAATACTTTGGATGAATTATGGTATGAATTGTAATTATACCACATCAAGACATTATTTTTTATCAGAAATGTTAAATGTTTCTGTGAACCTATAAGGGTCACCATGTTGTGCATTTAAAAAAAAGCGGGCAATACCTGTACATGTACTTTAAATTTTCATAGACAATCCACTGAATGGTGCTACTTCATTTAGTCTTGAGAAATTTTTAACAGTTCAAAAAAGTGCTTATAAATCCACTTATTTATTTTGAAGCTATTGTGAGCTTTGTATTTAATGTTTTGTTACTGAATAAATGCAATATGAAAACCAAGTTTTCTTACTGAAAGTTGAATTGAAAGCTAAGAACTAGTACTGGCTTATACATCTCTGCCAGTCTGGTAATGAACATGTACAGTAAAACTCGGTTATAACGAAGTCACTGGGACCTATGAAATTACTTTGCTATATCAGTAATTCATTATATCCATACAAGAAATTTGTTAAATTTATATAGCTGGGGATCCAAGATAACTTCGCTATATCTATGAATTCGCAATATTCGTGTTCGTACTAACAGAGTTTTACTGTATATAGAATATAAAACTGAGAGATATCTTCACCAATAAATGTAATCAATTTTTACAGCCAACTATCAATTTTTGCTGGTGCAAATTGTACTTTTCTAATGAGCCCTTCTGAGCTCAGATTGGAGGAGGCTACATGTATGGCCCTTTTGTGTGGTGTGCATTAACATTGGAACATGAGGCATCTCTTGAGAAGCCATTAGTAATTTTTATCATCTTTGTCACAATCATTTGGCTATGCCAAGAAATTGTATTTGCATTGAGAATAGGGATTTGACCCTTGAACAAGAGGAAATAATTAGGAAAATATGCAAAACAAGAGGCCCAGGGGCCACAGCGCTCACCTGAGCACATCGGGCTTGAATTTACTTCCCCCCCCCCCCCTTCCAGGCGTTCATCATTTGAACAAACTAGAATCTACACTACCTGAGGATGATTCCATATAAATACCCCGGGTATCACTAATCATAGCTTTGAAGTACTTGAAAAGAAGATTTTAAAAGGTTTCCCTATATATCCCTATGTAAAACTTGGGTCGGCCATTTTGGCCCCACCCTATCCCCAGGGCCGGGGGTCATGATTTGAAAAAACTTGAATCTACACTACCTGAGGATGATTCAACATGAGTTTCATCTTTCCTGGCCCAGTGGTAATTGAGAAGGATTTTTAAAGATACTTCCTATATATTCCTATGTAAAACTTGGGTCGGCCATTTTGGCCTCATCCTTGCCCCGGGGGTCATGATTTGAACAAACTTGAATCTACACTACCCGATGCTTCCACATGAGTTTCATCTGTCCGGGCGCAGTGGTTCTTGAGAAGAAGTTTTTTAAAGATTTTTCCTATATATTCCTATGTAAAACTTGGGTCGGCCATTTTGGCCCCACCCTTGCCCCGGGGGTCATGATTTGTACAAACTTGAATCTACACTACCCGAGGATGCTTCCACATGAGTTTCATCTTTCCTGGCCCAGTGGTTCTGGAGGAGAAGATTTTTAAAGATTTTTCTTATATATTCCTATGAAAAACTTGGGTCGGCCATTTTGGCCCCATCCTTGCCCCAGGGGTGATGATTTGAAAAAAAACTTGAATCTACACTTCCTGAGGATGATTCCACATGAGTTTCATCTTTCCTGGCCCAGTGGTTCTTGATTTTTAAAGATTTTTCTTATATATTCCTATGTAAAACTTTTTGCCCCGGGGGTCATGATTTGTACAAACTTGAATCTACACTACCTGAGGATGCTTCCACATGAGTTTCATCTTTCCTAGCCCAGTGGTTCTGGAGAAGAAGATTTTTAAAGATTTTTCCTATATATTCCTATGTAAAACTTGGCGGCCATTTTGTTGTGGGGGTCATGTTTGCAAACTTGAATCTACACTACCTGAGGATGATTCCACATGAGTTTCATCTTTCCTGGCCCAGCGGTTCTGGAGAAGATTTTTTAAAAATGCCATTAATTTTTAACAAATTCATGATTATCTCCCCTTGGAAAAGGGCGTGGCCCTTTATTTGAACAAACTTGAATCCCCTTTACCCAAGGATACTTTGTGGTAAGTTTGGTTGAAATTGGCCCAGTGGTTCTTGAGAAGAAGATGAAAATGTGAAAAGTTTACGACGACAACAACGACAACGACGACAGACAACGGACAATTTTGATCAGAAAAGCTCACTTGAGCCTTTGGCTCAGGTGAGCTAAAAAGTAATATTTGTCAAAAGCTTTTCAAGAAACACTATGCAATATGTTGCAAACAATAACATGAAAAACCTGAGTAGAGTCACTAGATGAAAAGAAACTTCCTTTTCCTTCATTAAACATCAAGCACTTCAATGTTGTCTTTCAGATGAGACCATAAAACCGTGACCCTATGTCAGGCATTGGCACAATAAAGATCCTTAAACGGCATATGGTGACATCTCGTATGTTGCAATGGAAATGGAACAGCAAACACAATCTTATCAATCAATCCATCCACAATATTTAAGTAAGACAATTTCTGGAAGTTTTACTTTTTATTTTTGAGAAATGAATGATCTATTTACAATGTCATTATGATCATGTATTTACAAAATGAAAATTTAGTTTTTTCTTCTCTTCCTCTCCATACCACAAATGCATATCATGCACAGTTCTTCAAAAAATCTCCCAAATTAACTCCCTTTTTACAAAGGGGCCAGTACTTTGCAATCATTTCACTGTTTTTTTAAAGCTCCATTGAATCACTTCTCCAGTGGTGCATAGTTCAGTAATTTCTCAATGAGGTCCACATGAGCTAGCAGCATTCTTCTGCAGCAGTATCTCTTCAATCCAAGGGCGTCCAAAGCATCACTGAAAAAGTTTTATAAAATGCTAAATATATTTAAGTATAATAAATCTACAAACTTAAAGTCATACGGTTTAGTTATGTATGCAACTGATTAAACAGCCAGGGGAGATTACTGGGGGATTCAACAAAAGAAGCATGGAACAACCAACAAATGGAAATTTTCAATGTATGACTTCTCAAGATATAAAATAGTTATTTCAGATGTAAAAGAGATCATCAGATCATTTGGTGATGTACTATTAATTAAAATCAGTATAACGTCATGGCTCTTACCCTTCTGTGTATTCCACTTGTAACAATCCAAGGTATGCTTCCCATTTATTGCCAATAACTTTTCCACATGTAAAACAGCGGATTGGGATAATCATTTTTTCTTAACCTGTGAAGAAGTGACAATTATTTTTAGTTTACATCTATTTGTACAAGCACTATTACAAGAGCTAGAAAATACAAATACCGGTACATGTACAGGTAAACTCACTAAACTGTGAGTTTTTCATCGTTAACTATCTAACCTATGAGCAATAAATTTTACTACATAAAACAACTGCAATCACAGTATATTGAAGCAAGGTTCATCAACATAATAGATGATGTGCATATGAATAGTTATTCAAAAAAGAATTTTATTAATTAAATATGATATCTCATTATAAATATAACTATTCTGTGTATTTGTTTTTTATCATTTGACATCGTTAACTATTTTTTGGGTTGGGCTAACCTATGAGTATTTTCAATTTTGCTAAATTTTACTACATAAAACAACTGCAATCACAGTAAATATCTCATTAAATTATTTACGATCACTCAAGCAAGGTTCATCAACAATATATTTTTAGTGTATTTAATTATCTAAGATGAAAACAAAATGAATTAAATTTCATTCTAAATGAGCTTATGTGCAATGTTAAAAAAAAGCTGGAAGATTTTTAAATTCATATGATTATAGTTATTCAAAAAAAATTTTATTGGAGACTTTAAAATTAATTTTTTTTCAACATATACTATAGTTTTTTTAATTTTAATTTTTGTCCCTATATTTGGGCTAGTAACTTTTCACTTGATCGTTTTCCACACCCCTGTAAATTATAATTAACATATTTTCCTGTCATCAGCATGCTTTTTAAAATATTCAACCTCTTTGGATACTAAGTGCATTTTCCAGCAATAGTTGTTGTTCATTGAACAGGTCCAGCAAAATACCCTGATAAATGTATATAGCTTACAAATACCTTGATTAAGGTATTTTATGTAATGAAAATATGAAAGTCACGTTCTGAGTTGTTGTCAGTAAATTTACTCATGCATGTAAAGTACTAAATCACAAAGAAATTGGTATAAAAGCATTTTGGGTGAGGAGACGTTCTTTTATGCTGTTTTTTTTAATATCCGAGTACTTTTCATGCACAAGTGGACACACTGACCACAACTCATAATTCGACTTTTAAATTTAGTTTTTAAAGATTTTTTTGCATTTTCATTACATAAAATACATTGATCAAGGTATTGTGCTGACCTGTTTGAAGCAAATTCTCGAGAGTACAGTAAATGTGGCCTGGGTCACTAGGGATGGGTATCGCCAAAAATTTCGTATCGCGATATATCACGATTTTTTCCTACAATATCACGATAATATCATGATATTTTTAAAAGCAATTTTTACAATGATTTTATATGAAAAGTCATTATTTTTCTTAAAAAATATGCTAGAAAAACAAAATTTTACTTTCTTGAAAATTTTATGTATATAAAATCAATTATGTTTGGTTGGTAAAATGCTGTTCTTTTCACTTTTTACAACATTTTAATACTTTCTGTAATTGTAATTTGAAAGATTGAACAAATAAATGAATAATTTCTGGACTTTAAAATATGTACCTAAAGACCGGTATTTAGGTCTCCGTATCACGAAACTAAAAATTGCGATATACCGGTATACCGATAAAATCGCACATCCCTATGGGTCACGTACCTCAAATTTATCAGAAAGTAATCCGTAAATTTACATTTAAATTGAAAGTGAATTTGAGAGCAGCGCCGAATTCCATAGTTTGTTTATTTAGAAGTTTTTACTTGTTTCAGTGTAATAAACAATTAATATATTGCAAGATCATGAGGGAAATATGAAGATTTATTCAGCCAAGAAATATCATATCACACTCCTTCGATCCCCTCAAGAAATATGATTTTTCTTGGCTGCATGAATAAATCTTCAAATTTCCCTCACAATCATGCAATAAATATATAATATATGTCTAAAAAAAAAAAAACAACAAACAATTGATGGACTTCTGAATTTTGTGCAATAATTTGAGTAAAGAATGAGAGAGTAGTCTTCTAAAATGCTAAAATAAAAGTTTATTTATCTAATAAATGAAGAATTTAACATTGTAATTATAAAACTGTAAAACAAAACTTCACAACACCAAAGCAAATAAAGACATTTTTTTTTAAATATAAATACGAGGAAATTCGGGATTTCCAGCAGTTAGTAGTCCGTTTGATTGTTATTTACTTTTTGTTGGTCAATGTCTTATTCCTACTCTCTAACAGATGTGAAATTTAAAACAATTTCAACATTAATGGTCTATAAATACCTTAAAAATATCTTATTTACCTTCAATGCGTAGAAAAACGTGTAATTGTTTTCTTATATTTCACAATACTGAAGGAAAATCTATTTCCGGATGGGCTATGCCTAATTGCCCGAAAGTTGTAGTTCTCGAAGAAAAAAATATGAAGGTAAAATGAATTTTGTGAAAAAGATTTTAAAAGTACGTTTATCTGGAATCATGTATCCAAAGCTATAGGTCTTATGATTTTGATACTTTTACAGTACATATCATAACTATGTGCACATTAATTAGGCCTTCTTAAAAAAAAAAAAACTTCGAGTGCGACCAACTGTCCCAACTAATTTTTTTTAATTACAGTACACAGTAATCCTTTTATCTTTTTATTCCTCTTATACCTTCAACGAATATGTTGAAATTTTCTGGAAAAAATTTCCCATCTACTTATTGACCCAAAATTTATCCTGAGTCAAGAAAGGGTGAGCAAACTTTTTGAAAGACAATCTTATTGCTATAATTTTTTCAATTCTATAAGATGCCAAGCTATAGAGAGACATAGTTCTACTCCCTGCATGCAATATAAATTATGTTGACATGCAAGAAAAGTTTGTAAACGGGCAATAAAATTATGTCTACATGCAAAATAATTATGTTAACAATCAGACATACAAATTACCAGTCTTCTTAGAGTCCAATTTAACATCTTTATGCTAGTAACTGACATCATTTGTCCAAGATGCAACATTACATACTAAAGTTGACATGCTACTTATTTATGTCAACATACAAGATATTTATGCTGACATGCAACTTATTACCTTAAAATATCTTGCATGTTGACATATAATTTGCATATTGATACAAATAAGTTGCAGGTCTTGCATGTTGACATAAATATTATGTTGCATGTCTACATAATTATCTTGCATCTTGATATAAGTGACACATCTAAGTACAGAATAATCTTGCATGTTGACATAAATAATTGCATGTCTATATACAGCATAAAGAAGTTAGTTTACTCTCCGAAAAGATTAGTAAATTGAATGTCATCATTTTGCATGTAGACAAAACTATCTTGCATATTGAGTTATTGACAAACTTTTCTCATATGTTGACATAATTTACCAGGTACTAGTATCTTGCATGTAGGGACTAAAATATGCCACCATACTAGTCACTGTGCCCAAAAATGAGAACACATTAAAAGTTAAGCTTAGAAAGTGGAACAGAAAAATATTGTTATTGATGAAGAGAATTTTTGGCATTAAAGTATGCCTCAATAACCTTTAACATTTCAGTAGGAGTTTTATAAAATTTACATTGTTTAAAAAAGAATTTTCTCTTGGGAAAATATTATTGCTATTGATGCCAGAATTTGTATCAGGGTTAGAATGGGAATCCATCATTTATATATGCGTTGCAATAACAATGACAGATAGAGAAGGTAACCTCTACTCTCATGTGATACACCATCTTTCAATTAAATAGAACAAATAATAACACACACCTATAAACAAATCAATCATATCAAGTCAAAACAATGAATTTTTATTGAAGATACTTTCAATCAGCATAGAAAACAAACATTGATTAATAAGTTGTTATTTTTTCTGCTGTAGCCTTTATACTCGGATTGAATGACTGAGAGAGAAAGCTTAAAAATTTATATAATTGCTTAAAAATTGCAGAACCAATACAAAAAGAAAAAAACTATTTTATTAACAATGATGAATGTCAACCAGATAGAGGAAAAAAATCTGTAACAAGATCAAAGGAAATAGCAAGATTTGCTGTAAATGACATTCAATATCTTAATCTTTTAGTCCTGTGCTCTAAAACTGAAGAGTCACATATTTGGCCTATCAATGAAGTTCATATTCATGTACTTGTTTTCAACCATACAGCTGATTTAATCTTTTGACTCTGTTCTCGTCCAGTCATTAAGAATTCTGCACACCCTCTGTAACGCTGCAACTGGAGAAACCTACAAGTACAAATAAGGAAGATAAGACACTGCAATTTCAATGTATACATCATACAGAACAAATCATTACTTGATCTTCAGTATCTTGAACAGTGAACACAGATATTTTGAATACCATGGATATCTCAAATTAATTGGAAGTCCAAGCAGCATATTCTTTAAATATTTTACCCTGGATATCTTGAATTCTAAGATATCTCATTTTTTTTCCTGGGCCCATTGAGTTAATAAGGTTTGACTGTATAATGTACCTGTTTATACTGATAGCTGAGAGAATTTTCCTCCCCTTCCTCCTTCAGACTTGGACACACTATATACAGTATTTTCCTCCATGGTAACATTCCCTCACTGCCAGACCGTTTCCAGGGACTCGTGTCACATGACTTCTGTAACCAAGGACACCAAGTTCGATGTTCTGCCAAAGGATCAAAGCTCTCTTTTTCTTCCTACAAAGGTATTTCAAAAAATATAAAATATTGTTAATTTTAAATGGAAGTTACACAATAATACCATATGAGAATATATGAATGCACACTGTAAATAGTAATTTAGAAAATTATGTGGCTCTTGCTTTTCTTAATCTGTCCTCTAATTCTTTGTATTAGAAAATCATAATTAAAATTCATTGTCAGATACCCTCAGGTGATCTTGTCTTTACTCATCAAAGTAATAGCAGAGATCACATATGGGAATCTGACAATGGTTAAAATCTGGAACTGATGAAAAAAATATCAAAGATTCATCTCTACAATTTGTACCGATTCAATTATTAGTTGATTTAGCTTACTAGTTTTACTCTCTTTCTGGGTCTCTCCACCGTGTCTGAGGTACTGTTTGTCTGTGTGGTGCTGGAGGGTCTGTCAGGGGATTTAGGAGGCCCCTCAGTCTGATCCTGGGAGGTGTCTGAAGAGTTATCCTCCTTGGTAACATTTTCCTCTTTGGAATTACCATTGGACAATTCTGTCTGAAGATTAGATTTCATTTCCTCAATGTTCTCCGTAACTGTTTCTGTAACACTTTCTTGTATTCCTTGATCTTTAGAGATATGGTCATCATTTTCAACTTTCTCTTTGTCATCAATTAAGTCTTTCACATCATCACCTAGATCAGAATTTAATAGTCTTGCACTATCTTCACCATTAACATCATCAGTGTCCCTGGCTTGTAAAGCATCCGTATCTGTAAAGTCTTTAGCACTTTGAATGTCTACATCAGGTTTTGACTCTTCGCTTAAATCACTGTCTCCTTTAGTCATACATTCATCCTCTGTACCATTACTGTCCGTTTTTGTCATATACTCTGTACATGTATCACCAGAATGTGTCTCCATATTTGATTCATTTATATCCTCATTGCAACCACCCTGGCCTTTATTTTCCTTATCTTGCACCAAAGCACCATTTTGAACAATATCTGATTCACCTTCTGTTTGAGGGACTTCAGCACTAGATTCTTGCACACTGTCAGATATTTTATTTTCACCGGAATTTTCAAGTCCATTTTCATCATTGTCTTTGTCTGTACAACTGTCTTGCATATTTTCTGAACTTTTGTCAATCTCTGTAACTCTTTCTACTGTTTCTACTCTGTCTTGCACATTTTCTGAGCTTTTGTCAATCTCTGTAACTCTTTCTACAGATTCTATGCTGTCTTGCACTTCTTCAAAGTTTTTCTCAATCTGTGTAACTCTTTCTATAGTTTCTGTCTGATCTAAACCTTCTGTGGTGTCTTGCTCTGCCATGACATGAGTCTGGTGCCAATGTGGAGATTTATAATTCCACAACCCAATGTTTCTCCTACAGAAGTCACAGGACAAGATGTCCTCCACATCGTCTGACCTGTTAAACACATCAGTAATATTACTGATCATTACTTGTAATGCTTCAATTACTAGTCTATAATTTAAAAAAGAAACTTATTGAATCAAATGAGTTATGATTAAAATCATCACTGAGTGATTTTCAGAGTGTGTAATACTTGTATACCTGATTTTCCAACCACAAAGTGAGATAACAGCAGCTTTTCTCATGAGTTCCCGATCATCTACTCCTTTGTTAATGGCAGAATTCATCAAGTTCTCAGCAAGTGTTGTCAACTCTGCATCTGTAACTCCCTGCAACAAAGTAAAATTATGAATATAAAACAGACTACCTGGTAATATATGGGAACTATGGAAATTTTTACATTTCAAAAGATACAATTAAGTTAACAAATATATTAACAAACATATTTATAATGATATATGTAGTATGATGATAATGTGATATTTTCTGTTCCAATCTATGAAAATGATCCACTACTTTCTATTTTCCTGACCTATATTCTGTTTATACCTTAGCCTCTATGGTTGCCATGTTGATGTAAGGAAGTTTACTTCTACAAGGCAGTAGGCTTTGTAGTCTCTTGTTGAATTCTTTAATGACCTCTTCTTTATTGTCCATGGGAATTTGAAGTACAGAATCTGTAACGTAATACTTTAATACATTACATAATTACAATAAAATTTGTTTAGTACGAACATGGATATTGCCAATTTACTGATATATCAAAGTTATCTTTCGATCCCCCATTTCATAAATTTAACGAATTCCTTACACGGATATAGCGAAGTACGGTAATTTCATAGGTCCCAGCGACTTTGTTATAACCGAGTTTTACTGTATATTTTAAAGTTTCACAGTATACGAATAAAGTTACTGATAAATTCTTTATAAATGTTTTAAGTGCATACTGTCTGTGATAATTCTCATGTCTTACCTGGAGTAGGGTTTGACCTCCATTTACAAGCCTGTTCATGGCCAGACTTCAATTTGTCCATTAAATTTTTAACACATGTTTTATCTGAAAAAGAATTCATAAAATATGTTCATATACAGAATAAAGAAAATATTGTACTCAAGAACCATAAAGTAGAAAATGAATCTATCTAGGTTAAAAATACAGCAAGAGGAAAACAAACACCTTACAACTAGTTCTAACTTTCTAAAATTAAAATTGTTAAGTACATGTAAATGATATAACCTGACATGAACTTACAGATTTTGGGGTCAAAGTTGAAAGGTAATGTGGCACAGATCACTGCACGGCATACACCACACTGCAGCATGTCTGATTCTGTGTTTCTCCAGCCATACTTAGCACACTGTAGGGGAGATAATCTTTCAGGCTTTCCAAACCATGTAGTAATATGGGTAAATTAAGGAAAAGTAACTGCCAATCTGACACATCATTGCCTACATAATGAATACTAAAGATCCCAATGGATAAAATCCTTATCTAAGCTTTCAGCTATTTGGAACTCAAGATATAAATGTTTGTATTGATCTTAGTTATTCAATTCATGAAAAGGTCTAAGTGTCAATTACTACCTGTACTCATGTACACTCAACTATATTTGAGAAATCAGGAAATCAAGTAGAACAAATCTGACTTAGTGTAAAAAAAAAAATCAGACATAGTGTAAACGTAAAGCAAATCTCACTTAAGTAAAAATAAAGCAAATCTAACTTTATATAGAGAATATTACATACTAAAATCTATATCATATGTCATATCAGCCCGAGTGACCCTATATCAGCCCAAGGGCTGAAGGCATTAAAGAATTATTTTATATGAATATTTAAATAAAATCAAGTAAGTTAACTTTTAAACTTTATAAAAACGTTACTTCCGGTTTGATATGGATTTTTGGACTGGTCTGTGATATGGGGTATTGTGACGTCACCTGTATCACACCATGCAGAATCGGTGTATTTACTACTAAGTATATAATAAATGTAAATATAATATGTAAATATAAAGCAAATCTTTTTAAAGTAAAAGTAAAGAAAGTTGAGTCAACAACTTACAAGCTCCATCTGATAAAAGACAGAATTGATGTGAATCACCTGTGGGTTACCAACGATATCTTGTTTAAGATTTAAAGTTACAGTTTTAACAAGGATACTGAGAAGGTTTGCACCCTTTGGAAGAAAGCATCTCTGTCCCAGGAATAATGTGATTCCTCACTTGAATCACGATCTGCCAATTTCCTTTTGGTTCTTTGTTTTAAGTTTAACAAAAGACTTTCTACTTCCACCACTTCACTGAAACAGAAATAATATGTATCTTTCATAAAATCAGTTTTTACTCATGTTGACTTTCATTATTTCCCATCTGATTAAAACTATAATTAAAACAGTAATTTCACACAGAATTATCAATGGACACTTGTTATGAATGAAATGGCATTAGGCTGAATATAACAATTTGTTTTCCCTATCTTTTTTTCAGGGTAGATGTATGAGGAACCCTTTTATTGATTTCCTGAGTTTGTTATCTCAAAATGTAATAATTGATATTTGTCTTAACTTCTCAATAAGCATAATGATAATGTTTGTAAATTCTGTTCTTTATAACAATTTTATCCGGAATGTAGAAAACATTCCATTAATGTGTGCATATATAGGCCTAAATTACTGTTACTGATATGTATGTAGCCAAAATCAATGTTATTTTAAAATCCTAAGGAATATATACACAGAATATTCTGCTGCATTTTTAGTAACACAGAGTGGCAACACTGTTCATCGAAATCAAAAACCGATGCACTGTTTTATGTATCTCTTTAGTGTTTCTATTGTGTGCCAAAAGGATATATACTTGAAGGAAAATACACAAGGCTATAAAAAATATTAAATAGGAAAAGGCGTTAAAAAAATTAAAATTGGAATTTCACAAAATGTTATTGCACGCTTTTTCAGCGTATATATCATGGCAACACCATAACATTTACGATAATCAAAAACCAATGCACTATTTTTTGTATTTTTTTGTAGTCTACTTGTGTGCCAAGTTATATCAAAATCCAAATCCAAAACTGTAGGAGGAGTAGCGTCATAATTCATGTTCAACCTATTGTGATGAAAAATAATAATTTTTTGGAAAAATACAAATTTGAAAAATTCAGACCTCAAAAGCGGTAGCAATGCGTGTGCATTGTTTTACGTTATGAACTTGCAGTTGGATAAAATATGCGACATATTTCATGTAATATATAAAGAGAATAAGAGACACCGTATGTAGCCTTAAATGAAACCTACAATAATTTTCAATCTTAAATATCAACTGCAAAGAAGAAGACAGAAACATTTGCTATAAGTTTGACATAAATTTTTGTACAAATTCAAATATTTTTCATGCTCATCATTTTGCTTAGATTGGCTGTTTAACTTAGCCCTTTGAAGAGTCCTGATCTTTGCCAATATAGCCTAGAAGCAATAATTCTGAATGTTCATTCAGTTGTTATATACAAAACAAATGATGACATGGTTTAAACTATATCTAAAACAATTTCTTATCTTTCGTTATATAAATCAGATTTCCCGTGATGATCGAAAACGAAAGCTGAGATGTGCCACATGACTTGGTCAATCGAGTGATTTCTATTGACTTTATCATGTTTATTTCCGATAAAATTGTGAGGCAGCTCCTGTGTTTTTATAGACGATGCCAAACGCTTCATCTAATTTTTAAAAGCTGTATCTCCTTTTTCATGGCAGTGATGTTGACTAAATTTATCGTAACCAATGTAATCACTGGTAATCTTTTGCTGTTGTCGTTGTCAAATTTGTGCTTGAAATCTGTGTACATATCGATACAAAAAAAGCGTTTGTATGCTTCTGAGTCAAATCACGCGATATCTAACGAGATTTTATGAGAGTGGCTTCAAAAATGGATACCCAAGCGAACCAAAAATACTTTAGACACAACTTTTGTAATCAAAAGCGGTAGATTTCTGTGAAGTAAATCGGCAGTACAATGTAGTCAAGTATCAACAACAGAAAACTGCATAGTTACGGTGCTGCCTAAATTCGGTAAAATGCAGTTAACATTTGTAAACTGATAGTTTTTTAGCGTTTTAAAAAATTGTACATTACAGACACACTCAAGTAAATTGAAAAGCACTAATTAGAATTCGAAAAGAACCCAATGTTTGATTTTTTGAAAGTGTTTAAAATTGCACATCAACTATCGCTTGACTAAATTAATTGAAAATGCATTTAAAAGACAACTGGTCAACTGCTTGACCAGTCAGATGTAACAATTTTTTAAAGCAAAGTCTAATCTTGTGTTAAAGTTAAATTACATGTAATTTGATATCTGGTTCTTTATTTGTGATGATTGGTCCTTAGAAAGACAAAAAGTAAAGAGAATGCTGGAAAATGCACCATTTTAGTAAAAACAATTTTTTCGCCATCTTTTTTAAACAAGCTTCGCGCGCTACTTTTAAAAAGCTACAAAAAGTGAAGCTCACTGGTTTAAAACAATTTTTTTCGGGGGGGGGGGGGGACTCCTGTTTTTAATCATTTATTTTCACTTTCAAATTGAAACATTTTATTTTTCGACTACTGTGTACTGGTGAAAAATATATATGCTTTGGTACAGAATTTGATTTAGCCGGGAAAATACGCCGAACTATTGAATACACCTCTGACAGTTTATGACTGGTTTCAAAACATTCATTAAATTCTTTGAAATTTATATGAAAACAACTTTCATTACCTAGGAAGGATTTTCCCGTCACGTCTCTTCGCCATTTTGAAAGAAAATGCATGCAGAGTATGAAACTTTTTTTTTCATTGGATTATCAGCAAGAGGTAAACCAATCAAATAATACGAAACACGAGGTCGAGTCATAATCACACAAAAGTTTGAAGCTAAATGAGTCTAATGGACCATCGGGACCCAAGGATCAACAACACACCATTCTTTTATGAAGGGATAGGTTTATAAACACATTTAATACCGTATCATTATTATTTAAAAAAAAAACATTTTACGTCACATTAATAAACAGGTAATAGAATTTATGAATTTTAATTTATGAATGCATGTATTAATTGTTTATTTTATTACATATCAATTAATAATAAAATTAATAATAAAGTTATGTATTTATTTTATTTTATTTTATTTTATACCAGTGTTTATTAATTTGAATCAATAAATATTTTCTATTTTAATAAATAAAATAAAGTAAATGAATAAATGAAACAGATATATATAAATAAATATATAATTTAACTGAGCTTGCACGGACATTCAAATACAGGTGAAATCAGATCATAAGAAGCCATCCCCTGCACACCTGTCACACCTGCTCCTTGTCTCAGACAAACAAAAAATCTTTAGATAATTCTGTGTGTAAACAATGGTCCAACACTTTGTTTGAAAAAACAGTCAGCTTAATATGATAGATTGTATTTGCTGACAACGTCATTGTATCGATTATAGATTTTGTGAAATGTTGACTGTAAACGAGACTGTTGTGTCCTTGTTTCATCAACTTGTTTGTCGCGCGCGCCCCCTTTTATTAAAATTAGTCTTTAAAGACTTTTTGCGTAAATCACAGTTTCAATTCATAAAAAATTATGAACACATTATTTAATGATGTTCAGTGGGCCTTTGCCATGTAATTGTGTCTGTGCCACAGGCACTTGTTTCTGTAATAAATTTTTAACCCATAGTATAATAATAGCACTGTGTTATTATTATACTATGGGTTAAAAATTTATTACAGAAACAAGTGCCTGTGGTTTGTGCCAATAAAATATTTGTATTTGTATAAAAATCAGGCGCGTAGCTGCCTATACGCAAGTACGCAAGTGCGTACACATCATTTTCCAAAAAAAAAAGAAAGAAAGAAAGAGGGATAAAAGAAAAGAAGGAAAAAAAGAAAGATAGAAAATTATTCGGGGAAAAAGAGGCACTACCCGTGTTTCAAATTATTTTGCGTCTTATAAAAAAATATTGTTTCGATTCAAATTTTGTTCAGCATGTCTGCACATTCAAATTTAGTCCTTTATAAAATCAATTCAAAAAACATCTTTCAACATTATAGATTTTGTGAAATGTTGAACTGTTAATCCACGTAATCCTGATTATGTCCAAATATTTGATGAAGGAAAGCTTGTTTGTCCAAAGAAAAAGTTGGTCTTGGACGACGTATATACAAGATTTTTAATTTCCGTAGAGGTAATGAATAAATGTCGTTCAACAATTTAAATTATTAAAATAAATAATAATATAGCTTTTTTACTGATGTTACCAATTTAAAGAATTATATTATAATTGAAGCTTGACAATTTTCAGCGATCAAATATGAAAGTAATCCAAAGAACACATTTATATAATGAAATATTTAAACTCCAATGATAACGATATTGAAATTGCTAATTGTGTTTATCTTGATACACTTGGAAACTTTTTTCCAATACCAATATATGCGTAAATTTTTGATAAATTATCGTTCTCTACCATACATGTATAATAATATCACTGTGTTATTTTTGCTCGATGACATCGTGATTTCTTTTGCGAGAAAATGACTTAAAAATTTCGTAAAATCCAGAAACAAGTTCGCCTGTGGGGCTTCGTGCCAATAAAATATTCTGTACACTTCGTTTCCAAAAATACTATTATTTTTATATACCCGTATAAAGCCAATCTCTAAATCTTAAAAATGCGGCAAATGATATAGATATCAAAATATAAGAATGGTTATGATAGTAGGAAATCATATATTTTTACTAAGTTTTTGTGTCTAATAAAATTCTCAGAAGCTGGGAGAGGGGGGGGGGGTGTTTACATCATCCATTCGTAAGGTCCCTGTGATCACCTGAATATGGGTGTGTCTTCCAGTTGATAGCGTGAGATGTTGGCATAAACGCGCTAGCGCATTGACATAACATATGCTCATTGTTACATGTACATGTACTTCTCGCTAGCGTTGTGTTTCTTCTGCGCTAGCGCGTTGTTCCAATCGTACTGTTACCATGGTTACTCTGTTGCAAATGGCCCTACTATCGGGACACAATTACGAAACAGATGCATGATTTTTTTTATTCAAGTTTACAAGGGATACAGCTACAATATCGAATCAATGTAGGTATATGAAAACAAATACATGTATTGTTAATTGATGAAACATCGTACTGAAATATGTACCCATGTTGAAAGAAAGGACTCAGCAAGAGACTTCATTCCAAGAAGAAAATTTTGAATAAATTCTGCTTTACACGAATACAAAAGTAGTTCTCTTATAAACCGGCACAATTTGCTTCCATGGGAATTCCAGTCTGACAGATTTTTCTGAAGACTTCAATGAAATGGAGAATTTGATAACATTAACTATCAAAGCTCAAAATTTGGAATCATAAAAAAAGTCACATTTGCATTAATGATTTTAAACACGGTAATTCTGAACAGGGTTGATGAATAAAAAAAAAGAAGAGATAAGCAATTATAAAGAATCTATAAAACAAAACAAAAAACAAACAAACCCTTGCTTGACTTATATACCATTATCTTTGATTAAAATTTAATCCTGACTTTTAAAAAATAACAAACATTGTCAGTCAGAAATCTTAAATCTATAGTACACACGTTATATATATATATATACATTTTCTTTTATCTTATTATTTCAAGGTATGATTCATGTAATTATTAATAAAAACAATAGGATAGTAGAAAAAATATTTTTATTTCATATAAATAGTAAAAAAAAAAAGAACATTCAAAATGTTCCACTGGAGGTGCTGAGACTGTTAAATAGCACATCAATTTATCACAAGAAAGTTCTGCATACATGATGTCAAATCACATGACGTCAAGGAAGTCCATCGGCTGGTTTTCATCTGGCGGTCTGCGACTAGCACCATCTGGCCATGGACCCAAAGGTGGTCCTCTCTAGAAAATAAAATATCCATTTTAATCAATCATGAAAACAAAAATACCAGTTTTATTTTGATGATATATTGATCACTTTACCTTTCCGTAAAGATCCAGAGTTCTGGCATCATACAACATCTTTTGTATTTCCAGAGTATCTCTTATCTTAGCGTAATCTGCCGGAGATCGACCGTCCTGTAAAATGGATAAAGTTTTTTAACCTCTTAAATAAAAGGAACAAATATAATGGTACAAATTAATGTTGAGAGAGAGAGAGAGAGAGAGAGAGAGAGATTCTTACTTTATCCACTTTTTGCTCTATTGCTTGTGGATTTTGCTCCAGTAACAATTCAATTAACTTTTTCCCATACGCTTCTGGTAGCGCATATGCATAATGTAGTGGGTATCTATTGCACTAAAAGAAAAGGGTACATTATGTTTAAACAGAGCCTGAAAGGTTCTGGAGAGCCCCGTCTCTTGTGGATCAGAGTGCCAAATTGGCAAAGTGAGCACAATATCCGTTTTTAACGTTTTTATGAGAAACAACAAAAATGAAAACAAAATCACAAATTAAAGAATTTCTTATGAATTCAAAAATATTTGTCCAAAAATTGAATAGAAGACAAAAGAAATGTTTACGTTATCCGGAATGGATTTGAGGATTGGTCTGGTTATACACAGGTGACGTACGACCTCGTACTGCTGGAAGGCCACCGCCCGTATCATGGCTGTGTAGCCATTCTGTAATCGGCAAATAAATATATAGAACTTGAGTCTTGCAAAAGTCAAAATTAATCGTGGTCTACTTATCAACAAAATCTGGTACGTTTTTGAACTTCACATGTATACATGTATTATAAACTAGTAAGACTTGAACCATTGAACCAAATTATATGCAAATTCATCATGAAGACTAACAGGGCTGACTCATTTTCAGTCCTGAATTGTTAAACATGATATAATCTGCACATGACAGTGCATTTTATGTTATTTTAATAAAGTATGTACTAACAATAAACATTGATATTTTATTTAAATCATTTATTGTTTACCTTGTCCTTGTAATTTGAGTCGTATGTCTTCTCCACAATATCAACATTTCCTAGAGAAGCTGCCTCAAAAAGGCGAATCGCATGATTCTAAAAATACCAAACAACAATATTCAAGGTACTTTATGCACACCCTTTTTTTTAATTACAATCAACAATGACATTTTCAAATTTAATTAAATGATTAAATTGATTAATATTAAGTTTGATCCTAACCTGTACATCGTGAAAATTGAGCCACTTCTGAGCATCGAACCTATCGTCGTCCAATGCTTTTTCTGCTAACGTCTTTCCAGTTTGCTGCAAGAGGGAAGAGGACAATATTTTACGATTTAATTTACAATCTCCTGTTGATAATTTTGAATAATAATGACAGATGTTATTCTATGCGCCAGAAAGAAACAATTTTAGCAGAGGCTAAAATCAAACGCTTCTTTTATGAAATTATATTTTATATAACAAAGCTACCCACCTCATCTTTAATACTGACAATATCTTTCTCTTTGAGGAAGCACCCAGAAAATTTCGGTATCCCTATTGGTACCATTTTGTCAATGATATACTGAAAATATTCAACCATGTACATATAAATAAATTGTTATTTAGCTCTGGTTACTACGTATATCGTTTGTTTTTGTGTTTTTTGTTGTTATTGATGTAGTTGTTGTTGTGATTTAGAAATGTTTTGGATTATTTTTCAAGAACACTTAAAAAACTTCGATTCAATGTGAACCATGGCACGATTTTCCATAAAGATCTTTGATTGATTTGAAGTTAATGTTACTTAAAGACGTAATCCAATCAAAATTTGCGTCTCTTCAATTGCTGATATCACAGTTTTTGGTTATAATAATATGGGATATTTCAAAGAGTATTCAAGGAATGTATTGTCAGCCTATAACGCACTTTGTCTATCATTTGAACAACGTCTTCCCTATTGTGGGCTTTTGCTAAATCCCTCGGAGTCAGACCATCCTGAAACAGAAAAACGGTAATTTCATCTTTTTGTTGAGCTCTTACAACAAATAACCAGTGTACTAACAAAAAAAAATCATTGAAAAAGCTTTCATTTATGCAAATTTTACCTAATGAAATTGAATGAGTACTTAGTTTTAAGAATGCACCTCTTTATCTGGCTTACCTTATTTCTGTCCACTAGACAGAAGCCTTTGGTACACTGGATCAGCCACTGAATGAACTTGACAGAACAACCATTCTCTATAGCCCGCAATACTGCAGTGTTACCATTCTTACATGAAAAAAAGAACGTCAATTTAAAAAACCATTATCAAACTCTATGGTACTGATTTTCAAGGGTTTGACGGGTTCTGCATAAGTATTAGTCCAAGACAAGTCCAAGTTCGATTTAACATTCAAAATAGGAATAAAATTGGTCACGTGATTCCTTGATGCTTCTCACTCACCTTGTCTTTCTCCGAGTGTTCCGAAGGTTCCTTCATAACGGAATGTAGATATTTAGCGATATCTATGTTGATATCTGGATGAAGAGCTTTGTGAAATAATGGCACTGTCACGTTTGTCTGAAAAAAAATTATAAAAGGATATACGGACAAACTGAATCCATGTGGGGACGGAATAATCGGAAGTTTAAAATAAATTATTATTATTATTCGATTTTTACTATGTCTATACAATTAATGAAAGCTGACATGTTTGACTGACCCCTTCATGTTCCCGGACTCTGACCCCTTTAATCTTGGCCCTGGCCGGAGCGTCCACTAGCAGAGTGACCAGTTCCAGGTTGTTGGCCTCTATGGCTTGTGACAACAAAGTCTTTCCAATTCGGTCCTGTAAAATAATCAGCACTCAATAAACGAATGGAAACTTGCCGGTAAAAATAGTTTTATGGAAAAAAAATCAGGATTTTGACAATACCTTGAATCTAATGTTCACAGTCCAACCCTTTTCTGTTTGAATTATGCTTCGGACCGTGTCAACATCCTCACATAAAATAGCGTGTGTCAATTCCTATAAATAAGGTGACATAAATATATATGTAATAATATATATTTATTTAATATTGATAGTAACAATGAATTGATACTTTTGTGTACAGACAATAAGGTTATACTGACACTTGTTTTTCTATATTCCTGTAGAATCCGGAAACAATTAGTGACTGTTCCATTTTCTGTCATGGCTTTCGCTTCCGCAAATTCTAGAAGAGTCCGACCTTCCTGATAAAAGAAATACATCATTTTTAGAGTTTAATATATCAATGGCAATAATTTTTGACACGTATTTTAGATATTCATCAAAAATATTTCTTTAAATTAGGCTTTCAGAGATAAATTCATGCATATTTGATTTAAGCAAGAAATGAGGAAACATTTTCAAATTCAAACATGTTAGCTCAGACAAAAATTCATGCAACATTTACCCAATTAAGTTAATTCACGACAATGTAGATAACATATATTTCATTAGACACTGATATTTAATGTTAGATGTTATTTTTTTTTTTTTTCGAAATGGGGGGAACTTTCTATCGCGTAATATTATGTAATATATATTCTTAAAATTTATTGCATAATAACCAGGTCTCATTAAAACCTACACGATTATCAAACAAATCTACATTTACATTTCAAATTTAATATACTAAAACTTTTCACGGCAACATCTAGCTGCATTCTATTATTAATCTATTACTAACAAACTTCATTTAATAACTTTTGCTATATCTAAATTTAGAACCAGGTCAAAGGTCAACGGTTCTACGGTTACCTTGACAATGCTGCACAAACTGCACCAAGAGCGTTTCAGTAATCGATCTAATATTTGGTTCTTTCCCAAGCAAACAGCATCCACTATCCCGGGCTAGAATGTATACGAAACACACACTAACATACACATCTAAAATACATTAACAAACACTGAGGGCCGCCAGGGGCGGGATCCACTCTACTGCTGTGGTTAGACACAATTACAAATTCAAACGACGCAGCTACGATGTCTTAAACAATTTTTTATATATATACTTATTTTATCGAAAAAAACATGGATACTTTCGCCTGCTAATTTGAAAAAAAAGTTTTAAAAAGATTTTTTTTAAATGCCAAAGTCATTGTAACTGCGAAAGTCAAACATCACATTCAGGAAATTAGACACATAAAAAAGAACAACGGTTAAAACTTTATTTAAACACACACACACACCACCGTCTTCCCGCGACATGAATCAGTCCACGTCACTTAAACTGGGGACGGAAATCCAAACGAAGACAATCTACACATGCTATATAGTGATGGAACGACATAGAAGCTACAAACAACTAATACACAGTAGTACAATTACGTATTAGTGGTGCAGCATTCCATCTCCTTGTCAGCGCCTTCTACTCTAAAGTAGAGAATATATTTTCTTCCTTCTTTCTTTTTGTTCTGTCATTTATTCAAAAAGCAAGTGTCAAAATATTTTTGCCTTTTTCATTAAATTAACCGTTTTTTAATCATTATTAACATTTATACAGAAAAGAAAGTCCTGTAATTCCAAGATATGACACAGGCTTTTTAAACACAGGTTTCCTAAAATCAATGTCTCCATATATGGATACTTTCCAAAAAGACGAATTTTTGAAATATATATTTTGAATTAGAATATGCCTTTATAATTGGAACAATGCAATATTCATAATCATTCAGAAGTAGTAAAGAAATTATATCCGCTAGATGGCGCTGACAATGAGGATCAGCTGATTCTAATTGGTCATCCCTGTGTACCTTATTAGTCACCGCCTCTGTGCTACCCCAATAGCGCTTGTATATCTCTACAATCCTAGTATTGCCTTTGCAAATGGCAGACACAATACCGGGCTAGTGAAATAATTACAAACAACACCACATTATTTAAAGCTCATATCAATATCTTCAACACTAAAATTGGTCTAGTCTACAAAATCATTCACAAACTTTATTATATGTAATTCAAAAGTCTCACTTTAAAATTCATATTGCATAAATAAAACTAAGACCTGTATGATAAAAAACAGTTTGAAACATGAACACTCCATGCATAAAATCTATGTATACATGTATTTGAAAGCAACATGCTTGTGGATGGGTACCTTTGTACATTTTCACTTCTGTCCAAGAAACTGTCAATTGAAACTTTACTCTTGTAAATTTCATTAATATAATAGTTCACCAGGTGTATTTTATACTCTTTGCTTCATTTTATGTTAGGTTGAAGTGATAAAAATATTGTACCTTGAAAGTGTTTAACATAGCTAAGATGTCCTCTCTTTTAGGATCTGCCTCATCTAATGCTGTCATTCCCATCTGTCAAATAAAACGGAAGTGAAAATTCATATCAAATGTCTGATACGACCAGTAAAACCCCATAAAGAAGGAAATACAGTACCCTCTCTTACTACAAGAAACTGACACTATATTTCTTTTTGTAAACGTGTAAACGTTTTTCTTCAACGATATTTTTTTTAACATTTATTGAACAGTTCATATTTTCCCTGTCTCCTGTGAGAGAATTGTTATGCCTTGCCAAGTCTTACCAAAGGAGAAGGTAACAAATACTGTAAACATATCTATTCTTATGAGAATCATATTTTAGAGCCCTTTTCACTGTCATGTGCCTAAAAAAAAACAAAAAAAAATGATTGAGTTGATCAAAAACACACACTTAAGTAATTTTGAGTGTTTTAGTTTGTATCAACTTTACAGTTTCCATTGTATTGCAATATATAAAAAAAAAAACTTGATTAACACACAACGGTTTTAATACTTGCACTCTAACTGAGTAAAGTGATTTTCTATTCAAATACTCTTACTTTATTCCTCATATTCAGATCAGCAGAGCATTGTAACAGAGCCTCTACAGAATTCAACAGTCCACTGCGGACAGCTATATGTAAAGCAGTGTCACCATCCTGTACAGTTAAAAATATCACCATTAAAATAATGCACATTTAGGATATTATTAAGTAGAAAATCAATAATATGTGAGTAACTGTATACATTTGGTTTTTGTTCTGATTACTTAATCACCGACCCCATTAGAATCAACTTATTTACCGTATTCTGAATGTTTACGGGTACACCAGCACTTGCAAAAATGTAGATATAGACTCTAGGTTTGTCCAAATTCAAATGAAGGAGAGTGTTTCCGTCCTTAAAAAAGGAAAAAAGTAAATTATGACAAAACATTTGAATGTCACCATTAAAAAAATGCATATTTCGTTGTGAGTGATCTAGCTTATGTAACCTTTGTAGAGAAAGTTTTGCCATATTTGTCGAGTATATCATGGGCTTCTTCTACGTCTTTTCTCCTGGGCGCCTCCATGTTTAGTATATGCTGAAAAATAGCAATATATCAAGTTTTCTGATATCAAGTATATATTTATATATGTCCATGTGTTTACAATTAGAATTAAATTTTAAATATCTCTATTATTCAATTACATCCCACACTTTTTTTTTTTCAAAACACACACAATCATTCATTTATGTTTTGTAACGAAAAGAAAATTTCATGCAATTTCATTGCAATATTTTTTTGTTCCCAATTTATTAATTTTATGTTGTAAATGTTTACCTTTTCTGATTTAACTTCCTGATTTTTGACTGCCGGTTTATTTACATAGTTCGGGATATTGAGTACCGTCAGACTCTGGCCCGGCTTTCTCTTTCCTTGGCGGATCTCGTTGATCAGCTGATTTAGTTTGTACAGGTTCTGTTTCTCGGCGTGATCCGCCGCCGTGTACTGAGAGGCACAGATATCGATGCCGTGGTCGTAATAGCACCACTGGTCACAGTCTTGGTTGTCCCACTAGGTAGAAAGATTTTTAAAAATCAGTTTAGGGGTGGATCAGAGATTCCGGGGGTGGGGGTATTTTTCAACAGCAGTATACAATTAACTAGTAAATGAATTCAGAAAACAGAAACTCTTAGTGCTTATTTAATATGTAACGTGGTTGATACATGTATAAGTCAAATAGGGTATGTTTTATCTTTAATGTGGGAGAGGGGACGGATTTACAACCTCCAATGTAGATTAATTTTTTTTTTTTCAAAATAGTGATTTTTATCACTCAAGAAAATGTGAGTGTAATGCCAACATCACATAGAGTATATCACAGAGTAATGTCCACCCTTTATAACATGGGATCAGGTGTCTTATATAAGCAAGCATCCCCTATGTACTGATCAGGCAGATGTAATATTCCATAGTCAAATTCAGTACAGAAATCTAAGAATCTAGTGTTAGCATTGGCAGAATTTATTATACCTCATTGTCACGACTCATAGTTTAAGCCTGTATGCGGGTGGTGATTTTCTACCCCCTTCCCCATCCAATTCCTTTCCAAATATTCTCATTCTCTCACTTAAAATTCCTTTAAAATTACTCTCTCACGAGATGAAACAAATTGTTGAACAGGAATTTGGTTTGTTTATTACAATCGATATGGCTACTGTGACTTCTAATCTTGTCTCATCATTGTAAATAATGAATGAAGATTGGCTAGGTCTAAAATCACGATATAACGAGACAGTGGAAATAGCTCTACACTAGTCAATTAGAAAACATTGTATTTGTTATTTGTGCTTCGGAAAGCATTTCAGATTATTTTCTATGGCGTCTTCAGCAGATATTACCTTTACTTATACATGTATTTCTTTTACCTTTATATATTACATGTATTTTTAACTACTGATTTCCATAACATTCAAATCAATCTTTTGACATAATTTTCATTACACGTATCCATCCGTAGGACCTATTTCTAATCGTTAAGCCTTATGCGAAGCTGATAACATTTTCAGTTTATTAATTCCTTTAAATCCATCACAGTAAACATGCAAAATAAGAACTAAAGGAGGAAAACTAAATTATGAAATCTACTCACGTGAAAAATTCTATCAGTGTTGAATTCCTTCTCTACCAGGTAGATTGCAATCGGTTCGTGTTTGTGTGATATTGCGAGATTAACGGGATCTGTAGCGGGATGTCTCTGTAGGAACTGCAAATAAAATCAGATTCCTATGGATCTTAGAATGACTGTCTATTGTCTAGTTTCTTCGTTAATGATTTTTTTGTGCATAGCATCAATGTTTGTTAGCCAACAGTCGAAGAGACCATGCCTGCGAGTCAATATTAAAAATAATAACTATCTGACATTTAATGAAAAAAGACTATAATCAATATTTAACAAGAGGCCCAGGGGCCACAGCGCTCACCTGAGCACATCCGGCTTGAATTTACTACCCCCCCCTTCCAGGCGTTCATCATTTGAACAAACTAGAATCTACACTTACTATGATTCCATATAAATATCACTAATCATAGCTTTGAAGTACTTTTTTAAAAGGTTTCCCTATATATCCCTAAGTTAAACTTGGGTCGGCCATTTTTGCCCCACCCTAGCCCCAGGGTCGGGGGTCATGATTTGAGCAAACTTGAATCTACACTACCTGAAGATGATTCCACATGAGTTTCATCTTTCCTGGCCCAGTGGTAATTGAGAAGGATATTTCCTATATATTCCTATGTAAAACTTGGGTTGGCCATTTTGGCCCCACCCTTGCCCCGGGGGTCATGATTTGAACAAACTTGAATCTACACTACCTGAGGATGATTCCACATGAGTTTCATCTTTCCTGGCCCAGTGGTTCTGAGAACAAGATTTTCAAAGATTTTTCCTATATATTCCTATGTAAAACTTGGGTCCCATTTTAACCCCACCCTTGCCCCGGGGGTATGGTTTGAACAAACTTGAATCTACACTACCTGAGGATGATTCCACATGAGTTTCATCTTTCCTGGCCCAGTGGTTCTGGAGAAGAAGATTTTCAAAGATTTTTCCTATATATTCCTATGTAAAACTTGGGTCGGCCATTTTGGCCCCACCCTTGCCCCGGAGGTCATGGTTTGAACAAACTTGAATCTACACTACCTGAGGATGATTCCACATGAGTTTCATCTTTCCTGGCCCACTGGTTCTGGAGAAGAAGATTTTTAAAGATTTTTCCTATATATTCCTATGTAAAACTTGGGTCGGCCATTTTGGCCCCACCCTTGCCCCGTCATGATTTGAACAAACTTGAATCTACACTACCTGAGGATGATTCCACATGAGTTTCATCTTTCCTGGCCCACTGGTTCAGGAAAGAAGATTTTTAAAGATTTTTCCTATATATTCCTATGTAAAACTTGATTTTGGCCCCATTGCCCCGGGGGTCATGATTTGAACAAACTTAATCTACACTACCTGAGGATGATTCCACATGAGTTTCATCTTTCCTGGCCCACTGGTTCTGGAGAAGAAGATTTTCAAAGATTTTTCCTATATATTCCTATGTAAAACTTGATTTTTTTTCATGGTTTGAACAAACTTGAATCTACACTACCTGAGGATGATTCCACATGAGTTTCATCTTTCCTGGCCCAGCAGTTCTGGAGAAGAAGATTTTTTAAAAATGCCATTAATTTTTAACAAATTCATGATTATCTCCCCTTGGAAAAGGGCGTGGCCCTTCATTGCCAAACTTGAATCCCCTTTACCCAGGGATACTTTGTAGCAAGTTTGGTTGAAATTTTGAAAAATTTGAAAAGTTAACGACGACAACAACGACAACAACGACTACAACGACTACAACGACAACGACAGACAACGGACAAATTTTGATCAGAAAAGCTCACTTGAGCCTTCGGCTCAGGTGAGCTAAAAACTGCATGCTTATTCGTATCTATGCCATTTTTGTTTGTGATATCTAGTTCCTAGGACATATAATAATCATTGCATTCATTTTTTTCGCCACAATCTTTTTGGGTTGATAAAAAATTCATGGTTTCATATACTATAGCAGTTACATTTTCTTAGATGAACTTTAATAACGATAATTTATTGCTTAAAATTCTTAACCTTATAGAATTACAAAATGAATATCACAAGCCCTTTATGGTTTTGATTTTCTGTCTTGCTTCACTGAAATGTTTGTTATTTGATCGAAATATAGATTAGAAAGATTATGCGTAAATCTTTTAAATGTCAATCGAAATTCAAAATTTAAAATCGTTTTGATCCAATACACAATACTCGTACATAAACATGTAAATGCTTTCATAAAATGTTGCATACCTTTTCTTCGATCTCTGAAATAACGGTTTTGTCAAGAACGGGGTCCAATAATAGCTGTATCTCCCTTAGTTCTCCCTCCTCGATGTGGTAATGAAGCTACAAGAGTTAATAAAAAATGCCAATTCCTTCATGTTTAAATCCATCTGTTCATAATGTAAACAATCTAACCCCCCCCCCCCCCCCACCAGCACCACCACCTACCCGCACCTCCTTCCTAAGAACTATAAATTTTATGGAGATATACATTGTTAAAACTTTTGCTTGCCCATTTTCCCAATACATGTATATATTATTGCAGATGAATAATTTCTTTATTAGTTCATTTCCCTAAACAAGCAACAGTCAGGAAGAGCTACAAACAAAAGTATTGTAATATTAGAAAACCCTTTTGGAGATTGTGAAGATTTTTACCCCTTTATCGAGGCAATATTTTAATATAAAACAAATAATTCAAAATACTAAAAATCTGAATTTTCTTTAAGGATAAATAACACAAACAAACTTTTTTCAGTGATCAGCATTATTTCTCATATATTATCATTTAAATTGACAACCTGAATAATGTTTACCAAGTAGAGTATTTTAATATAAAAAATTGTGCAAAATTTTGTATGGAAATATATAGAAGGCAAAATAAAATTCAAAATAAGCACCAATGAAAACCTATTTCTTTATATTTCAGGGATTTATTATTTAGATCAATACAAATCAAAATCAGTCAAAAAATATATATCAACCCGCGCATCCATTTTTTGTTTGTGGTAGGTACCCTTAAACCGTTTCAAATGCTGGGACAAGTCGCTAAGAATACCAATCTGCTTTCGAAATTTTATAAAAGTTCATGAGGCTTTTTAAGGATTGAGATGAATAATGAATAACTTATAAATTAAATGGACTATAATGGAATTGGGGGCTCGTCAATATATTTATTAAAGGCCCGATATAGTATTTTTACGTAACATTTAAGATGTACAATCAATGACATTTTAAATAATTTGTTCCCACAGATAATTTGCTTATCTTGTAAGCGTAATTAGATCTGCTTTAAACATTCATGCATAGATTCGTTAGATTGAATAAAAAAAGAAGATAGAAATCTACTTAACCGTCTCTAAATATGGAAGCTATTTTGACAGCCTTGTAACATGAATCAGATGAAAATGAATTTATTTTGACATTAATTTGACAAATTTGGACAAACCTTATCAAGAGTGAACTATTATTTAGACCTCCTTGAAAAACCAATTCAGTCGTCCACACCTTGTATTAACTATTAACTTTCCTGGGATTATCTACAGATTAAACTTATGCACACTTATTGATAGAATTTGAGTGATTCATTCTAACAGAAAAGCACCCTAGATTATTTATTCAATAACAATATACTCGAACAAAGGCAAACATACGCAGCAAACTCCATTTATTAGCAATATTTCGATTATTGGATAAATAATACAAAAAGGGTTGTGCAAACATTTAATAGTTTGTATTTATTTTATTCCAATGCACTTTTAAAATATTTCACTCATCGCTGAATAGACGCAACGATCATATGCTGGGTATACATGTATGCAATTATTATACAATGATAATGGACAATTTTAATATATATATACTAGTATATCTCTCTCTCCCTCTCTCTCTCTCTCTTGTGGTAATTGGCAAAAAGAGTCGTTAACTAGAATAAAGATACCTTTCAAAAATAACAAAATTACACGCAAAATAATTTTATAAGGAATTTTAATAGATGTCTATCTTGCTAACAGAATAAACCACATGGATACATTTAATTTTCTTGCAATTCTTTTGTAAGACAGAACAGGATTTTGTGAAAGAATTAAAAAAACAACAACATGGGAGCTGACCTTATTTGAGATATTTTCGACGTCCATCACATGACAATATGCTAGTCCCACTTTTGGTTTGCTAGGAGGATATTTGTACTGAAAATAGACAAATAAATCTAGGCTGTAAGGAAGTTTTGCCAAAAGGATTATGATTTTAAATGGTTAAGAACTGCGTTTGGCACTTCAGACCGCTTCACCGAGTCAAATCGTCGTCTAGATGTGTTCAAATGGAAGGAATTGAGAAAAGATTTTGTTTATGTCTGCGATTGAAGTAATGCAAGATGATTTTTTTTTTAGGTACAATAGACATCCAAATAAAACAATATGTACTTTAAGTTAAGTATTTTTTTTAATACCGTTAAAGGGACAATCTCCAAAACTTGACATAAAAAATGGAGAAAAATTGTATAGGTAGATGCCCAATTTTTTTTTTGATGAATATTGAATATTATTCAAAGATTCTTAGAAGGTTATATTTCGGGGAGGGGGTGTTTTTGTTGTTACACGGTCCATACCATAGCTGCCAATGGGGAAAGAATCAAACCAACAAACATATATGCGCGATTTTTTCTTAGATAAATGTCTCATACATTTATCATATGCACCTAGCAGCCAAATTTCACTACTCTGAACAAAGAGCAGAGGTTACTATGTCAAAAGTTAAATGAAAACTATAACGTATGCTGCAAATGCAGAAGACGACTTTGGGGGTTGGTTGATAGATGGGATGGTTGGAACACTTTACATAAGAAATTAAAAGATAAAAAAAAAAAATCAATCGTCTTTATATCTACTGAGTTTACATGTTCAGCAACTGTTAGACATTTAGGAAATATCGATCTTTGAAAATGCAAAATATACTCTAGCTATACTTGCAGCGACGTACCTTGTTTAATTATTAATCCTCAAACTTATATTGTGGAGTTGTTTTGCACATCCGTATATCACGGTGTCAGTGTTGTGACCTGTGTTTTAAAGTCGCCATATTTTATTTCGTATAGTAGATTTAAAACTCATTGATCGCCATAGCAAATGTAAACAAACCCCTTATCATATATGCGGCACGAGGCACCACTATAAATAATAGTATTTACAAAATATAGATTTTTTTAAATTAAAATTTTCATACAAATATATTGTATTTGATAATGTGACGTTTTCAACTTGCAAAGAGAAATTAGATAAGCTTTCGAAACAATGGAGAATAACGCTAAAGATTTAAGGTAGTGCCTGTCACTACCTTTTAAACACAGGCATTTAATCCTCTCAAGTTAAATATAGGACGTGATAGGTCTTATTCCAGTTTTGATTATTTTGAGAAGTGAATGTTTTATATGCATAAATGTGTGAACCTAAAAATGATTCTTTTTATATCCCCGTAAACGAAGCTTCGGGGGTATATAGTTTTTGTCGTGTCCGTCCGTCTGCCTGTTTGTCCGCAAAAACTTTAACCTTACCTATAACTTTTGATTTAGTGGAGCAATGACTTTCATATTTCACATGTGTATTTCTCGTGACAAGACCTTTCTTTGGGTACAACCAAATTTGACCTTTTGACCTTGATCTTGGAGTTTGACCCACTTTAACACAAAAAGTTTGAACTTTTACATGTACTTTGGCCATATCTTTTGAACAATAGACACCAGGACATTTATACTTGACATATGTATTCTTCTTTCAAAAACCTTTCACTGAATACCAAAACTTTAACCTTGACTTTAGAGATTTTTCATACCTATGAAAAAACTTTAACCTTGACTATAACTTTTGAACAATAAGGACTAGGGCTTTCATACATCACAAATGTAATCCTTGTGAAAAGATCTTTCATAGGATACCAAGAACCTTGACCCTTTGACCTTGACCTTGGAGTTTGACCTACTTTAAAAATACAACCTTGACCATAATTTTTGAAGGGTTAGGACTAGGGCATTCATACTTCACAAATTTAATCCTTGTGACAAGACCTTTCATTTGATATCAACAACCTTGACCCTTTCACCTTGATGTTTGACCTACTTTTTACAAACTTTGACCTTAGCCTTAACTTTTGAACAGTAAGGGCTAGAGCTTTCATACTTCCCATACGTATTCTTTGAGACAAGGCCATTCATTAGAAACCAACAACCTTGACCCTTTGACCTTGACCCGGAGTTTGTCCTATCTTATATAATGTTAACCTTGGTCATAACCCTGGAACAGGTGTATCTAGCGTTTTATATTTCGTATTTCTTGTGAAAAGGCCTACTTTTGGTACCAACATATTTGATCTGCATTTGAGAAAGCTTAACCTTCGCTATTTTGAAATACGGGGGCATCAGTGTTTCACAAACACATCTTGTTTCTTGCTTGAATTTAAAAAGAGAGAGAGAGAGAAAGAGAGGCTTTTTGGTTAAGATAGGGCTAAGTGGTGTATATATAAAATATTTTTGTTTTTTAAATAGTTGGACAAGTGGATAGGGAGAGGTATTATCCATCATTAGGGTAGAGGTTGCTTATGTGGCAGTTATTCCCTCAGTTTACATAGGACTAAATGAGATGGACCATATTCACCTAGCTTTGGATGCTGCATCTAAAATACTTCTTAAGATGAATTTCTATGCATTCTGTAGTAGGTCCTCAATCAATCTATTTAAAATTAGTTCTTCTATGGAATCCAGATAGGGCAATGAAGTTCATAACTGCACCATCGGCTTAAGGGCCGATGGTGTAATAATGCAATGGCACGATGACGGTGAAGCAATGGCGAAACAATGCGATACCGATGGTGCGATAGCACAATGAAAAAGATAGAAGTGAACATCGCTTCATCATCATCAAACTATCGAGCCATTGTCATCGTTTCATCATAGCATCGTAATCACATTGTCACACCATCGTCATCGCACTATACCTTCATCTATTAGTGCATCATTGCATTAAAGACTCAAACATCGATGGTGAGATGGTACACTGCATGGGGGGGGGGGGGGGGGGGGGGATTATCTATCTCCTGAAATGATGAAAACCTACCAGTATTTACAGAGTATACTGTATCTTCATTTCTAAAATTTTCATTTAGAGACATTGAAATATAAAAACTTTGAAAGCATACTTCTCTCTTTTAAAAATAAGAACATCTATGAAATATAAAATATTTATTTAGTTATGTTACTTATTAGCAAGCAAACATTTCAAAATGACAATAGATCCAGCAATAACAATTACACATGTTCTAAACGTGAAACAATTCCCTGAAATAAGATCAAAGTTTCATAACCCTCCCAACATAGGGGTGGTGATACTTTGGTAACAAATAAGACAAACTAACTGAGACAGTCTAACTAAATACAGGCTACTACTAATTCTAATACACTGTAATAAATGAGACAACTAAAATTTTCTATTACCTCTAGGTTTCTCTCTTAAAAAAACAAACCTTGTACCAACTTAAATTATAAATGATATCATATATCCTATTTGTTCTTTGGGGATGCTGTGTGCATATAAATATATATTATAAAATGGACTGAATTATAATAACATTTGGGTTAAATTAGGTCATTATGTCTGTTACAGTATCAGATCTGAGTTAACTAAAACACACAATAATTTGAAAAACAACACATTTCATTCAGAAGAAAATTGAATTCCCTAACTTTGTGAGTCTTAACAGAGAGGCAAGCTGATAAAATAAGTATTTTTTTATATTATGTATATAATGAGGAAAAATACAGAGACTTTACTTTTTTTTTTACATTTAAAATATGCTTAACATGGTGAGTAAAGGGAACTTGAAAATTTTGACTCTGTGCAACTCTTTCTTAAATTAATGTGTACATGATATATATATATCAAAAGAGACTATTCCCAGTAAAGTGGCAAAGTTATGATTCTGCACATAGTACTTTTGCAAATTTAGCACAATAAATTGTTTACATTTCTGGTAATTACAAATATAACAAACTAACAATTGACACAGTGGCCTCAAAGATCAACAACATACAGGTTATTTCCCTTGGTGAGATCAGCTACTATTTGTTCATGTTGACAATTATATAAAGGTTATCATGTAATACATTTTATGAGAATAAATTAAGGAAAACAATGATACACAGAATTACAAAATTATAAAATATAAACAAAGCAAAAAATCATACTTTACGAATATTACAAAGTATGAAGATTAACATAAGAATAATACAAAATGTGTATAAACTGAGACATGAGGGAATGTTATTAATACACAACACATTAAAATGACTGAGTGAAATATGAAAATGAAGCATAAATTTTTAATATCATTTAAACAAACATAAATACATGTACATATAACACAACAGACTATTTTCATTTTGAGTAATAGCTTTACAAAGGCACTGCCCGCTACCATATACACTGAAAAGCGGTGGATTATCTTTGTACATGTACATGTATCATAAATGGAACTTAGAAATGTACAGAAAAACTGAGAAAGTGCTTGTTGAACATTCCATTTTCAAGCTGCAAATTCCCCTATTTATTCAGAATTCTCTGTTAAGTATCACATCAAAATGAGCATAACAACAACAGAAATCATAAAAAATCCTATTACATTCAATGTCTATAAATGTTTATAATTTGAAATTGGTCCCCTGTACTAAAAATTAAATGCATGATTCATATTATCAGTTTACTGACCATCTGAGGACAAAACAATCAACTTCTATTTGGAAGACTTACACAAATGTTTAGGAATACTTTATTTCTGGTCATAGAATACAAATCTCAGTAAAACAGACTCTGTATTCAAAGTTAACAAGACAAACTTTGAACTAAAAGAAAAAAACCAATGTGTTGGCAGGACAAATGAGTTGTTTGCACCATTTATTTTCTGAGGGTGTCCACATTTACAACTGTAAAGCTTAGCTAACTGCACCATAGACATGTTTAAAGCTGCGGCAAAATTTCATCACAACCTTAGCAATTTAACAACAGAATAACAATTTACAATGTTTCCATTTTTAATGTACGATGACACTTTCCAACATGAAAAAATACTGGTTCCTTTCCAATGTAAACAATGAATAATTCTCCTTGGTTTGATCCTGTGTTTGTGAAATCATCATGAAGAACATTATCGCCATTTCTTTAAATCTTCCCAGACTTGAAATGTTGCACTGTACTTTCCTTCAAAGTCTTTAGAAGAGACTTAATTCACTGACATTATCAAAATATCAGCACTTTACATTTCCGACACAGTTTGTATGTAAGAGGATAGAACTTCTCTGTTGAGGCTAGATGAGTCTTTCAGACCCGGGACTTGTTACCTGACTTACTGCCAGGTCTACTCCAAATTCTCCCCGTTTTCATTGACGTCTGTTCCGGACTTGATGGCCCAGATTCCCACAGTGTGGTCACTATGGAAACAAAGCAAAATGAAATCAGAAAATGATTGAATTTAACATAAAGAAGAAAAATGTTCAATGAAATTGCCAAAATGTTGAAAAAAGAAATTATTAAAAATTATCCTTCATAAAAGATATTCTAAATGATTTTTAAATGTCTTTTGGAGCCACACACTACAAAAAATTAACTTGGAAGGTTTGGAAATGTACACAGGCTCAATAAAAAGTATAACTTTTATGTCTAGCCAGACTTTTATGTTTGATAATGTCATCTTGGGAAATGAATTGATTACAACTGTGAAGAATGCAAACTTTGAACTGCTCATAAAATAAATGCAAAAGACAGGGAAAAAAAGAGAATGATAAAAAAATTAAGTCATCCTGTTTAACATTACTCATTCCTTTATATTCATAGTACTGAAGTTAATATTGGACTTTAGACATATAGCATGCAGCTGTATAAATTTATTGACTGGGCTAAAAGGTAACATTCATTTTGTTGGACCCAAGAAAACTGTGTTAGGCCAATAAGCTGAAGACAAACAGCTTGTTTTGAGGGTCAGCAAAATGCATTCTACCCATGCAAGAACAGGGTCAATAAATCTTTTACCTTTCACTTTTTACAGGGACATATTGCACTGGCTATTATGTTTGCCATAGATGTAAACTTCAGCAGTAAACATTAGAAATGGCAGTATAGATTAATAAAGGAACAATTTTAAATGGTATAACAAAAGAAGTTATTTCCCTTTGCTTGTGGAGCATTGCATGCTTTGAATAAAAGAATGGTCAAATATAAAATTCACATGATTGTATTCTCCTGTACTGCCAGAATTTCACTTCAGTTTCACTGAAACACAGAGAATTTTACTTCACATTTTTGATTTCCATATAATAATAAATGACTTATTCCCACATCTCAATTAGGCTTCTGTTTTACCAAGATGCATTGAAATATGTGCAATATTAACCCATCCAATTGTACACTTTTCTCAAATGCATAAATATCCAAAAACACATGCACTGAAATGATTGAATTTACTATCAGACATCTCTTATTCAATGACATGAAAATGAATATTTCACAATCAAACATCTAGTACATATGTACTTACTTGGAGGCTGTGAAGATAGCAGAGGAGTTGGTTGCTATGGCGTTTATGGGACTACTGTGGGCCTTGATTTCTCCTAGCTGGTTACAGTTCTCTATATTCCATAGTTTGAGGTACCCCCCTCGACAACCACTGAACAGAATGTTGTTTCCTGGCATGAATTTCAGAGCACATATCCAGTCCTTGTGAGCAGAGTTCAGAGACTAAAAGTAACACAAAATATCAAGTAATAAAAACTGAAATCACAGGTATCATAAATTATAAGTCTAATTTAACTTTTCTCTTTTAGAGCACTTTTGTCCTGGCAGATCATCATATAGACAGCAAGAAAAAAGTCATTTTAGGGATTTTTTTTTTTTAAATATGAAAATTATTTGAGGATTATCAACACTTGGTAGAGACTTACATGTTTTAGCTGCTGTGTGGACAGGTCCCACTTCTTGATACACATATCCCTGGATCCACTAAACAGAGTATCCTCATGTATACATAATGCCTGGATACCGTCGTAGTGGGGAGGCTCTAGGTTATACTTTGGGGTCATTATACCCGCCCTCTCCTCTACCACCTCAAACATCTGAAACATACCAAGATATAACAGTAATGTAAGTTAACATCTTCATAGTTAAAGTTGAGTCCAGTTTGACTTACTTACATTTTCACAAAAAACAATATCTTTTAATATCTTTTATGTTAGGAGATACCTTGATGTAGTGGTCTTTGGATCCTGTCAGAACAATATCATTTGTCTCCCACCTGTCTACTGCTATAGCCATTACAGCGGCTTGATGACCACCATTCAATTTACCAATAGCACAAAAACTGTACAAGACAATCATTTATTACATGTATATTATTCAATAAATCATATACAATAGTGTTTATCAGCTATTCTAAGTCTAACACATTTAAAATTCAATTTAAGATTTATCCTTGAAAAAGAATTCAGATATTTCTGCTCTATAATTTGAAATACTGCCCTTTTCATAGAGTTTTGTTTTACCTCTTTAGGTCCCAGACTCTGACTACATTCCCAGCAGCACTGTATAGAGCTGTCCCGTCTTCATTTAATGCAATATCATTAATGTGATGCTCTCCTGGAGCCAGCTCAATCTGACGAGTGGATCCAAAGTTTACACAACCATCATGGGTTAATCCAGAGGAACTGCAAAATGTGAGACATTATTAGGATTTATACTTGTATGTGTTATAAACAACTTCTGATCCAGAGAGACGACTTTGCAACAGATGCATAAGCAGAAACACAATTCTGCTTTAAGTATCTTTTCCTGCATTTTTATAATCAGAACCCTAACACATAAATACATTACAAGACATTTGAGGTATGAATAAACTGTACACTGCAATTTTATTTAAACAAACAACAGAAACTAAGACATATGAATCAATATACCTGAGAGTTTTGATGCACTGTTTGGTTGAGCTCCGAGTGTCCCAGACACTGATGTAGGACTGAGACACAGTGAATAATAACTTAGACTGCGGGCAGTACCTCACACACACAACATTGTTAGGGTGACCTGTATAGGAGGCAACTTCTTTCCCTGTGTGGAGGTCCCAGGTTTTGGCAGTTCGGTCTGAAAAAAAATGAAATGGCTTAGTGCTTACTTGCTGTAAAACTTTTTTTATGATACTTTCATTCAGAGCTTCAAGAAATTAAGAAGGTTAAAGATTTCCTTAAATAATTCATGCAGTAAGAATTAATATTAGTTTTTTGAATTCCCTGCAGAAGAATATTTTTATTTTTATCTTAAATAGGTTATCAGAAACATTTCCTTGAATTTAAACTGATATAACTTAAGATTTTTAAGAATATCCCAAAATACCACCTGAATCAGAAAAAGCACAAAAAGCATCACTTGTTCTCACCTTTACTGCTGGTAAAAAGCAGGTCCTCGGTGGCATCCAGTGACAGCACAGCCTTACTGTGGCCCTCCGCTGTATGTGTACACACCACAGGGGCCGTCTTACTGGGGGGAACCTTCCCAGTGTTTGGAACAATCTGCCCTCTGTGATATAAAATTAGAATTGTTGGATTCTTGAGAGGTATACGACAGAAGAGTTGTAAAAGTATTCCTTTGTTTTTGTGTTATGAGAATTTTTGCAAGAGAATTTTTATGTATTATGCTTTTGTGTGAGTAGATGGGTTATGCAGTGACAAGCACCTGTCGCGTGAATGGATGACAAGCACCTATTGTGTGAGTGGATAGCTTACATAGTGACAAGCACCTGTTGTGTGAGTGGATAGCCTACATAGTGACAAGCACCTGTTGTGTGAGTGGATAGCTTGCATAGTGACAAGCACCTGTTGTGTGAGTGGATAGCTTACATAGTCACAAGTACCTGTTGTGTGAGTGGATAGCTTACATAGTGACAAGCACCTGTTGTGTGAATGGATGACAAGCACCTGTTGTGTGAGTGGATAGATTACATAGTGACAAGCACCTGTTGTGTGAGTGGATAGATTTGTAGTGACAAGCACTTGTTGTGTGAGATAGATTTGTAGTGACAAGCACCTGTTGTGTGAGTAGATGGGTGATGTAGTGACAAGCACCTGTTGTACCAGTGGATGGATGATGTAGTGACAAGCACCTGTTGTGTGAGTGGATGGGTTATGCAGTGACAAGCACCTGTTGTGTGAATGGATGACAAGCACCTGTTGTGTGAGTGGATGACAAGCACCTGTTGTGTGAGTGGATAGCTTACATAGTGACAAGCACCTGTTGTGTGAGTGGATAGCTTACATAGTGACAAGCACCTGTTGTGTGAGCAGATAGATTTGTAGTGACAAGCACCTGTTGTGTGAGTAGAAGGATTTGTAGCGACAAGCACCTGTTGTGTGAGTGGATAGATTTGTAGTGATAAGCACCTGTTGTGCGAGTGGATAGATTTGTAGTGATAAGCACCTGTTGTGTGAGTGGGTGGGTTATGCAGTGACAAGCACCTGTTGTGTGAGTGGATGGTTGTGTGTGAGAGATCAGGTCATCTAGCAAGTACCTGTTGTGTGAATTTGGTTGAGAAGTGATGAGAAGTTGCTGTCCAAGAAAGTGATTATTTTATCCTAGTTCTTTTTTGCATGACTGAATGATATTTCAATGAAAAGTTCATTTTTTGGAGAGAAAGTTTTTGACAGTCAATTCATTAGCAACTGTGATAATACAGATTATTTTCTTAATTGTGCAATCACTGAGTTATGTACAATAACAGTACATTACCTGTTTGGTGGTTGTAGAGTTGGTGGCTTGGTATTGCTGGTAAGCCTGGAGAACACATTGTCATCTGTGGGTCGGTCTCTGGCCCGCCGAGACAGTGTGGGGGAGGAGGGAGGGGTGGTATCAGAGGAGGTAGCGTCTCTGTAAAATAGGAATAGTAAACATTGCATAACAGCTAAAAATAGATACCAGTTACAAATCATATTTTGAAAACAATAAACCCACAAAATAAGGAGTTGATTTGGGGTATTTGAAAGATTACATCTACAAAACACAAAGTTTTGAAATGTTATGGACTATTTTAACATAAAAAATCTCACAAACACAAAAAACAATAACCTTATTATTCTGGATTTTGAGGATCAATAAAATTTTGTGATATGGTTCCCATATCTAGTCATCGTTTTTTTTATTGTGGAGGTAAAAATTAAATCATCTGTTTTGACATGTGTAAAAGATATATGAAATATTTATAAAAACATTTCATGTCAAATATTTTGTACCATAATCTATAACAGAAAAAGATTGCCATTGACACAATAACACATAGCTTTAGATATCAAAAAGTATGACAAAATTGGCCACATACTCAGATAAAGCCCACTTCAGCGCCGAGATAACGAGAGATGAAATTATGATTGAAGAACAAAACAAATTGCTTAATCGGCCCAGAAATCAATGTCTTGTAAATCACAAGGTGGTTATTTTTGCCACCACTTCAGATTGCCGCTAACAAGAACTGTATCGTAATCAGCATCTCCTCAGGAACCCCGGATAGCAGCCATTGAAGAACAATTACTCCAATCCCTTGCCCCATTACAAGTACTTGAGGACTTCTCAAAAGAGGTATTTACAGGCCAAAATGTAATTAGAGGAATCTATTGAGAACACAAAACAGCAGGAGTTGTTAAACAGTTTGTTTTCTTAAATTGTTATGTTTTATCATGAATATTTTTTTCTGTTTTCCCCCTATTTTGTCCCTAAATCTAATCAGAAAATAAAACAGTCATGGACCAACAGTTAACACAGAACAGGCAAGTACTCTCATAGAAAACTTTTCTTGTGTTTAACTTTTGATAGGTATCTTGTTTTCAAAATCATGGATTATTAAAAATAAATATATAAATAAATAATATAGTTTCTTTTTTAAATTCCGAGACATATACTAGTATAACAAAATTGACCTGTAGAACAAAATAAAATTGAAAATTAGAACAATTTCAGAGTTTGTTTCCGTAAATGTATGACAAGAAAGTTGTTTCTATGTGACCCTAGAAATTGGGATGTGGGTGGGTGTAAGTACTTAAAATTCACTGACATTATTCCAAATACTTATAAATATTCAATTCTCGCTGCATACTAACAAATGGCATATCAATAAAATTGTAAAACTTTTTAAAAACAAAATGCTTAGTAGGATGGTTAAGTTTTATAGATTACGGTATTCAAATTGATGTAAAGTGTGGGCCCATACAATGAGGATTATCTTGCTTGTTGATCTTCTCAAATTTCATTAATTTTACAAAGAAAATGAATGCCACTTTTTTTGGACTGAAAATTAAATAAAATCTGTTACTGTTAAAAATAAAACTGAATTTTCATTGACTAATTTGAAATAGCCTAAAAATTTATTTTGCTCTAGGTTTTAAAATAACAATCAACAGTGAATTCTTACTAGTGATTCTTTTGTGTCAATTTGTTTAACTATAACCACTTCTTTATACTGTGTCCCATGAATCTATATTAGGTAGTTCTTGTCAGTAGATACGTACTGTATACAGCCTACTCCGGATATATTGAAATTCAGGGGACCAGGCAAATTATTTCAATATATCTGTAATTCAATTTAAGTAAAATCGTGAAGCCACCATTATTCACAGTTTCATCCCAATCTAAAAAAAGAAGATCAAACCGGAACAAATTAATTCGGTCATCATTTATCTAAAATATTGAACAGATTACATGGAACATTAATCTTTTATATAAAATTATTTCTTTCTATTTTATTGAGAAGACAATATTCAACCTCATTATAAAATTCCCAATCACATTCTTTTGGGTTTTGGAGAAAAATCATCGGACCCCAACCAGTCAATTTACTGCTGAACGCTACTTGTTTATTATCGTAAGTGTACTTGAGTTAATCCCAAAATTCTTAGCTTTTCGAATTCAGGCATATCAATTTCCTATTTAGTCTCAAAGTTCAAGTTTTTCTATTTCTATGGGGTTCCTTTATTTTTTTTTTTTTAGCCTCCTTATGTCTGTATGCATGAAAATGAAAAAAAAATTGAATAATTTTATTTTGTAAAAGCAATATTAAAAGACGAAAAGTGAATACCTCAATACAGCAGATTTCAATATAACCATTATTTTAATGCAAAGAATATGAGAGGCTAAAACTTGGGATTAATTTTTATTTCAAAATAAGCGACTTCAATATAAGTGGAGTTAGCTGTATACTTAATGTACAGATTTTTGTATCAGGTACCCATTGTCTGCTGTGGAACATGAAGGACATAGCCTCTTCAAGATAAAACAAAGCTTAAGAACTGTATATTGTACATAATTCAAGCAAATTACAATATATTGGATTTTAAATTTCTTTTAAATGCTTTGATAGTTAACACATTCTTTTTTTTCTAAAGTTAATTTAACAGTGACTTTGAAGCTGTCAATAAATAAACAAAATGGACAACGCCCCACTAAATTTACAATTCTATCGCAGGAACAAATCTCTAAGCTTCAACTACATTCAATGGAATCTTCCACATGGAATACCTTTGTTTATTTGTCTAGACTAAAACAATGGCTACACCAAATGACATCAAATCATTTTAGTAATGAACTCATTGACTGTGAATTTTAATTATACTTCAGTTAATGTGCTTTACTGTCATTTTTGTAAATTTTCAATAATAAAAGCTTTGATTTTCAAAGATAAGACTCTGAAAGTCAAGACCACACAAAAGCTAACAATAAAATAGTTTCACTTTTCAATTTACATTGTGACTAAATTACTCACTGGAAAATTTTTCCATATATTGCAATCTTAAGTTAATCAAACTTCATGACAGTTAATATTTCATTTATAAATTTTTGAACTTAGAAAGAAGTGTTCTCTTTATTATTGCTTCATCTAATTTTGAAGGAAAATTTGTTTACTCTTCCAAATTAAAGTAAGTGACATAAATATTTGGTGAGTGGGGGTTGAGACTGTTTTATAAAAAGAGACTATTTGGTAATTTAGAGAACAAATCTTTTTTTAAAATTAAAAAATGAATGGATTTCTATTCTGAATCTAATCATGCAATTATATCATATTTATATACTTCCTTCTTGTTTAATTTTGACTGAAAAGGGGAGGGGACTAGAAACAAGGATCAATTAAAAATTTAATATTAAATATTTCTAGTTAATTTTTAGCTACCAGTATCTGAAATTAATCTTTTTAAAAAGATCTGTTTAAAATAAAAAAGGGGGGGGGGGATTAATAAGTCACTTTAAACTTATTTTTTGTATAAATTATATATATACATATTTTTTTGAAAAGCACAACATCCCCATCTTATCAGGTAAAGAAGTCCACTGAGTACATAAAGGAAGAGAGACGGTCCTCCAACAGAAACATGACATTACCCGACTGTCTCAATGAGGCCCGTCTGGGTACAGCTGAACTTATGTCTAGACACAAGGAGGAGGGGGCTGTTTTTACATCCAAATCAAAGACAAGTCGCAGGTAAGCAGATTTTTTATACTCGTAGTGAGATGTGTCTATATATGTAGCATATAAGTGCTTTCTCCTTTGCAAAAATTTTTGAATTTTTTTCTCTCTCACTAAACCAAGAAAAAAATTGCAAACTATCTGAAAGGTAAAATGAAAATTGGTCTTGTGTGGCTTACATACAGTGAAACCTTTTTATTTTGAACTCATGCAGTGGGACCTAAGAAAAAGATTGTGGTATCCAGACTTGAGTTTAAAATACACAAAAAGTAATTGGGACTTAAAAATCACTTTGACACTTATCCATGGTATCTGAGAAATCAATGTTCAATATATACTCAAGTTCAACTATGGGTATATCAATTTCTATCTAGTAAGAAGGTTCTAACCCAAACCATTGTAAATATCAATGCAATTTTTACATAAGGACATGGTACATTTTGACCCTGTAACCCATTCAAGTTTTTTTCTTCATCAGACCAACTCCTTGTTTAAATATGAATATGCAAACTCAAAATTTTAATTTCCTGTTATTGAATGAAACACTAATAAATTATTACAATTTTATTAAAAGAAAAGAAGCCCTTTGACCCCATAGACAATCTAAACCAACCTCTTCATTAGACACAATCATGGTACAAAATAAAACTCTCTATTTCAATCTTTTCCTATAAGAGTGGGATATATGATAAAACATGTGGGTACTGAATAACCTCATACCTCTCCCCACCCCCTTACCCCAAATTTAAATGAACGTATAAAAAAAATCATTTAATTACTTTTCTTAATTTCAACGATGATTCAGGGATTTGTAGGAAATGGAAATGATAAATGGATTTTGCTTTTCAACAATTTCAGAAGGTGGAAAGAAGTTGTTTTTATTGAATATAAGTATAGTTACTTTTATTACTTGAACAAAACACTGTACTCAATGAATCTTCAAGATTTGTCAATGTCCTTTGAAGTATTAGCTGGCAAGATAGAAACCTTTTGCCCTGAGGTAAATCTTTTCATCTCAAACATGAGCAATTCAAAAATACAAGACTTCTCTAATAAAACAAACATTATTTCCTATACAAAGTCTTAAGACCCCTTCTACAAAATATCAAACTGAAATCACTAATCACTAATCCTAAGCTATTCACATAATGAATTTCAATGATAAAGTTTGAAGTAATAACCAAAGAAATATCAACATGAAGGTTGAGATTCATTGTGTAAGAGGAAGCCCGAAGAGGAGACTTCTATATATAATAAATATCTTTTTGATAAGAACCTTTTGACGTAAGGTAGCCAGGTCGATAAACAATGTACCTGCCTAGCTCCCTACACAGGTGACAATAAAACCAGCACTTTGGGGCATTTCTTAAATCCCTCCGACATCCGAACATAAGACTTAAAAAGGCAATATTAATGCTTTCATAATTCAATTTGCTGTCTTGGAGAAAAAAAGAAATCGATAGTAATAATTCAAAAATCAAAATTGCTCAGATTTGATTCAGTTTGTTTAACAGACAAAAAAAACCAATATAGGATGTATGGTCAATATTGAATCCATGCGTCAAAGCCGTATAATGAAAGTCCCATGTTTTGGTGATCAAAAGGGAGTTAAGAAAATCGGGCCAGGGACTGAATTAGCTACTTGAAAAATACTTGGGCTGCTAGCTGTCAAATTTTATTGACATTTAGCACTTTATCTTGCTTCTGTGTAAGACAAAGTAGAAATACAGGAAGCATTTATTTTCAAGAATCAAACAAAATCAGCCGTGTTGGCAATCAATTAACTTCATTTTGGAGTCTGCTATTTGCATTCTGTTAAACCTAAATGGGAACCTTGTAATATGGTAAGTTGAGTTATAATTATGTTGCTAATAGGTAAATTTTTACATAATTGGTAATTTTTTTTATCAAGTATTTTTCTTTCTTTAATATGCCTCCCTTTTTAAAAATAATTTTTATCTTACAAAAAATTTTTAATTTGATTTTTGTTCTCTAAAAAAACACATTATAGTTTTTTGTGAATATTAAGTAAGAATTTGTTTACACTTGAACTGTTTCATCCTCAAATATTTGCCACTCAGGATATCAGTAACTACACCCATCCTCAATGTTTTATTTAATGATTTTTATCTTGTTTACAAAGCCGAAAATTGAATGAAATAGCACTGATGTTATCTTTCTGTAAAATCATAAGCTTAAAGCCATCACCCATAGAATTCTGCTAATCCAAACCATCAAAAATCAATTAAAGATCAATCTGTTTTGAGTAAAAAATATAAAAACATCATCAATCCATTATGTATCTGGTTTGCTTTGGGTGGCACAAACATGTAAACAGGCAGCGACTTTGTATAGGATTTAAATCGATTCATTCTCATTTAAATGATCGATGCACGTCAAGAAAATTTTGTCACTTTGAACAAAATATAAACAGACCTTAGACATAATCAAGTGAATAGCAGGATTCTTTGAATTATTAGAGGTATGATCTTTTTAATTATTAATTATATAAGGGGGTAATAGAATCTTTGAAATTAAATAAGAGAATTACTTTCATCAATATATTTTTTTTAGAAATATGAATAACATACGTAACAAATTATTATAGCACTCCTGCTATCATCCTCTTTGACGTAATCCTTATAATTAAGTTCGGAAGATTAATACCTGTAAAATTCACTGACCTCTAAATAGGTTTAAAAAATCTTAATAAAAATCATATTCAACACCATTATATTATAACAGGGGATTAAACTGCAATTTTTTCTTGATTTGGTAGGTCATAATTTGTGCAAGGGATTACTAAGCTATCCAATGAGCCGGCAAATCTTTTAAGACATTTAAAGATTTCTTTCAAAAATTTATTCTAGAAAGAGATTCTCTCTACTTCAGACTTCAATATTTTCTATGAAGTGAAGATAAAAACAATTTTTTTATCAAAATTACTTTGCAGGGTTGTTTTTATCCGACACACCATGTACGGCAATTTCCTGCAACGGTCCACTAAAAAACTGCAGGATGACTTGCGACAGACGATGAAGACCTACTCCTCTGAGAAGCAGCAACTTCTTCATCACCTTGCAAGTCTAAGACACGAAATGGAGGAGCTGAGATTGTCTGGCAGCGAAACTCCCACATCTACAGGAAGTACCGAATTATCCACAACGTCCAAAAGTCGCCGAGTATTCCACGCCCCAAATGTTGCAGCTCACAAATTAAAAAAGAACAGGAAGAAAAAGACCAAACAATCTTCTAGAAATTCTGAAACTTCTGAGGAGAAAAAGGCGGTGGATGGAATTCTGAAGCTTCCGAGTATCAAAGAAGGAAATATTACAAACCAGCCCCCTCTGACCTGGACAAATAAAAATTCAGAATGGGACTCAGGACAACACATCTCTCTGAACAATTTACCCCCCATAAATCCACCCCAGGGCATCGCTGCTGCCCAGGAACTTTTACAGGACGATCTGGTCATGCCCAAAATTGAGGACCCAGACAGAAGTGATAAAATCATTCCTAAAAAAGGAAAATCTCGAGAGAAAAAGAAAGTCAAGTTTTCCTCCAAAAACCAAGTTGCTGTGTTCACTGGAGAAAATTCAGACATGAGGATTGAGGACAGTGATTCTGATACTGATTCAAAAAACTCCCAGCAATCTGGTTCAGAAGATAAATCTGAACACCAGAGTGTGAACCAGAGGCAACATTACCTGCCTCCACTGGACCTCGGAAACAGGCGGCACCTAAATCCCAAGGAAACGGCCGACCACAAAATGCTGTACATTTCAATAAGGGACCCTGATGTACGGAGAAAGACATTATCTGAAATCTTACATGCTGTCAGAATGAGAATGCAGGAAAACGAGCATCATTTACGGTTTGGTGAGATGCCACGTAGACGTACCCATCTCAGCTCGTATGAGTCTCTACTCAGTAGTCAGGAATCACTGAACACTACAGACAGTAACAGGGTAAGTTAATCTTTATACAATAGACATCACATCTCTACTAACACAGACAAAAAAACCTCTAGATATTAACAGGGTAAGATATCTAATCTCTAGATAATAAAAGGTTAAGATATCTTACTAAATGCATCTTGATATAACACCTCTTGATACAGTCATATAGATCCCAAATTGTCCATTTTGAGTGAAAAAGTTAGCATTTAAAATATTTCAATATTAGTTAATTATTGTTCACATTGATTATTATTCATAAAGAACTGAAAAAGACAAAATATATTTTTCCTTTTTCCACAAAAGGTTAAAATTTAGAAAGTTAGAAAATACATGTAAAAAAACAATTGCTGCCAACTTTATACGAAGAAATTTTTAAAGATAAAATGCATTATCAAATCACTACTAATAAGCTTCTACATTTTACTTTCTATGATGAGTTACAAGTTGGACACATTAGCAAATCAATACACAGATTAATGATTCTTTTAAGATATTAAGAACCAAAGTACTTATATAAATTTAGAGACATGGAATGTATCAGATTTAAATGGTTCAGACTAGGGTACAAGGTCAATCTGTGTTTGACCTACTTGGCTGCAGTATCACTTAATTTGCACACATGTAGTTCATACAAGTGACCTAGTTATTATCTTTTATCAAATCTTAAATATTTCTGGATGAAAGTTTCGTAATCATATGGTCTTAGAGTCTTACCATGCCATTTTGCTTATGTAATGTATGGAAGAGAGGACAAGCATGATCTGACATTCATATACAGTGGACCCTCAGATATCCGGACGCCAGATATCCGGATGCTTCAGTATCCGGACGACTTTTCTTCGAAACAGAATTTTTTTTTGTTATTTATTCTTGTTTTAATGGTAATTCAGATATCCGGACGCTTCACATATCAGGACAAATTGACTAGGACCAAAGCGTCCGGATAAATGAGGCTCCACTGTAAATAATAATTGTTACATGTAAATTTAATAAACTGTCACATCTTGCAACCTAAAATGCTTCTCAAAAATATTTAAAAACTTCTCACATTTCTATTTTGTCTTAGAGTCAAGATTTACTTTTAATTTCTTTCCATAATCTTATAATAATAAGCATTTTTCTTCAATTCTGAGATTTTTCTACACTCCTATTTCAGAGTAAAGCAAGTCGAGCAGGAGTTCCCCAGAACACCGCTAGCAGACTTGGCCGACGTTCCAGCAATTCACAGCTTCAGAGCTACCTACGTAAAATGTCAAGGTCACGGCGAATGATCGAGCACATGGAGGTCGAGGAATATCGACTAGCCCACATCATGGGCCACAAAGAACTAATGGCTGTGTCACAGCAAGAGGCAAAACCTGCAGCAACGTAACAGGAAGGCTGCAACAACTGCATTTAAAACATACTGAAGAAAGAAAGGCATTTCTTTTATTCTTGAATGAGAGTGATGATTCATTCTAAAGAATTGAAGAATTTTTTTCTTCATTAGGATTGCAATTATGGATTTTGTGTTTTTTGTTTCGTCTGAAATCCATAATGCTTTCCCAACTTAAAAGGACAATTAACATGCTTATGGTTTTATTCATTAGATGTAAAATAAACACACTTTAATGAGTTTTCATTATGTAAATAAAAAATCAGTCCAAGTCTTTTTCCTGTTTTTTTCCTTGGATTATGACCAAAAAGAAAACATCACTGATAAAACTCAATCCAACAGCAAAAGATGAAAACAAGTGAAAGCAAATAATTTTAGCTATAATTTTTCAACTTTCCAAGCATTCAGCAGCAGTCTGTACATACTGTTAATAAATATACTTTAAATAAAGTAAAATATAACTATAAATCCTTGACTTACATGGAGCTAGACCTGGATATGAGGCTGGAAGAACTGTTGTTTTCCCGTCGGAACACAGGGGAGGGTTCAGGACTAGGCTTGCTGTAGTCCTTCCTCTGAAATCGGGGGGAGGGACCGGGGTCTGGGCGGGCAGGTTTGGGGGCCGACTCAACACCGATCCTGAAATATTACATTTATCTCAAAACTCTGATAAAAAGATAAAATAAGCCACTGAAATTTACTTAATACATCAATTATCAAAACCTTGATCATTGCAACCAACAGGCTTAATGTGAGTTTGTCTCAATCTTGAAGAGCTATGAGCGTACTCCAGTTCATGGCTTGAGTTGATGAAAAAAATTCTGTATGCATTTTCTGAATTGATACATCTATCAAGACTTTTTCTGGTTAATTTTTCCACCAAAATCACTAAGTTTCACTAGAAAGAAATCATGGAACCAAAACTATAAACACCTACTTTGACAGATTGGAGGATGAGGACATTTTCATCATTCCCGTGGTTCTGGGGGGTGGCATCAGCTGACTGTCTACCCCCTGTGTAGCCAGCTTCCTGAGGGGCTTGGGAGGGACTTCTGGGGGCTCTTTTCTGGGAGAACTCCCCTCTTCTTCTTCTGGGGTCTCTGGCAAAGGTAAAAGAGGTGTGACACTTCCATCAGCGTACAGCAGCTCTTGGGGTAAAGGGGTTTTCCTTCTGACCTGGTAACAAGAAAATATTGTGTCAACCAACCAGACAAATATACATCATTGTCCTATAAATATATCCTACTGGAAAAGGAGAAAACTGATTTATAGTTTACTACTCAAAGTTAAAATAGTAAATAACACACGTTTCTTTACAGAAAAAGCTCAGATTTTAAAATATATTTAAAGAGAAAAGAAAATATCTTAAGCTATATATCCCTCCTCCAATGACAAACTAAATGCATGTTTTGTAAATTGATTATAGTAAAAGTTTTTGTGAAACATGAAAATCCTTGATTATTTAAAAAACTAAAACTCTTAATCTTAGTTATTTTGTTAATACAATGGATAGTGGGTTTTTTTTAATGTAAAAATAAGCCAAGTCTAATTTTTTTCCAATTACTGATTAAGTACACAAATCATTGCTATAATATAATAAATGTTGACTATAAATATATTTTGGGTAGTTCTTTTGTCATGATAGTAAATTGAGCAATAATTTTAAATGCAATATTAGAGAATGGATACACAACCTATTAATATACCTGCTGACTATGTGAATTCAAAACCAACTTTGAAACTAAAATTAATAATGTTCCAATTTATGAAAATAATCCATCTAGTCAATAAGTATGTACTAGTATTAAACCGATAAAAAAATAAGATTTACCCTGAGTTCTTAGGACACAAATGCCCCACCCAGGGTTCATTAGCAATGCAACAAGAAAAGAAATGTACCCTGTTTCTTTCAGATTAGGGTAATGTTAAGGCCATGAAAATATGAAAAGTTGAAAAACTCTCACCAATTTGCATGTGTGAAGTGAAAACAAGAGACCAATGGACCATAAGGCTCACCTGAATAACTAAAGCCCTTCCGTACCTTATATGATTTCCCAATATATTCATAATTATGCAAAATTAAGAAAATATATCATGGCATAATCTTTTTATATTTTAAAGATTTCTTTCTTTGTATTCCAATTTAATAAACTTTTATTACCCATAGTGGCCCCACTTTACCCTGAGTGGTCATGATTTGAACAAACCTGAATCTACACTACCTAAGAAAGATTTCATGTAAATATGACTAATCATGACTTTGTTGTTCTTTAAAAGATTTTTTCATAAGTATTCCTTTGTAAAACGATCACTTAAAGTACCTTCATCCCGTTTTGGGGGGGTCATGATTTAAATGACTTGAGGCTACAATATCGTGTAAAGCTCTCATCTTTTCTGGCCTAGTGGTTCTTGAGAAAAAAATTTTCGCTTTCCTCAAATATCTCCCCTTAAAAGGATGCATGACCCTTCTTTGAAACAAACTTGAGTCCCTTGAATCCCCTTTACCCATAGATACTTTAATTGTGCAAATTCTGGTTGAAATTGGTCCAGTGGTTCTGGAGAAGAAGATGGAAATGTTAAAGTTCACAACAATGATAACAGACTTATCGGCTCAAAGCATCCTTTGGCTCAAGTGAGCTAAAAATCAAATTGGTTAAGCCAATATGTATCAGCATATGTGAATAAAACATATCTTAAATTATTTCTATGAAACTAATCTAAACTCGGATTTGAGGAAAAAAAAAAGCTAGTCAAATCTTTTGATGCAGTTAAATTGTTATCACCAATATGTATAAGCATATAAGTTTTATAAAAAAAATATACATTACCTACTCTACTTTAGATGTATATATATATATATACCAGGGATAAAAAAAACTCATAATATTCAATGCTTTCCTTTTGAATAATTTATATGCTCCCTCCCCCTTTCTAATAAAGGATGAATCTATACCATGCAATTTGTCAGATACAAGAAAAAATTTTCACATCATTTTTTTTCAAACCATGCAGTAAAGACATCACTGAAATCTTACTGTTATTATATTTCTAAACTGTGTTTATTCAGTTTGACAAAAAATTTATAATCTTCAATTTAATGCACATTTTTAGTTTACAACAACCAAATTAAATGTGTTCACATCACATACATGCAGTAAATGTTTGGATTTCTAAAAATATGTTGCATGCAGTGATCAATTTATTCATTATTTAATGGTTAATCACTTTCATTTTCTAACTTTTACAGCTGATTTTTGCTTCCGCAGAAAAGATAATGTTGGAGTCTGAAACTTGCGAGGCTTCCTCTGCAACTATGACAACAGCTGTATATTAATTAATGGCTAATTTTTCATTAATCTCTTACCCATGCAGGCCTTATCACATGAATAGACATAATGGTAATTTTCCAAAGAAAAGCTACTTGGTATTTTATCATTACATTGTAAATTATAAAAGATGCAAGTCAGTGCTTAATGTGATAAAATTTGAAAGAAAATCTGGGCAGTAATTCACCCTAATGTGAAATTGTGAGAATTGGTAGCTTGTTCTCCTTTGAGAAAATTCAAAAAATGTAAAATAAAAAAAATATATAAATATCATTAAATAAATAAACTGTGTAAATAGTGCTATGTAATATACAATATTATGAATACATAATGTATGCAGTAAGAAATAAGAATATACATTAAATTTTTATTGTGTTCATTCCATTTTACTCACCGGTGAAGCCAACTCCTAAAACATTGGTTAGGAAGATTGTCATGCCAAGATACAGTACAATATTGAAAGGCCAATGAATATTGCATGCTATGGAAAAGGGAAATTAATCGAACACTGACCCAACCTTTTAAAAAATATTTTCTATGGATGACCAATATGAATACACAGCCAGCACAAAGAATGACAAAAAAGTAATAAAAACACCTCACACAAAAATAATCTAATTAAAGCAATAACAATGACACCATCAAATAAACCTTCTACCTACATAGCTTAATCACAACAGCTATTCCATCTCTCCCTTTTATATGATATCAGAGAAATTCATAAATAATATAAACATAGAAGATTAAATTTTGCTTGAGAAATAAACTTAGGTAAGATGCTCATCAAAAGCAGTACTAGTATTGTAATAAGCATCGCTAAACGCAAACATGTATTTTCAAATTTGGCTCAAGAAGGGCTTCTTGTGACTTTGGAATACACAAACTTCAAGAAGTTATCCTGGCCACTCATCTTGAAACTTTAACTCAGTCAGTCAGCATTTGCAGAATGGTCATTAGACCTAGACAACTCTTAAATGCATCATCCTGCTTGCAAATTTGGGCTTATAGTAATGCACTATAAACTATAACCAGTACACTTACTTAAGGTGAGCAAAATATACAGTGCAGAAAAGGGAATCGAAAAAATTTCCAGATTTACGGCAGTGGACAACCTTGTTAAAAAATTTGGGCATATGATACCCCCCCCCCCCTTTTCAAGTATTTCAACAAAATCTTTTCCATTCAACATTTGCATTACTTATGTTCTACAGAAAGAGAGAGATGGATTCTGAGTTAGTACCTGTTCTAAAGATGGATAGAACTGACAGGCTGACAAGGGCGTATTATAAAACACAGGACTGGACTTAACCTGTCTCCTAAACAGTCTGTCAGCAAAAAATAGATCAAAATAGCACTAACATTTATATGATTGATACAATTTGTAAATTACAAAACTATATACTTGAGTATTTAACTATCAGGACAAAAATAAATTCAAATAAAAAACAATTAAATCAAAAGAGGTAACTAAATTTACAAATATAAACTAAGGTAAAAATTTTAATTTGACAACAAAGAGAAATTGCAATAAGATATGCCCAGAAAAAAAATTCATATGGTAAAATGTTTGAACAACCTAATAGACTGGCGAATGCAAGACCAGCTAGAAAACCATATGATTTACAAAAATCAACAAGAGTGCCTATTTAGGGCACTTTTTTGAGTGAACTACAACTGACTACAAAGAATGCCCTATTGCCCTGACTGTTTTGTATTCCAACCAAAACTGTTGATTCCTATCCTTTTTATCATTGAATTTTGGAATTATTTGTTTCATTTCTTCCTTCAAACACAGAACTGGAGCTACAACAAATAACACCTCCATAAACTATCCATTATTCAACCTTAAAACTCCATGTGATCTATTCAGTTTAAAAGAAGGGTAGGGGAACTTGGGCCACAGAAAGAAAATTTTAAAAGGACATGCAGATACATGTACGTGTATGTAAATTTTCATTCTACATAATACTTATGTACCACTAAACAATTAACATCACTAGAACAACATGAAACATGCATCAATACTTTGAATGTAGACTCTAATACATGTCAAATAATGTTGAATGCATGCTGCTCGTGACCATGAACATGCAATGAAGGAATTTCAACAAATATTTAACTGGAACAGATGCATGCTTTGGTGTAAACCCTGTGTTATGGCCTGTGGTGATGTGATTATCCAATAACCTCTCCCATAAAGGACCAGACAGGAATGACCCTGGGTGATTTATTGTCTGAGGGGGGTACGACTTACCTTATTTCCCCTGACGGGGGGCTCAGCTGGGGGCACACTGACGGTACTGTTAACCACAGTGGAAGAAACCTCAGGAGTGTTCTCAAACATGCTGAAGAGCGCAGCAGGAAACAAAATCGTCAGCATTAAATCGCAAATAAATCCAAGCCAACATCAGCAGCAGCAGTAAAGGGGAGCAAAGGATAAAGAAAGAAGAAAATAATAAAACACAACATGCTAATACAGAAAAAAAAAACAAATATAAACAGAACAGCATTCATAAAGTTCTGCAAAATAAATCTAAATGAAACAAAAAGGCATTATAAAGATTATAAAATTAGTATACAGTTATTAACATGGAGATCTGATGGTCAAACTTTCGAGTTATCTTGCATATAGGGAACAGTGAACAAGTTAAAAGAATATTAGAATTATCATAAAGTATTGAGCTATTTCGCAAACAGACATAATTAGCTATCAGATCTCCATTTGAATTCTATACATAAAGTAAAGAAAATGCATTTTGGAATCGTAGCATGTTTCGTGCACCAACTGATTCCCTAGATCCTTCTTCTGACTTGGCATACATTACTTATCTGAATCTTTCAGATATAGGCCATTCAAAGACCTTCATTTTAATAATATTACAATGCAGAGAGTATACAGATAGAAAAAGGCAGAGTCTGCAGATTATGAAATCAAGAAAAATATGCTGCTTATTTTAACAAATATTTTATAATCCATACCTTCTTGAATTTTCTGTTAAATGTAAATATATTGCAATATACACATAAATATCATTATCATAAATTAATTCAATTCTGCAAACAAATTTTTACATTCTTCATGAAGTTCAAATCACGATTTGTACCTTTTCTCTCATGTATTTTGTACATACTCTTTTAAAATTTTATCCAAAATAGCAGGTATATTAGGTGATTTACAAGAATGGGCCGGTCGGATTTTTCATTTGATTTAACAGAGACCAATATTCAAATCCATAATGCATTTCCTTCTTAGACATAACAGTATCATGACAACTTGATAGTCACAAATAGTGATAGTGTAAATTAATATACAGCTACTAAACATATAATAATGATGGCAAAATAGTCAGATTGGACATTTGCAGTGAAGTGGACTTCAGAATCGACTGCAATTATTCACATTATTTACGTATGGAGACTACTTTACATATCTATGTCAAATTATTGCAGAACATAATCATCTTTACATGGTGAATGGGATACACATTAATGATTTTGCTGCATCATTTCATATTATTTCACAAATAAAGAACAAGGTACATGTATATTTTAAAGTATGCAAATAAAAAAAAAACCCTGTAAAGATATAATTCAGAATACCCAGTAAATAAGCCTCCATGTCAATAATAATCGATTGCAGTCATTATCCAAGTTCTTCTAACTGCAAATCTCCAATAAACTTAGGAAGTTATTTTCACTGTTAACTATCATTATGTAGATGTCAGAACCAAAATTTTGTGCATTTCTCTTGCTTTTGAATAAATCATGAAGTAAAAATACACCCCCAACCTTTCCAGCAAACTTATCATTTGATATTCATATTTATCCATGAACAAGAATTCTGAAGTACCAGGGTACCACAGTTCCTAAGAGAGTTATAATATAGAGTGATGTGAATGACTTGCTTAAATCTAACCCTTACAATATATTATCATTTTGTCATTTTTAATTCTAATTTCTGTAACAGAAACTAAATCAAATTGCTACATACATGCTGTGTTACTGTTTCGTTTATTTCATTTATATAATTAATATATACCAAAATTGAAATCGGTTTTGATCTTACCCCTGGCTATATAGTGAAAAACTATAGAACTATATGTATAGCAGATCACCAGATTGACACTAACATTTACATGTATACTCAGAGAGATAAAGTACAAAAAAAAGTTACACATGAAAAAATAATACATCTTTCACGTACCAAATCTGTGTCGTCATAAACTAAGAATCTCCATAATAAAACAAACTATCAGCACCAGAATGGTGAAGACATAGGGGTCAAAACTAAGCCAGAAATTGACATCCAAACAACATAGATTTCATAGTAAAGAGGAAAATCCAAGGTACCCCAAAATGTACCGGGCAAGCAGCAGGAATAAAAAAAGAAAAAAATCAAAATGTTAAAAAAATGTCAATAACCAGAAATTGTACAAAAGTTACGAGTATTGCTATAATTCGTGTCACTATATTTCAAAAATAGATATTGAAATCAATGTAAGCAGTATTAAAGGTTCTGTGTTTAAATGTATGTTTTATTATATTGATACAAGTTGCCTGACCTTCACTGAATATGTTTTATATGAACTTATAAAATTTAAAAATATTTTATGATTTTAAATGTTAAATGCTCTGCTAAGCTGTAAAAAATTAGAAATGGCAATACAGAAGAATGCACTGCTTAAAGTTCATCCGAGACTAATCCCAAATCTCTGGCATAAGAAAATTTAAAGTGCGCCTCTACCTGACTTTTCACCACCTCTCACATGCGTTTTCCCCAACCTAATTTTCAGTGCCAGTGCTTTAGTCCAATTCAAATTATATCTTGCGTCATATACATATAATATTCTCTTGAGGATATGCCAGTGCATTATACAAATATTTTCATGCTATTGTCCAAGTAGTTTTGAGAGTATGTGTGCCAAATTCTGCTTATCATTAAATATGCAAGAAGATATCCACCATACATACTGGTATATAATTCAAATTATGACATATTTTATTCATATAAAAAAAAGAATATTCCAATTCTGCTTACAAATGAAAGTTTAATGATATTAATTATAACATTAAATTTATTACGAGACATAAGTGAAAAATAAAGAAATAAAAAAAGTGACCATGTTACAAATTAGAAAAAAAATCCAAATGTAGATTATACATGTATGTTACTTCTATATAGTTACACATATATTATAGACTTTCACTTTTAGAGCAGCAAGACAGTGCGATGACTATATATATACATGTAAATACTGACTGCAATGAGACTAAGTGAAAAAGCCGACAGATGACCGATTAGCCGTAAGTAGTACCCAGGATATAATTAAGGCTGTTGATTAAGAGCTCATATTACCTAATTAAATTTTCAAAGTTTGCGGAACGGTCAGTAATATTGGGTTTGCTGCTCACTCTGAAAAGGAGGGATTAAAATGTAAACCTGTCCCAAAGGAGGCATAAAAGCAGCAAGAAAATGATTATAACTACCTTGGAAACATTTACCCTAAACCACCTTTCCCTAACAGTTAGTGTTATGGATAGACACTAGATGTAACTACATTTAATTTTTAAAAATTGACTTAACTCAGTGTTTCTGTGTAAAAAATAACCCCAAATAAACTCACATTTACACACCTAAGCTTAACTTCAACTGAAATGCAGGAATCATGCAATTTAATTCTGACCTTGATGACAACCCTCACAATGTAAGCTTATAAGGCCCTTATGTCATGTGTTCTCAGAGTAAAATCACAATATGTGTCTAAATCGATTCATTTCTCAATCAGTGTATTGTGTGTGCAAGCATGGCAAAATGTCCGTATAGCAGGTGCTTGTGGAGTGTTCTCCAAAACAGGCTTGAAATAAAGTCCTACCTGTACTTAAGAGTGTAACGTTTTCTGAAACATTTTGAATACAGAAGAAAAATTGACTTTAAATAATCTGCCTTTCTACTAACTACCAATCTTGCATGATAATATTATATGACACTTAAATTCCTGATATTTCAAGCACCCCATAACTAACATCATGTTAACCTCAACTACCAGAGAATTACCAGGAAAATGAGTGGTTTGTACAATATGATAACAGAAAGGCATCAAAACCGTGGTGGAAAATGGATAAACAAATGTCAAAATGCACATAAACAAAAACAAAACTAAAGAGGAAAAAAATTACAAAATGAAGTGTAATATTTCAATTTTCAAAACTATCTTTTCAACTGTTAGTAAACTGTATCAAAGAAGATTTTTTTAATAGCAGGATAATTTCTCAAAAGCCTAACAGGGTTTCTCAAACATTTTATCTAAGAAAATATCTAAAATTTCTCAAAATGCCAGTTACTCAATATAAACTTATGCAAAAGCTTTTTAAAAACATACTTTAGATGACGCTTGAGTTAAATTCACAAGAGATGCCCTAAAGCATTGTTTATGAAGCGCTCTATGCGACACAGGAACAAGTGTGACTTACCTGTCGGCAGGTGAGGAGGAGGCTGATTCCTCAGACAATTCCAAATCTTAAATTGAAATTTTAAACCAGAAGTCTCTGTCGAGACTGAAGCTCTACTGGTTTGTACTTATAGCAAAGGAAGAGAAAAGTACTTAAGCAGTTGGAAATTGAAACTTTTCAACAGCAATAAATAGAATAATGATCCTTGATTAAGTCTCTTTATGTTCTTAGTGCAGTCTACTTGCATGCAACATTTATATTATAATCAGACTAAAATTGTATTTGGAGTAGCATTTTGAAAGAATTTCACAGAAATTTCTATTTTTAGTAACCACGGCAACACCGTTCATCGAAATCAAAACCCGATATACAGAATTATGTATCTTACTGTAGTCTACTTGTGTGCCAAGTTATATTGAAATCAGACTAAAACTGTAGAAGGAGTAGCATTTTGAGAGAATTTCACAGAAATTTCTATTTTTAGTAACCACGGCAACACCGTTCATCGAAATCAAAAACTGATACACAGAATTGTGTATCTTAGTGTAGTCTACTTGTGCCAAGTTATATTGAAATCAGACTAAAACTGTAGGAGGAGTAGCATTTTGAAAGAATTTCACAGAAATTTCTATTTTTAGTAACCACGGCAACACCGTTCATCGAAATCAAAAACCGATACACAGAATTATGTATCTTAGTGTAGTCTACTTGTGTGCCAAGTTATATTGAAATCAGACTAAAACTGTAGAAGGAGTAGCATTTTGAAAGAATTTCACAGAAATTTCTATTTTTAGTAACCACGGCAACACCGTTCATCGAAATCAAAAACCGATAAACAGAATTATGTATCTTAGTGTAGTCTACTTGTGTGCCAAGTTATATTGAAATCAGACTAAAACTGTAGGAGGAGTAGCATTTTGAAAAATTGTTTACAGACAGACAGACAGACAGACAGACGGACAGACGGACGGACGACGGACGCATTACTATCGCATAAGCTCTTCTGGTCTCTGACCAGTAGAGCTAAAAAATTGAGAAATTATGGATTATCTGTAAACCCAAGAATGAATAGCAATTAGGGCTGAAACGATTCACCGAAATATCGATATTGTTCGATATAAGTGCTCGGTTCAATGTTCGATTCACCATCTCGATTTTCGGTTCAATACGTTTTTTATAATCGGGTTTGGTTAACTCTTTGAAATAGATCGGGTTCGACCTTATTTTAACAGTTTGACACACACGAGGGAGAAAATTGGGACGGTAAAGTTTCAGAGTAGGCTGCCTCTGCTATTATTTATACGAATAAAGTGTTCTTAATCAACAGAACCACAGGTATCAGAGATGTGCTATTAACAAATTAGTAAATTCGGGCTAGTAAAAATTATAACTACGCATGTAATACATGAAAAGTACAACCGATATTTTACTCATTTTTTGATATCAAATTCAAAACCAGTGAATATTTTCCAGGCAGCATGCTCCTACTGTCAATAAATCTCCATAATTTTCTCCATTTTGCAGTACTTCCTGACTTATTTACTTCCAAAAACGATCGGTTTTTTTCCTAATCCGAATTTCCTCCATTCCTCCGTTTATTGTAAATACATGCAGATATCTCATTAAATTATTTAAGATCACTCAAACAACTGAAAGATCAGTGTGATTCACATGAAATATATATTTCTAGTGTATTTAAGGATTTAATATGAAAACAAAATGAATTTATTTTCATTCTAAATGAGCTAGTGCAAAATAATCAGAAAAGGAAAGATCTTAGATAATTTTTTAAAATTCATTTTTATTTTCTGTCATAATCATTAGTTTTATATGATTTAATTTTAATAGGGAGAATAAAATTTTAATTTTCAAAAGAATGACCTTAGTACCCTGACTTTTTCAATGATTAATTTTTTTTCAACATTAGTTTTATTTTAATTTTTGTCCCTGTATTTGGGCTAGTAACTTTTTACTTGGGGCTAGTGGGCTAGTACTTGAATTTTTAAATTGCATACCCCTGGTAGTATATTTCTATTGTATCACCACCTTTTACTCTTTTTTTTTGAAATCTGAATACGTTTCCTTTAACCTTATGAATAGTTTCGTTCTTAAATTGTATCGTATTGAAAAAATTGAATTGTGACACAAGTATTGCAATATGTATCGTATCGTGGAGGGGGCGTATCGTTTCAGCCCTAATAGCAATGCAAACAAACCTAAAGGTACCTGACAATAGGACAACCTATTGAAATATAGTGTCAAAATTCAAACAAAATATTTTGAAAATATTTAATATGATTAACATTTTCAGTCAAAGTCTATCTGCAAACAAAGCTAAATTTAAATTAAAGCAGACTTCTACATAACCAATGGCATAAAGTCTGATTTTTGCAACAACAAAAAATTGAAGCCATCCCTTGCAAAACATTTTTGTTTTTATCTCTTAAACAGTTGAAATTCATACCAAGATATTTTAAAGTCAGCTGGAAATCCCAACTGCCTTTTATTACAAAGTCTAACTTCAGTATCTTAAACCCCCAGATATACATGTATCAATTTTGAGTTTGAGATAATGGGGTTTGACTGTACATTTAATTCAACAGTTACAATGACAGCAATGGTAGGGTCAGTCAAATTTATAAAAATTCTCAGACCTTCTGATCTTTAATCTTAGGGCAATTAGGGATAAAAAAAAGAATGTAGAAAGTTTCATATCAGTTTTTATGTGTTAAAAAAGAAACGTACCATCCGCAGCATTGGTCATGAGATTGTCCACTTCGATGCCCACTTGGTCGTTGATCATGTGTTTGAGGAGGTCCTGCTGTAGAGTGTTGTTTAACTCAGTCTGGTGCAGCATCTCTCTAATCTCCTTCAACTCATTCTCCTTCTGAGAGAGAGCCAGGCCCTATTGAATAGAATTAACTGTGCCTATATAAACCCTACATAACATAGTAACATTATGAACAATAAGCCAGGGCCTACAAGAGCAGGATATACACTGATAAACTTCCTTCAAAGACACAGACAGGATTTAAGAAGAGCCAAGCCCCATTGGGCTGCAATAGGATTGACTAACCTCCACACAGATGTAAAGGATTTACCTCAAACTTAATACATTATCACGAATGCAAGTTTGCTGCCATTTTGTAAACAGCAAAACTAAATACTGTACCCTTCCTATAGAAGTCTGTATGAAGTGTTCTAGTAAATATCTGGTTTCTTCTAAAGAGCAGTTATTGAACAAATCTGTGGTATCAAACCCTTCATTATCCTCCTACAAAATACAGGTACAATGTTATAAAAGGTACAACAGTCAGTCTTCACACCACTTGAAAGACAAAGATTAATGTAGAATATGATGTAGATATTTATCATTTTATTAATTATTTAAGCAAGAGGTGAAGACATACATGTACATGCCAACTTTCCCGATTCAGGCGGGGTCCTCCCGATTTTACCCTTTCATCCTGCCTTCCCGATCGGGAGAGAAAAATTGCCCTAATTTCCCGATTTGAAAAAAATTACCATAAAATTTCAGATTTTAAAAGTTTCCCTACCGCTGAATTTTGACAATCGGGATAACAATGTCGGACTTGTTTATTCAATGCACACAGATAGGTTTCATTGTTTATTTAACCAGGTGTTAATTAGGCCTAGCCACAGGAAATCACTTCATGCTTGAACGCACGCAGTTGTTCAGGTACGAGTAGTTTGTAGCTTGGGGCAATTAGGGGATTATCTTGTCAGTTTTAAGGGGTGTGAAAGGTGAAACACATAGATTAACGTGATAACTATTATTCATTTTATTAAAAACATACATTAAAGACAATAAAATACTAATCAAACCATAAAATCAGAATCCAAAGAGATCGTTTTTTGAAAACGAAAGTAGAAAACTACAAAGCGTAGCTGCAGATTTTATCTACCTGTAATGAAAAATATTGTAAAGTTTGCCAGTTAAAATGTTATGAAAAAATTAAGATGAAACAATCAAGTGTATGTCAATTAGAATTTCTTTTCCCTCCCTTCTCCCAAACGTAATATGTTAAGGTATGTGCATGACTTAAGGAAGTACCCACATGGCACCATTAAGCCTGACAAATTTCATGACTGTAAAAAAAATAATTCTCTTTTAGATAGGTGGTATAAATTTCTGTAAATTTAATATCTTATTAGAATTTCTAATTTATTGAAATATAAATAAAAAATCTCAAAAATGTTTCCAGAAACAGGACTTTACAGTATCAAAACCTCATTATTTTTTTTTTTAGCCTTTGAAAAAAAAAATGATTTAAAAGTTGAACAATTTTCAATTTTTCACTAAATTATGTGTCCTGGTAGAAAAAAAATGTTTACATATGTAACTAAATACCCCTTCTTTAGTGAGAGAGGCACCTATTTTAGCAAAAAATAATTCAATTTTGGAAAGAAAACATTATTTTTTGTGTTAAATTAATTCCTAAGTTGTATTGATAAGTGATATCAATATATTATAAATTTCAAAAAGATCATTTCATATAATCATTTAATTTCACGACAAAATGTCGCGAATTTAAAGCTTTGAAAATTGTCATCATGCGCTAAATCCCTCATGGGAATTTTCAAAAGTTGGCATGTATGGGCGAAGATGATGTACAAAAAATTATTCCCAAAGATTCTATCAAATAAAAATAATTTTGTAATTAGAAAGCTTGCCTTGGCTTCCTCGATCTGCATGATCTGTGACTGGCACTCAGAGATGTATTCCTGTGTATACTGGACCTGACCCTGCAGCATTCCTATTACACAGTTCAGTTCTCCTATCACCGAGTCATCCTGATAAAAATAAATATAAGAAATAAAGATCATGTAACACATCTAAGCAAGAATCCCCTCTCTTTAGTTATAGTTGAACTCCGGTACCTTGAACATTATAATCTCAATTACCATGGATATGCAAGTCCCAACCACTTATTCCTAAAGTATTTTACCCTTGATATTTTGAATCTGCCATCTCGAAGTTTTTTTCTTGGTATTTTCAAGTCTGAGGTTTGACTGTATATGCAAAAACTCAGTTTGATAGATACTCAGTGAAACAATGTTACTCTATAAATACCCTTACTTTGCCCTCTTTAATGGCTACATCTCTTTTTCTGCAGAATTTGTCGAGCTTCTTGCAGACACTTTCTCTCTCCTACAATATAGAATGGCCAATGCATTCTCCATACATGTACATTTTCACATCCTAGGTACATGTATAAATAACCAAAATGTAAACAATCAAATGTGATAATCTTTTTTACCTTTAGCCAGATATCCATATCTTTCTCCATGTTGATGATGGTCTGTTTTTTCGTTATCACATTAGAAATCTGTGCAAAAAGTGAGACATATGATGTAATAATGTAGCAGTAGAAATGTTCATTGTGGATACCAGCAGGTTTCCAGAGGGTAATGATAAATATATAGAGAAACTTGTCTAATCTAGATGTTGTATACTCCAAAATCTTGTCGAATACATTCAATTTCAATGTGGTGTAATCTAGAGAGATGTCTAATCTGGTCAATCTCTACAGAACTATGGTGTGTGGATTATACAGCTTTTACTGTACATTCATTCATATAGATTACAACTGCATCTTTTTCTTTCTGATGATTATACAGGTTTTACTCATTCCTACAGATAAACAACTGAACCTTTTTCTCCAGTGTATCCCACTTCTGTTTGGCGGCCTTGGCGCTGAACTCTGAACGCTTCTTCCTACGAGGTGAGGACGAGGTAAATGGAGCTACAATAATATTGAATTCACAACAATTACACATAAAACATGGTAATATTGAAGAGTTAAAAAGTATGGCAATTTTGACATCTAAGAAAATGGGGTGGGTGAAAACTCTGACAATCTAATTATAATAAAAGAAGCTCTTGAACAAGAATGTAAATGTTGACGAGAGGAAACCTTGAAATTTTTTTGCTCATTTGTTAATTTCATCAACATTTCCACATTCTCACAGCTTCAACCTTTACAGTATTTCCTAATTCCATTTGACAAATTGAAACCCGTGTCCTAAGTGACTACCTACCCACAGGTATGGTTTTGGGACGGTCATATTTAGCTATTCTACCAGCAGCCATGGATGACATTGGTTTTTTGTCTTTTTTTCTCAGAGCTTCAACCTATTATAAAGAAATAAAAGATTGGAAGTGTGCTTCAATTATAGGAAATTAAAATAATCTTATTAATGCACAATCAACTCAAAAGCAATGCATGAGTACACATTTCCATGTAGTGAAAAGACACAATGTTAAAAAGCTGTACACATACACATAAATCTGATAAGCAATATGCCAGACTCTTAACACACGGGATACACGTTTAAATACATGTATGTAACATAGATATAATGTATAATGAAGAGAGTATATAAAATTTTAATTAAATACACTTCCTAAAGGAATTTTAAAATTTTCTTTCTTTATAACTCCTTGTATAAAAAAGAAATTGGTGCACAACAAAAACAATAAGCTTGCACATCTTGAATATTATTATTTAATGTAAATGCTGGATACACAAGATATTAATTCAGGCTAATGAAAGCTATATTGTTCAAGCTGTTCTCAGCTGTTTCTTTAATAACAAAAAAGACTATCAAAAATGAATTGTTACCAGAAGGAATGAATTTTACATTTTTAAAATTCTTATGGACATTACAATAATTGGCTTTTCCTAACAGTTAGGAGACATCTAAAGACACTTTCTGACATATCTACATAAAATGGAGCTTTCCAGATACCCAATTCCACATCCCTACTGGATTATCAATAAACCAATTCATGCTTTGTTTTTTAAGACACCAGTACCACATGTAAAATACATAATCTGCTACTTTATCATACCATACACATATACATAAGATATGGTTTTGAACAAATTTTATCTATAATTTCTGATTTTCTGAAATGAACATCATTTAACACAGAGGAGAAATTTTTAAAATAAATGCACTACTTTTAATACAGCACATACAGAAGTTCTCTTACATGTGCATTTATTGATTTAAACAAACGATTCTACTTGAAAGACACAAACATAGGTAATCAGAGATTACAGAGCTCACCTCAACGTGTGTTGTCTTTAAGTAAGGCAAAGTCACACAATTAACCAACAAAAAGTGTACATTCCAAAAGTGCAAAATTTATGCAATTTTGATACTTTGGAATAGACCTATATAAAAACTTAAAACTAGTTCTTCATCATAAAAATGTAATTAAAATCCAGCATCTGAAGCAAGATTGAGAGTTTTCATCCCTTGATGCATCATTTGTGCAACTGGTTTATATAAGCCTTATAGTTTCTTGGTGATAGACTTGCACCCATAACTTTTACGAGGTTTATTATCGGGAAAATGTATGTCGAATTCAGCATCTGAAGCAAGTACATTAGTGTGCATCCTAAGAAGTATCATCCATGCAAGTTTGGTCAACATAGGGCTTAAAGTTACTTGCAAATGAAACCTGTATAAAAAAATTAACTTTTCCACTAATCCAGAAAATGTAGGTCAGATTCAGCATCCGAAGCCAGCCTAGTAGAATGCACCCTTAGATGTACCATCCAAACAAGTTTGGTCATTATAGGGCTCAAAGTTACTTGGAAATGAATCCTGCACCATAAACTTTAACCTGTTTACTCGTCCAGAAAATGCAGGTCAGATTCAGCATCTGAAGCAAGTCTGGTAGTATGCATCCTAAGATGAACCATCCATGCAAGTTTAGTCATTATAGGGTTCATAGTACCTTGGAAATGAAACCTGCACCAAAAATTTTAACCTGTTCACTCAACGGGAAAATGTAGGTCAGATTCAGCATCCGAAGCAGGTCTTGTAATATGCATCCTAAGATGTACCATCCATGCAAGTTTGGTCATTATATGTCTCAAAGTAAATTGGAAATGAAACCTGCACCAAAAACTTTAACCTGTTCACTCAACCGGAAAATGTAGGTCAGATTCAGCATCCGAAGCAAGTCTAGTAGAATACATCCTAAGATGTACCGTCCATGCAAGTTTGGTCATTATAGGGCTCAAAGTATCTTCGAAATGAAACCTTCACCAAAAACTTTAACCTGTTCACTCAACCGGAAAATGTAGGTCAGATTCAGCATCCGAAGCAAGGCTGGTAGTATGCATCCTAAGATGTACCATCCATGCAAGTTTAGTCGTTATAGGGTTCATAGTACCTTGGAAATGTAACCTGCACCAAAAATTTTAACCTGTTCACTCAACCGGAAAATGTAGGTCAGATTCAGCATCCGAAGCAAGTCTAGTAGAATACATCCTAAGATGTACCGTCCATGCAAGTTTGGTCATTATATGTCTCATAGTAACTTGGAAATGAAACCTGCACCAAAAACTTTAACCTGTTCACTCAACCGGAAAATGTAGGTCAGATACAGCATCCGAAGCAAGGCTGGTTGTATGCACCCTAAGATGTATCATCCATGTAAGTTTGGTCAACATAGGGCTTATAGTTACTCGGAAATGAGACCTACACCAAAAACTGCACCAAAAATGTTAACCTGCACCAAAAACATTAACCTGGTCATTCCTTTGCTGAAATTGCAGCATCTGAAACTTTGACTGGTACAATGAAACACACTAGAAACATCTTCCATGCATGCCTAATCAATATAGGACATCGAAGTACTTAAAAAAAAACTGCTCCAAAAAACTTAACCTTAACCCGGGACGCCGACGCCGACGCCGACACCGACGCCGACACCGACGCCGACGCCGACGCCGAGGGTATCACATAAGCTCCCCCCAACTTCGTTGAGGTGAGCTAAAAATCAGAGGATCTACCAATAATAAAAAAAAAGATTGCATTATGAACATAGAGAAATCTCTAAGACATCTATATACTGACTCTATATACCCGTCCTAATTGATATTTATGACTACAGTAGTATGAAGTACAGTGTAACATGTAAAGAATACGTAGCATGAGTGATAAGCCGGTACAATGTTACCTCTCGTGTGATTTTTTCAATGCTGGCATTCAACTGAAAGAATGGGTTTCCATCAAGAAAATTATTGAACATCAGGTCATATAAAAGGCATAGGCACAGGTATAGCAGTGTATGAAAATGAATGGATAAAAATAACTATGCAAAATTGAAGGGATCAAAGAAGGAAGAAATGAAATGTATATTGGTGCATAACACATTGTCCAGTTCAATTCACATGAAAAAATGGGGGGAAAATTATTAAAAAATAGTCATGAACATTAATTTCATTATCTGTTAGGTTAAATGTCCATACATCAGAAATAAAAACAGGGAAAAATAAAACCATGTACCTTAGCCATCCCCCAAATTCAGATGTATAGAGAGTGAAGACATAAAGAGTTACCTCCTCTTGTTTGCGTTTAAGTACAGCCTCTTTCTGGCGTTTCTCCTTCTCCAGGTTGCGGATCATGTTCTCTTTGCGGACCTGGTCCTTACGTAACTGAGCCACCTCGCGAGTTCTCCGAGCCTCTACAGCTTTACCTTTCTCTAACTCCTCCTTCACCTGCTTCATCAACTTCACCTACACACATAAAGGCAAATTGTGTTAATGGCTTTAACGAAATTTACTTAAAGTCACTCTCACAAAGTCACAAACTTCCCTCCACTTTATGTTTAAAACTCTATCTTTAGACACAATTTTCGAGGATGCGTCAAAAGGGTATATCTTTCAACAACTTTGTATCTTTTTTTCCTTTAAATTTCTATTTCTGTTGCATTCTTCTAAATCCTTATTAAACATCAGAGTTTTTTATTTTTATCTTTATTTAAGGATTAGTATGCATTTATGTTCGAGAAAATTACAGAGGAACTCCACACACACTATATGCACTGTTATGAGAAAATTTTCAATAGCTCTAAAGTTTCGTATTTCAAATCCATGATATACACAAAGTACCTTAGTTTTCTTCATTTCTGCCAAATCATGCTGCAGGGTCTTCAGCTGTTTTTCATGATACGATGACTGCTTCTGCATGCGGGCGTAGTCACGCTTGGCTTGCTCTGTCTTCTTCAGGTCGTTCTGGAGGGTGGTCAGTCTCTTCTCGTACTCCTCCTTGACCTTTTTGACCTTTCCCATGGACTCGCTCTCCACACTGCTGATGTTGGACAGGACTTTGTCTCGCTCCTCCTCCGTGGCTCGGATCTGGGACTGTAATTGACGGACTTTCTCCTCGTACTGGTGACGGACTGCCTGGACCTGTTTCTGAGCCTGTTCTAGCTCCTCCACAAGCCGCTGTTTTATAGATATACTACACGTAAGCTCAGCTAGGTCCTCATGTAGGTTATCTGAATCTGGAAAAATTGTAAAATAATTATAAATTGACAGTTTCAATAGTTTATAGTTATTAAATAAGACATCATTGATGATATGTGGTAGTGCTTTTTTTAAAATTGTAAATGTAAGTTTCACATTAAGTATATTTAACATCTGTAGTAAAGTATAGATACTAGTACTCAAACATGCACAAATAAACCTGTCAGATTAAAAAATAAACAAAATATTTGTAGAGCTCAAATGTAAAATAAAATGGAAACTCATTTAGTACTGCTGTATGGATATTAAATAGGCTAAAAGATGGGGGAACAAGAAGGGGTGAGGGGGACATGTTAATTAGAGTTTGAACCTTTGTTCTTGAAGTCTAGAATTATACACTGTATAATCAAATCATTGCTAAGAACTTAAAATACTACAAAACCTAAAATAAAGAGCACAAAAAGGTAAATTAAAACAACAAGAGGCCCATGGGCCACATTGCTCACCTGAGCACTGTGGCTAGGAAAAAGTAGATATTGGTTTATTATTGAAAAGTTTAAATCCAAAAGTAGTCCCATGACCAGTCATGGCTTTGCTATTCTTGAGAAGAAGATTTTTAAAGAATTTTCCTATATAGTTCTATGTAAAACTTTGGTTGGCCATTTTGCTCCCCTCCCTACCCCCCGGGGTCATTATTTCAACAAACTTGAATCTACACTATCTGAGGATGCTTCCATATAAATATGATCAATTATATAGCTTTTCTATTCTGGAGAAGAAGATTTTTGAAAGAATTTCCCTATACATGTATATTTCTATGTAAAACTTTAATCGGCCATCTTGGCCCCGCCCTACCCCTGGGGGTCACAATTTTAACAAACTTGAATCTACACTACCTAAGGATACTTCCATATAAATATGATCAATTAAGACTTTACTATTCTTGAGAAAAAGATTTTTAAAGAATTTTCCTATATATTTCTATGTAAAACTTTGGTCGGCCATTGTGGCCCCGCCCTACCCCTTGGGGTCATGATTTGAACAAACATGTATCTACACAACCTGAGGATGCTTCTATATAAATTTGATCAATTATGGCTATGCAATTTTTGAGAAAAAGATTTCAAAAAAAATTCCTATATATTTCAATGTAAAACTTTGGCTGGCCATTTTGGCCCTGCCCTACCCCCGGGGGTCATGATTTGAACAAAATTGAATCTACACTACCTGAGGATGCTTCCATAAAAATATGATCAATTATGGCTTTGTTATTGTTGAGAAGAAGATTTTTAAAGAATTTTCCTATATATTTCTATGTAAAACTTTGGTCGGCCATTGTGGCCCCGCCCTACCCCCGGAGGTCATGATTTGAACAAACTTGAATCTACACTACCTGAGGATGCTTCCATATAAATTTGATCAATTATGTCTTTGTTATTCTTGAGAAGAAGATTTTTAAAGAATTTTCCTATATATTTCTATGTAAAACTTTGGTCGGCCATTGTGGCCCCGCCCTACCCCCGGGGGTCATGATTTGAACAAAATTGAATCTACACTACCTGAGATTGCTTCCATATAAGTTTCATCTTTCTTGGCACAATGGTTCTTGAGAAGAAGATTTTTAAAGAATTTTCCTATATATTTCTATGTAAAACTTTGGTCGGCCATTGTGGCCCCGCCCTACCCCCGGGGATCATGATTTGAACAAACTTGAATCTACACTACCTGAGCATGCTTCCATATAAGTTTCATCTTTCCTGGCACAGTGGTTCTTGAGAAGAAGATTTTTAAAGAATTTTCCTATATATTTCTATGTAAAACTTTGGTCAGCCATTGTGGCCCCGCCCTACCCTCGGGGGTCATGATTTGAACAAATTTGAATCTACACTACCTGAGGATGCTTCCATATAAGTTTCATCTTTCCTGGCACAGTGGTTCTTGAGAAGAAGATTTTTAAAGAATTTTCCGATATATTTCTATGTAAAACTTTGGTCAGCCATTGTGGCCCCGCCCTACCCCCGGGGGTCATGATTTGAACAAACTTGAATCTACACTACCTGAGGATGCTTCCATATAAATTTGATCAATTATGTCTTTGTTTTTCTTGAGAAGATTTCTTAAAGATTTTTCTATATACTTTGGTCGGCCATTGTGGCCCCGCCCTACCCCCGGGGGTCATAATTTGAACAAATTTGAATCTACACTACCTGAGGATGCTTCCATATAAGTTTCATCTTTCCTGGCACAGTGGTTCTTGAGAAGAAGATTTTTAAAACATACCACCAAATTTTTATTAATTCCCAATTATCTCCCCTTGAATGAGGGCGTGGCCCTTCATTTGAACAAACTTGAATCCCCTTCACCCAAGGATGCATTGTGGCAAGTTTGGTTGAAATTGGCCCAGTGGTTCTTAAGAAGAAGTCGAAAATGTGAAAAGTTTACAGGCAGACAGACAGACAGACAGACGGACTACAGACAAAATGTGATCAGAAAAGCTCACTTGAGCCTTCGGCTCAGGTGAGCTAACAACACACACACACACACACAGGAAGCTACTTTTCACCTCCATAACACCACAGGTACTCCATCAAAGGATCCGCAAAGGCTGCATGTTCAATACACAAAATTACAATTCTTCATAGTATTTTATATACATTAATTATACATATAACTAGATGTAAGTAAATAAACATAGATATTTACCTTTATCTTCAAAATCTGAGTCTGAATCTGATGAAGACAGATTCTCCAGCTCTTCTTCCATATCATCGTCTTCTTCATCATCTCCATTCAGCTGTTCAAAAGATAGAAAGGTAAATACTTTTTTAGACAACATGCATGATGCACTGTTACTTTAAATAATTTTTCTGCAAACTAAGAATTGCTTCAAAACAAAGTATTATAAAGAAACGCATAGATAATCAAAGACTATACTATGACAAATGTCCCATTAACAAAGCTAAGTCTAGGGTAATAAATTTTTTTGTTTAATGACTTACATCTGCACTTAATCTATCCTCATCATCTCCTTCATTGATGTCTTCAGTATTTTCTTCTTCATTATCTTCTCCCTCTTCTTCATTCATGTCATCTCCATTCTGCTCTGCCTCATTCTGATCCTTTTCATCATCGAAGTTGTCCTCTTTTTCACTAAAATAATTCAGTAATAATTCAATTTAATCATAGATGTAAACATACTGAACTTAAACGACTTTGGGACTACCACTTACTTCTCATGCATAACAATGATAAATATATTTCATACATCATTTTTTAAAATGATTATTTCAAATAACTGACCTAGTTTTGGAGTACATTTTCTTCTTCATTTTCTTCAGTTTCTTCATTCGGCTGACGTCCCGCTTGGCCTCCTCTATAATGGAGAGACGGCTCTCTGTCATTGATCCCATAAAACTCCCAGACATGTGACCTGACATTGACCCCATGTAACTCCCGGTCATGTGACCCGGTGAGATCGGACTCACGGGCTCGTTCATCAGGGACAGGCTGCTCCCCATTCGAGACGCAACATTCTTCCTCCTGAACTGATCAGCTGTGTGCTCAGCTTCCAACAGCTTAGCCCTGTAGAAATCATACCACAGATTAAGCAGATCATTAAAGAATAGGAAACTAAGAACTTTTAAAATCATTTATATTGCCTTCCATAATCACCTGAGCTCTTCTGTTTCTTTGACATAACTTTCTATCAGTTTTGTTACTTCACTGTCCCTTGCATCCTCTGAAGTATTTAAAGACATAACTCATTTATGTTAATACTGAATTCTTAAAGCAAGTTAAAAATAAACCATATATTTAAATCATTTTTCACCATTTTTTAAAATTAACAATCCGTGGATGATGTGAAGCCAATGCAGATGTTGTTATTCCTTCAATAATTTCTAACTGATTAGCAGTTAATATATGATCAACAATTGTCTTCATGTGACATTACCAGATATATTATACACCCCCAGCACCGCCTTTTCAGCCAGCAGGTCTGAGTTCCGTTTGGTTAACATCTCCACGGTTTCATGCATGGCTTTGATTCTCTGTCTCAGTTTATCATTCTCTGTCTGTAACATAGTGTTCTCATGGAACATGTCATTCACTGTCTCCACTCCATCTTCATCCACCCTACGCTTCCCCTGAAATTGTTTTGTAAAACAGTAAATATCTAAGCAAAATATTCAGTTACATGTATACTGATTACATTTTTGGTTTATTAAGTTACAATTTATGTTTAAGATTTTCCACTATGAAAAATTAACTGTATTAGAATTTAACATTTTCATTTGTAAAATGCACTGTTCTTAACCAACTTTTTGCTTTTCAAAATGTAAAAAGGCTGTCTCTGCTATACAGCAAACTCTAACATATAGACAGAAACTGAATCTTTAATTCTCCAGCTTACTGTTTTGTATTCATTCAGTTCCTGCTGAAGTGTAAGAATTTCCGCTCTCAGGGCGGCCATCTGTTTAGAAGCCTTGTCCTGATTGGCTATCACCTTGTTCTTAATGTTACGAGCTCGGTTAGCGTACTTCAGAGTGTTCAGTGTCTCTACGAAGTCTCTGTCTGACGGGGATATACAGGCAATCATCAGGGTCCGACTGGAAACAAAAATGTCAGATTATGTCACAAAAATAATATAATATAACGTAATATATTCATAAAACACACATTGTTTATAAAGATTCTCTTAAGATTTGCATGTCAAATTTCAAAATACAGTAAAATCTGCAGCCAATACATGTATTTTCTTCCTACCTGTTTCCACCGAGCGAGTCCTGCAGTAGCCGAGTTAACTTAGAGTCCCTGTACGGAACATGACAACCTTTCTTGGCCTTGTCTCCAAGAGCTGAGATCACATTTCCTAAGGCAAGCTAGTAAGAAAAAAAATAAGATCTATGAAATGTACTCGTTTCTTTGACTTACACGTCTTTTGCAACAATTACCATTGCTGACCATTTAAGTATGAGCTATTTGATGTAGGAAAGGAAAAATCTACGAAATTTTTAAAATCTCAACATAGCAAATCAGTAGAACAAATCTCGATGTTTCAGTACGCTCTTAAGTATGCTAGCAGAGTTCTAGTACACATGTACTGACCAGTCCACAGTTGATAGAGATTCCCTCCTTGGCCCTGTCCCCAGTGGCTCCCGTTCTCTTTAACCTCTCTGACCCCGCCAGATCCACAAAGTGGAACTTAGCTGTCAGCGTCTCAAACTCATTCAGGGCATCCGAGTCCTTACCCTCCTCTATGAGATTCTGTCAGAAAAAAACATAGGTAATCAGAGATTACAGAGCTCACCTCAACGAATGCGGTCTTTAAGTAAGGTAAAGTCACACAATTAACCAACAAAAAGTATACATTCTAAAAATGAAAATATTTTTAAAAGCAATTTTGATCTGATACTTTGAAATAGACCTACATAAAAAATTTAAACTACTTCTTCTTCATGAAAATGTAATGAAAATCCAGCATCTGAAGCAAATTTGAGAGTTTTCATCTCTTGATGCAGCATTTGTGCAAGTTTGGTTTATACAATGTTATATAAGCCTTATAGTTTTTGGTAATAGACCTGCAACCATAACTTTTACCTTGTCTATTATCTGAAAAATGTATGTCCAATTCAGCATCCGAAGCAAGTCCATTAGTGTGCATCCTTAGATGTATCATCCATGCAAGTTTGCTCATTATAGGGCTCATAGTTTATTGGAAATGAAACATGCATCAAAACTAACATTTTCACTCATCCACAAAAAGTAGTTCAGATTCAGCATCCGAAGCAAGCCTGGAAGTATGCATCCTTAGATGTATCATCCATGCAAGTTTGGTCATTAAAGAACTCATAGTTCCTTGGAAATGAAACATGCACCAAAAACTTTTAACTATTCACTCAACCGGAAAATGTAGATCAGATTCAGCATCCGAAGCAAGCCTGGTAGTGTGCATCCTTAGATGTATCATCCATGCAAGTTTGGTCAACATAGGGCTTAAAGTTACTTGCAAATAAAACCTGCACCAAAAACATTAACCTGTTCGCTCAACTGGAAAATGTAGGTCAGATTCAGCATCCGAAGCAAGCCCGGTAGTATGCATCCTTAGATGTATCATCCATGCAAGTTTGGTCAACATAGGGCTTATAGTTACTTGGAAATGAAACCTGCACCAAAAACTTTAACCTGTTCGCTCAACTGGAAAATGTAGGTCAGATTCAGCATCCGAAGCAAGCCCGGTAGTATGCATCCTTAGATGTATCATCCATGCAAGTTTGGTCAACATAGGGCTTATAGTTACTTGGAAATGAAACCTGCACCAAAAACTTTAACCTGTTCGCTCAACTGGAAAATGTTGGTCAGATTCAGCAACCGAAGCAAGCCCGGTAGTATGCATCCTTAGATGTATCATCCATGCAAGTTTGGTCAACATAGGGCTTATAGTTACTTGGAAATGAAACCTGCACCAAAAACTTTAACCTGTTCACTCAACCGGAAAATGTAGGTCAGATTCAGCATCCGAAGCAAGCCCGGTAGTATGCAACCTTAGATGTATCATCCATGCAAGTTTGGTCAACATAGGGCTTATAGTTACTTGGAAATGAAACCTACACCGAAAACTTTAACCTGTTCACTCAACTGGAAAATGTAGGTCAGATTCAGCATCCGAAGCAAGCCCGGTAGTATGCATCCTTAGATGTATCATCCATGCAAGTTTGGTCAACATAGGGCTTATAGTTACTTGGAAATGAAACCCACACCAAAAACTGCACCAAAAATGTTAACCTGCTCCAAAAACATTAACCTGGTAATTCCTTTGCTGAAATTGCAGCATCTGAAACTTTGTCTGGTACAATAAAACACACTAAAACCATCTTCCATGCATGTCTAATCAGTATAGGACACAGAAGTAATTAAAAAGAAAACTGCTCCAAAAAACTTAACCTTAACCTGGGACGCCGACGCCGACGCCGACACCGACACCGACGCCGACACCGACGCCGACGCCGAGGGTATCACATAAGCTCCCCCCAACTTCGTTGAGGTGAGCTAAAAATCATACAGGCATTTTTACCACCAAATAGATAATATATCTTTTCTTGATCAAATATTCTCTTGTCAACAAAATGCTGTTATTTTAATGTATAAGCTGAATGTTTTTTTAGTGTTGAATGAACAAGTCTGGTTAAGATGAATAAGAAGAATTGTATAACATATAAAATCTTACTCAAACATGTACATGGATAAGTATATGAGGATGCATACATTTTTATAAAATTAAGGGATTTTTTCCCAACCAAAATGTTAGTGCAATATTTCAGGCTTTTTTTGACAGAATTGAAGGAATACCTCATCATGCACCATTCTCTGTTGTTTGATGTGCAATGTAAATATAGCATGGGATCTGGAAGACTGCGAATTCATATTTGTACTGGCCGTAGCTCGAGATAAAGCACCATTCTTCAAACACTCCATTGTCTGTAATGCACACAGTAAAATCAATTATTAAATAACTTTACCAAAGTTTCTTCTACGCTGATGTTAGAGTAACAGCTGTGATTTACGATTCTTATGGAATACATAAGACAAGCATAAAATACATTAAAGTATGCTGCAGAAAAATCAATCTGTGTAATAAAAAAATTTTAAGATATGGAAAGAGGGGGTTAAGATTATTTATAGTCAGTGGAACTCTTTGATGTATACTGATTGAAAATAACAACAAAATAAGCCTACATCTTGCAGGGAGTGGACGGGTCGTGTTGCCACGCCCACCATGTATATTCCTCCTGTAGCATCCTCATGGATCTTGATATGGGACTTTCTCATCTGAATCAAGAAATAATTGATTAAATATCACTAGGAAACACATTGCTAAACATGCATTGATTCAGAGGGACTGATCTATAAAACTAACAAAACCTTACCCGTGATTCTGGGTCTCTCGTGCTGTCCAATAAATCTAGGATCTCTTCATTATACAGCTGTAAAGACAAATTACCAAATTACAAGTGTTAAGTTCTGTAATTAACTGAATTTTTCCTTTCATCAATATCATATAACCAGACAATCAAAGAAAATTAAATTGACAATATTAAACCTTTATTCTGACTGACCTCAATAAACTGGGCGTTGACTTTGAAGTCGGGAGGGGGGATGTTCTTTTCCTTGGCTTTCTGTCTGCACTCTTCGATGCCCTTAAACAGGTGGTCCACAGCCCGGGGGATGATCCCCACCTCATTCTCCGGGAGATTCACATCAAACCCTGTCCCCATTGTGTAGGTCTTACCAGAGCCCGTCTGTAACAATCAAGTATGTATTAAAGTATATGTACATTTAACTCCACTCTTATTGCTTAGAGGTAAGAGAGGAGCAACTACTGTCAATATGAATTTCAAGTTCAAAGCTAGTTTCTTATTCTTAAGTGATTTAAATGTTAAAGTAAAACTGCTGCATCCCTCTTCCTATAATTCAGTTTACAAAATCAAATTTTTAGTTGTATTATGTGTATTTTTTAATCCAAAATCTGTGTGCCAAATTTAATTGGAACTATTGTCATTTAATGTGATAAAAGTCTTTTTTTTCCAAGTTAAAGCGATGGATAGGGACAAAAATAGCCTACTATATGGTTTGAATTATTCAATCTGTGACTGCATCCTGTTGTACCTATGACATAATATAATGACTAATGGTACTGCTGCTGGCTTATGAATTGATCGCCATCAGCAAAAAACAAGGGAACTGCACTAGAGCGATAACATACCATCTCAGAACCAAGTCAGACCAAAAATCAATGGAAGAACACTTTATCAAAGAGATGCTCTTCTTTCTGCACATTTAGCCCATTATGCTACATAGCCTTTAATTTCCCGAAATAATTGCATGAAAAATGCAACATAAATATATGATATATATTTATATGACTACCCATTGACCCATTTCATTCCTATTTACCAAGAAATGTATATGCCTCAGCTTCTGTATTTAGTTTAATTCTGACATTATAATTAAATGTTTATAACCTGTTACCATGTGGTAAAGTTTGTTCTTATCTTGATCATACTTGCAAAGAAACAAAAGAAACTTAAATACTCATTTACATTACACTTGCAGGTACTTTATAAATGAGATATTCAGTCTCGCTATGTACACTTGCACTTATAGATACATAAGCAAAGCACAGCCAGTACAGTTCGTACTAGTAATGTTTTCTCCAGCTTATAAGTGATATCTAGGTAATATATATGTAATATACATGTATGTATTATTCATTACTCTTGATATAATAATCAATACTGGCTACATGATATGCCTGGTCAATGGAAAGCTCTGTACTGTCTCCGAGATCAAATTAACCAAATATATGGATTCCTGAACAGCGAAGAACAAGTATAACTTAACTGTCATAGCTCAGAATTGGCAAATAAACAGAGGATTTATGGTCATTAGTTTTACATTATGGTTATCTTAGGAGAGTCCGTTTGTAAATTCTCTATGACAAGCAGCGTAAACAGAATTATTTGTTTACCACGTAAAATAGGCCTCTGGGTATATATATCTTGATAGGAAGATGAAATGCTTTTTAAATTTTACCTTTTCACATCAAAAGACACTATATGTTAACAATCAAGAACACATAAGTGTCAACAAATCATGATTAGTTCAACTATGCAAAGAATCAATGGAGCAAACAATTTTTTTTCTTGAAAATCCCATATTGCTCCATAATTATTATTTTCTTGCATTATATTAAAAAATATAGAAAAATCCTTTTAAAAAACAAAGTTGTGATTTTAAAAAACGGTATTAATTTCTCTAAGGAGCTACATTATTTAAAGAAAAATATTTTTTTCAAATAAAAAAAAAATGCCAATTTCCCCCCACTTAATTTTTCAAATAAAATCTTCAATACACCCACTACCCTAAGTAATATGTGTACAAAGAACAAATTTAAACCCATTTGAATGTTAGGTTGATAACCTCTCTACACAGAATGTAAATGCTATAATATATACAAACTTTATACTTCACACACAGCTGTCAATTAAAATAAGATCTCTTATAGGTGTAGAGTTTGGATAAAAAATTCATGTTTTAACACATTTAAAATGTTAAACAGACCTGTATCAATATATCTGAGCCCATTTATCACCTTCTGCAAATAAAAACCTACCTGGCCATAGGCAAATACTGTCGCATTGTAGCCATCAAAGCACCTACAAAAGAAAATCAAAATATTGCATAGGTGCAGAAGCTGCAAGGCAATAATTTGTATTTATGTATGCAAATCTTTAATTAAATGCTCTTTGCTTAAAAGAGCATATTTTTCTCTTTACACCACAATGTTTATGTAAGCTGTTTTCTAAAAAAATTAAACTATACGAATGTTTTAAAAATTCAAATGCATAACAAAATTTGGTATCCCCAAAATCAAATATTATTTTCCTAATAATCATACAATGTTTATGCAAATTTTCAAGCAGTATAATTCTTCAAAATATGAAATATGTATTTTCAAACATGACTCAAGCCATATAACTGAGCACCATTTAGAATTTTTGACACCATGTCCACATATTCAGCAAAAAATACAATTTTTAGGTCATATAGCGCCGCATTAAATAAGCTGCATTTTAACTCTGTCAGATTCACCCTGGAGTAAAAAAAATCTTGATTTCTGAGATTAAAATATTTGACATAAGTGAGTAGGTGTGCATGTCTGCAAATCGTCATGACAACTACATTGACATTTCCGGAACATTTTGTTTTGTTTTTGTCGATATAATGACAGGAAACCCATGTGTACATGTGCTTTGATGTCCTTACCCCTCAATGAGAGCTCTAACACAGTCACCATATATAGTTTCCTGCATGGTCGGCATGTCAAACACGTAATCGTAGGTAAAACTTTTGTCTTTTCCCATGATGACCTGGGTGGCGTCCACGGTGGTGCAGACTTGACACATGTCAATCTTCTCCTTAGCCAGCTGGGGGCGGATCCTAAAAAATTTAAAAATCAATCCATCAAAATTTAATAATACAAATTCTGCAAATTGCCTCTTGAACCAATGATTATTTTTTATTATGTTAAATAAATACAATACCTGCCATTTTACACCATTTTATATGAAAGAATAATCTTCATGAGATATTCTCACAATCTTTTTAAAGTAACCTCAAACTTTAAAAAAGATATTGCAGTTTTAACAAATTTAACAAAGATCTTGTATTCATCCAAAAAAAATATTTATTCCTAAAACGAAGTAGCTATATATAATGTGTAAATCATTTTTTTTTTATACCCCCGCTTGAAAAGTGGGAGGGTATACTGTAATCGGTATGTCCGTCTGTCTGTTACGCTTTGGGGTACCCATCTCTTATCCGTAACTCCTCTTATACCACTGAGTGAAATTTAATGAAACTTTCACATAATCTTTATCTTTATTACATATTGCCATTGTGCACCTCCTATTTTACTTTTTGATCCAACACATATTTTGCGTTTCCCGGCCACAGCAAAACATGGACTTTGCCATTATAACCATATAGGAGGCGGGGGGGTATCATTTAGTGAGCTCATTGCTCACAGTACCTCTAGTCTATATATATCAATTCTTGCATAATTATGCAGGTTTTTACTGCCTGAATTGAGCAAGGTTCTAAGCCCTTTTTTGGCCCCTGAAAATTTCTCAATTAAATATGTTTTAATTTAGATCAAGGGGTTTGCTCAATTTCCATTTTCATTGAGAACATTTGTGGACCACAGCAATGAAAATCCCTTCAGTGTAAGCATAAATTCATTAAAAGCATCCTCTGACACAATAACTGTATTTTACTGTGTCATTTTATATTTGACAGTGTGCCCTTGAATCTCTAACAAGTAAACTAAATATATGCTTCTTCTGTTGGACAAATGAGGAGTCTTAGCTAGTATCTGCATATATATTGCTGCAAATGAATTAAATTGTACTTGTATCACAATGCAAGACTAAATGAGCTTGCCAAGTTTGTTCATTTTATACATACTTAAATACTCTGTAAGACAGCAAAGAAAAAAATTGTCCATGAAGACATTAGAAGGTATTTCTTAAACAAGGGCACACAAGTTTGAGGTCATGGTAAGGTGGACCTCACCTTTGAGGTCAACACAATTAACTACTGGTAAGTTTAAAATCTCGATATATATCATGTCATTCTTTCTGACCCCCAGGCATAAAAAGTGATTTCCAAATTCTTTCTTTACAATCAAAGTTAAATGAAATTGGGCATTTATAATCTCCCTCTAGCTGGATTACATTCATCATCTTAATAAAATCCTCATTTCAAAACTGTTTAAACAACTTCTTAATTCCCTGTTACCTACATGTAGTAGTCTATATCTACAATGTGAATCATGCTCTCCAATATAAGATACTAGTAACTGTATATAAAGACACTTTAAAAGCATGGAGACTTTTGCAAACAAACCTAAGAGAGAATTTTATACTCATTGTATAACATTTACGTAATCCTGCATGCTTTCAAATACTGCTAAATCAATTTAAATGACGTTAAAATTGATGTAGGGATCTTAGAGTAGCCATAACCACAATTCTATATTTATTTTGGGATACTCTGATGGTAAATATTGGTCTTCAATAAACTTCCTCTAGAACATGACAATGAACGACTCTCATTTACTTTGATGGTCGGTCAAACATCTGGACAAATAACAACATGATTAAGTCCTTAAATAGTTAAATATCTGGCGACTTAAGCCAGAAGAAAAACACCATTAGTAGCCCACACCTACGGACCTCTACAATAATTCATAACCTTTGTTTCCTTTCATTACATGATACTTGTACACGCCATGTCAAATTCATTAACACAGGGTTGAAGATCTGTAGATATATTAGTGTATCTGAAAATCCCTTGGGCAGCAAACACTGTGTTAATGTGGTTATTCAAAACAATAAAACACTGGGGCACAGGCATCTCAATGTACTTTTATGTTACATACAATTATACATGTAGATTTAATACTGCTTGCAATTTTCTCAAATGGCATCTTTTTTTCTCATTTGTGATTTCTAATAAAATGGTAGTGCAAAAAATGAACTTCTTGTCTTTGCAACAAATTATTATAAAGGATTGTCAATTCAACAATTTCTACTTAATTTGTTTATAATTAAACAAGTGTGTTGTTCTGCAAGGAAATTTGTTATGTATGCAAAATAACATGAACAAGCTGTATGGCACGATATATGTTGGTGTATATGTACTGCAATTTTAAGAGTCAGTGCTATAATACAAATCTGCCCATAAGTATCTGCATAATAATTTTATGATGTCAAGGACAATATTTAATGCCAAAAACCAAGAAAATTTAATTCACTGAAACAGCTTCCTCTATATATCACAGAATTTTTGCCAAGTATGGTACATGTAATAAAGTATAAAAATAGATTCAATTCATTGCTTCATCTTTATGTTTCATAAATATTTATATTCAAAATAAAATGTTCCTGATATTCATTTCTTTCCCTTCTGGTTCTTGATTTTAGAACAGATGGAATTTGCATTATAAACATCTACATGATCTAAAATCTAAACAAATGGCGTAAAACCAAATGGGTAGGTGTGAACCTTCTAAAATGGTTTAACTTTATGTTCCCAAATACAAATAACTTCAACAATCATGACAATGAAAGCAACTGACTAGTAAACGGATGGGAATTATGAAGCTGTGGTCAAACTAATGCAGGTTACTGTAGAAATTAAGAATACAGAGGAATGCTGAAAGACAGAGGTCCATGTCAAACAGCTGAACCTAGGAATCTCGAACACAATTATGTCAGATACTACTACTAGGTATACATGGTATACTACATGTCCAAGTGGATAGGACACCGTGATCTTATCAAGAATTAGTGAATTTCAATCCCCATGATATCTAAAATATTTAACTCTCATGCATGTAAAGTGCATTCACAATTCTTAAAATTAAGGATTCAGTTAAAGTCAATGCAATTTACATGATTTTGACTTGAGGACAGTCTCCTTTCCTGGTTTTAGAAAATTTAAATAGATATGTTAGTGACCTTAGTTTAATAGCAGATGTTTACCTTGTTTACAAACGTATCTTAAAAATAAGTTTCATCAGCTTATAGTTCTGCCATTCTTATCAGGGTGTATCACATATGATATATTTAAACATAATATTCATAATGATAAAAAAATTTGAGCCTTTGATATATTTTGGAGGAGAAAAATTATACCAAGTATTTAAAGAGGATGAAATTTTCATTCCAGGACTATCATTCATCTGTACACACACAGATGCTTTTTCGAAAATGCAAGCATGCAAAGTCAAAGTGCATGTAACCCATATATACACATCATTTAAAAAAAAAAATAGAAATCATTAGAGAGCTTGAGAAGATCAGAAGAACAAGCAATTATGTTGTTTGGAGAAAAATGTAACCTCTAACAATATATGTTTCAAATCAATTGGAAATATTCATTAAGTCATTTAATGAAACAAAAGCCCTGTTTTTCCTAAAGAAAAGCGAAATAGTCTGATTTTTTGCAAGAAAATGGGTAAAATGCTTGGTAAAACTAAGAGGCTTTTCATGGCATTGCCCCTCTCCTCGCCTTTGAGCCCACTTATATAAGATCAGCTCCAGACTCCTGTCAATCTCAACATCCACTTCATTTCCACTCAGGCTATGCACCTGTTCATTACCCTTACCCAGGTGCTGCATGCACTGATAAACATGTACTATCCATATTATTAATAAAATCTAATTTCTGTCAAATATGCCCAGAATGATACCTTGTTTCTGGTCAATATCACTGCATATCATTGATATCTATGAGTTTTACATTCATTTCATGCCTTCCACTTCTTCTCAAGATGACAAGAATTTTTTTTCAGAAATGCATGTGCTTCCGTCACTCATACCACTGGTGCTAGTCATTGTTATGTGAAGATATGTACTAATTCATAAACAGAACACCCTTAAAAATCACTGATGAAACTTACAACTGAACATTTCAATTTGATCTTGAACCATTTGATCATTACACTGTTGTTTTGACTTTTTTTATTCTGAGAAAATTCGAACGTTAGGCCAAATAATAAACTGGTATGGAGAATTCAACAGTTGTACAGTAAAAACTATATCTAATACAATGAGCATAATTTAAAAAGAGTTAGAAAGCTCAGAATACCTGAGTGCAACTCGCACACTGCTATCATCTTCCTTAGAATCTTTGCTTTCCGTCATCATTGCTGTCTGATCTCAAAACAGTTCATATTTTCCCACGTGGTCTGTGAATGAAAACACTTTCTACTGCGACTCTGCCGTCAAAGACGGCCTACACTGGGGTTTCACATGTTACAATCTGTAAAAATTTGCAATAAATCTCTTCAGTAAGTTGAATCATAGCAATATGTGAACAGTTCTCACTCTGTAACCGATTTCCCCGTCTATCAATATTTTGTTGAGCATATGCAGTGACCCCTGTCGGAAGTGCTGATTAAGGGAGATTACTCTTACAAAACTCGACGATGGAAAACTTTTTTTTCCCTGAATGCTACTAAAATAATATTCTCTCCGAGTCTCAATTAAAAGTAGAAAGCAGAGTGACTGGAAATTACCTTTTTTAAAATTTAAATAATTTATAGAATGTTTTACCTACTGGTATTTTCTGAAGTTTCAAAAAGCAAACACGGGAGAGGGGGGGGGGGGGTGAAAGAGTTTTTTTTTCCTTAAAAAAGCAATCCGAGCATTCTTACTAATCATTCTTTTTTTACAGGGACCAGAAAATTGGTAGGGACTGACAGCGTTGATATCGTTGCTGTTCTGGATAATGGGCTGAAAAGATCAATATAGTTATCCCTTATTTAAAAAAAATTACTTTATTCAATTCAATTTCTTTATTGATTCACCAAAAATGTTGGCATACAACCATGTTACATATAAAAGACAAATAATAAAATACATAGATTACATGCAAGTGTAAGGATCAGTGAAGTCAACTATGCAGAGTATTACAACTTGAAGATTAAACAAAATCATAAACTTTAAGAAATAATGAAGATTAAGATACATTTTTTCCCTTTGCAAATACGTTAAAACCTAGGGTTCTAACAAATGACCTTGACATTCGTGTTCAATACAAAAGCAACATACAATACATGGCTACTACCCTCTCTTTTTTATTGTAAAAATATTTTGGTATATTTTTATAGTAACCATATCTCAACACTTTGTTCTCATTTCAATACCCCACCCAACCCCAACCCCTCTAACCTGTGATTATTCATCTGAGTCATTTGTTGACCATACATGTAATAGTAAACGAGAATTTTTAAACATACATTAAAAAAATTAAGCAAGTAAACTGTTTATATAAAAAAGAAGCTATTCGAATTTTGAAATAACACACTGCACCTCTTATCCCTTAATTTTTTTAATGTATGTTTCAAAAACCCTCATTTAGTATAACATGTATGGTCAACGTGAATAAATCTAAGTTTTCAACTTTGGTTTGTGGAATGTTACAGAATAAGTTAACTAAAAGAAATAAAAAAAGGATATGCTTTCACAACATATCCAATTTTTGATATTTTTCACGATGTGCGACAAGTTGAAATTATGATCCACATACTCTAAGAAAAAGACTCGATCAGGCCAAAATTTGTCTGATTTCAATTTTTTTTGGAGAATTCTGACTTTAAAGTATTGGGGGGGGGGGGTGACTCTAAAAACTTGTGGATGATGCAAATTCTCACAACGCTTTATGCACAACACAATTGTGTGTGTGTGGGGGGGGGGGAGCTGATTTTTAACAGTTTTGTATGAAAAACTGTCCCTCAAAAGTTTTGTAACGATGTCTCAGTTTTGTGGGGAACTATTCTAATCTCTTGGAGGCTGTGTTAGGAATTAATGCTCTAATCTGCTTACTGGCGAGTGAATTTTTAGTTATCTTTCTTCTCTCAGAAATTCTGATTTGCGCGAATTTTAGTAGGGGTAATATCTATGTCAAAAAACAAACAGGAAAAAAAATTAAAACCTTGCCCACGTTAGGAAATACGAATCCCTTTAAAATGTATAAGGGGGAGTCAAGGGATATATAAGAAAATGATACATTAACACCTAGCTCTTCCTCCTACATGTCAATTAACCTTTCATAGCTGTAAACTTTAATTTTTTCAGGTCTGTGCAACTAGTTTTGTTTTTAGTTTCCGAGTCTAACATATGTTAGAGTTAACGCGAAACCCCCGCTTCTTAGAAAAAAAAATCCGACTTTGATATCAATTTGTCAAGAAGATTACATGTGGAACCTCTTATCCCTAGGGGAAAAAAAATTCTAGATCTACACCCTTCTGATAGTCTCTCCTCCTTAGCCACTATCTTAATTTTGGAACGAATCAAAGATCTGATTTTAATCAGCGTTCTACACGTACGACATTAATCAAGTCTTCATTTTTACCGGCATCCACCCCATCCCTGGCAGAAAGGGAAAACCACTCATTTGTCAAACTCATAAAAAGTCCGAAGACTAGCTGCATGTTGGTTTCTTGTTTGTCAGGTATGAAGTTTTGTGTGCAACAGCTGTAAGAACCCTACCAGTTTATAAAGTAACATCTGATTTTTATTTTCATTTTGGTATAGAAATGCTAGAGAGAGAGAGAGAGAGAGAGAGAGAGAGAGAGAGAGAGAGAGAGAGAACTGTTTGTTAATTGTCCTCTGCATAGGCGTCGGAACCGGGGGGGCTAGGGGGGGCTTAGCCCCCCCACTTTTTTTCCTATATACCTAGTATAGTTGAACATTGCTCATGCATTTCCAGAGACAGTCAAACAAAAAAGGGTATCTGGAATATGGTTAGTGAGAAGATGCAGCACTACTTTTCTTGATCCTGTTTCCACACTTTCAATTTGCTTCCGAGGATCTCTGAATTCCGGTCTTACTGCCCTTTGTTGTTTCCTGATAATGATTATCATGTGGCATATGACACCAAACATCCCTGTTTCCACACTGGATCTAATTAACTTTGGATGATGTGAGGTGTCGCATCACCAAAATGATTCCTGATGATGCTAATTAACTATGGTGGAACTCCATATCTACCTTATCTACACTATTGAAGGCCTTCTCAAAGCCGACAAATGTTGAGTAAAGAGTAGACTGACATTCACTGGATTTTTCATTAATAATACGAAGCGTGACAGTATGGTCCTTGGTCTGTACATCATCTGCCTTGACAGAACCCTGATTGCTCTGATCTTAAGTTCTTGTCCAATGAAACTTTCATTCTTTCCGATCTTTCCGAGATTACTCTTTTTAAAATCTTGCTGGCACTGGATAAAACATGACTGCTCACCAATATCCATACAGTGATACTGCGGAAGGCCCTTTTCTATGGCAGTTTAACCAGATATCCTGTTTTTTGTGTATCTGGTACCTTTTCCTCTTCATATTATATTTGCAGTTACTGCTGACTTGGAATATCTTTGAGTGTATAAGGGGGAAATACATGTACATTGTATACTATTTGGACCAGCATTCTTTCCATTTTACTGTAATTTTATAACATTGATAATTTCTGTTCTCGATGGTGGTGATGAATTGATGTAAAGCTACTCCTTAGTTGGTGGTATGCTGCAAGACTGGGTGGTGGTGGTCGATTCTGAACTTACTTAAAGTGCTTCGCTCATCTAATTCTACCCCTTCTTCCCCAACACGAGTGATAATTTTGTCTTGTTTGTCCTTCATTGAAGGTTTTGGTGTTCACATTTCTTCCCGACAGTGTTCATATAGCTTTTTCATATTGTTCTGTCAGGCTGCTCTCTCTGTCTCTCCAGTCATGTCATGGACGAACTGTCTCTTGTCCTTCCAAGCTTTCTTTTTGACTTGTTTGTTGGTTATATTATGTCTTCAATTTCCTCTTTCGCTGAGTATCCTGACACTGGTTGATTCTATTGACTTAACATCAAGCAAACCTCTTGTCCACTCTCGCATCATTATGATATGATCTTTTTGTTTTTCCATCTTTACATCTGGCAGAGTTAATTTAACTCGTGTCTCTTATTGTGTGGAATGATGGAACCTCCGATGACTAGATATTGAAAGTGCAGAAATCTTTTAAAAGGTTAACGGCAGCTCTCTGCTTGAGAAAATTCGGAGATAAAACCGAGAGCTACATATCCAAGCATTGTAAAAACCTTCTATTAACGGCGCCAAATTTCGTCGCTCATTTTAAGTATCGTTTCTTGCATTTTTAGCTTTTTTACTGAGTGTAAATGCTAGCCCTACGCTCTTCCACTGGATTCAGAGGACTGGTTTTTTTTTGTTAGGTTTTCTTTCCATTAGTCACTTGTTATGGTTATTTAAAGGCGCTGGAATCTCGCCTTTCGCCATTGACATTCCGCTACCGAAGCATTTCCATGGTCACCATGACAAGGAGGTGTGACATATGATTTTCTGTGGTGACAGAACCTATTTGAGACGGTATGCATTAACTCTCGATTTTAGTGATGACACCTAGTGACACTTAGAGGCATCTTTCGAGACCAATACCAGCATTTGACCCTAGTATAAATGTAGCAAACTTACAAATCTCATTATTTTGACATTGATATAAATTGCAAGAGTTACATGTACCTGTACCTGATCATGATAGATAGGATGTGTTGCTTCGTCATCAGATAGATATTCCTTTATCAGCTGCTTTTGGTGATATCCACTACAGAATCCAGAGTTGTTCCAACTGGATATACGTGATCAGGTTCCAGCCTGGAACCATTCCGGTCTCCATCACCACTCTTCTTTTTATACTGAATGTTTATCCACTTGCGAACATGTACTAGTATCTGCCTTTTTTTCTCCACAATCCAAATGATACTCCTCTCTATCCCATTTTACTGCCTCAATCTATTGTGTTGACAGTCCTTAAAAAGTACATTGTACTAGTTACTTTAAGGGTCGGGTTTTCACTTACATGTATATGCATCCATTCTGATCACAATGCCACCATCATTTCCATGAGAATGGCCTTTCTTACATTGTTGCCACTGACCAGAAGTCGGAACCCATTTTTGTTACTGCTAAATCAGGTCTTTTTCTCGGGTTAACCCACATCTGCTAATCTGCTGCTTCCCCAGCAAACTAGTTCTTCGAGGAATAGTTTTATGTCTTTTCCCCTTTCTTTTACAAAAAGACAAAGTTAGTTCTTTTGTGATTTTCAGTAACCCGTAGTTATTTCTGTAGAACTCTATCATCTCTCCAAGTGATTCTTACATCCAGAAACTACTGAATGCGTTTCAAAATGACTGATTTGGTGCAGAAGTAAAAGACAAACTATGGGTCATCTGTCAATATCCATGTTGCAAGATCCCTTTGGCTTAGTAAAACATTGTAAACATTGCCTGAGTTGGATGATGTGGTCCATGTAGTTTTCATTCCTTAACCTACCTTTTGTCCATTTCATCAGGTTGCCACACACGTTATTTTAACTGCGGATATGACTCACATCCCATCCTTTTCATATGAATCATAAAGGTCTCGTTGTTTCTTGCAAACTTTTTCACAACTGCCAACATTTCCATTTTTAAAAAATCGCTGTCGTTGTCCGTTGCATTGTTCTTTTCTTGTTATATGTCGCTACGGTTGCTCATACTTTCCAGGTTTCAAAGCTATCTCTTCTCTTGTCTCCCTGGTAGTAATTTATTGACAGATTGTTTTGTTGTTTAACGTCCCTTTCGAGAATTTTTTCCCTCATATATGGAGACACCACCACTTGCAGGTGGAGGGCCAAATTTTGACCTATGTTTGGCACTTACGGCCATTGAGCGGACGAGGGATCTTTTTCGTGCAAGTACCTACTGCGACTTGTGACCTCGGTTTATACGGTCTGATCCAAAGGACCGGTCTCTACGTCTCATAGTGGGATTCGTAGCCGCGATATTAGGATAAACTCCATAAAACTCTACAGCAGACGTTCTACATGTAACCACAACCCGCGCATGCGACTGAAGAATTTATTAACTTAATTCGTGGTCAAGGAAAATGATATGATTTTAATAAAATAGATAGTCGGTTAATCATCCCCTCTATATAAAGGAGATCCCTCTTTTAGAATGAGGACTCTTTTAGGAGCAGAGATATATCTTTTCTAGAGAAATCCCTCTCGGAAAAAGATATTGCTGTATCATAAACTATTGTCAGAGAAGCAGTGTATGCATTAGTAGCTAAGTGACGTTCTTTATAGTCTCCAACGTGTTGCAGTGGCTAGAGCGTCTGCTCTAAAGTTGTCTACAATTAAGGACTGGAGTTGATCCTTGCACCGCAGGTTCGAATCCCACTGTGGGACGAGGAGACTGGTCCTTCGGATGAACCCGTATAAACCAAGATGGTGGCTCGAAAAAGATCCCTTACTGTTCAATGGCCCTGAACGTCGAGAGTAGGACAAAATTTGAAGATCTCCACCTGCAAGTGGTTGCGTCTGCATATGAGTGATGAATTCTCGAGAAAGACGTTAAACAAGAACACAAAAAAAAAACCAACAAACAAACGTTCTTTATAAAAATGTAGAACACAGTAGCAAAGAAAAAAATATATGGCATTCATTAAATAATACATTAATGCATCTGATATATCTATACCTTTTACTGCAACTAATTTGATGATTGTTTTCTGATATTTCTTAATCAATACTGACTCTTAACAGGAAGGTAGAGGATCTATGTATTGAGACACTTAATCAAAGAGCGTTAAATATTCATGTCGAGGTCAATAGGTAATGGTGCGAGGGAGCTCTGAAATCAATATATCTACATGGTACAAGGAAATTTACCTGATGCTACTCATCTTTGGATCTTTTCAAGGTAAGAATTTTTTTCTGTTTGAACGAAAGTCTTGTCCAGCTCTTTGCTGAAAAAGTTCTATTTAATCTTAATCACTTTGGGCGTTACAGTAAACCCAGACAACCACCACCCCTTTGGATAGTAATAATGGTCAAGATTATGCATATTGAGTTATAAAATATATTTCCGATGTATTTGCGATATTTTTTTCTAATGTAGATAATGTCCAAACGTACATCAAAGTACGGCACATGGAATACGATAACTACAAAGTCAGGACCATATCGGACAAAGAACGGTAAGATTGTATATAGAACAAGACGTCCTTTGGCAAGACCGCGAAATTCGGCTCGTCCCCAGCAGCCGACGCGATACTCAGTGGCTAAAAATCAAAAGGGTCTTTTAGAGCTAAAACTCAATCATTATCATTTGACGGAATTCCCAAGGGATATCCTGAATTTCACTGGTCTTCAGCACCTTGAGCTATCCCACAATGCCATACAGGAAATTCCTGGTGCCATTGGAAGAATGCGAAGATTAAAAGTACTCTATCTTCATGATAACAAAATCAGTCGCTTGCCAGAAACACTGACGAACTGTATACATTTGGAGGATATCAATCTGACCAATAATGAACTGTCCTCTCTGCCACAAAACATTGGAGCTTTGAAAGCATTGCAATATTTTCGGCTTGGGGAAAATCGATTTGAAAGTGTTCCACACAACATCAGTCTTCTTGCGAACTTACGATGTCTTGACCTCCATGGCAACCATCTTTGGTATTTGCCGTTTTCTCTATCCCTCTTGGCTAAGCTCCATTATTTGAACCTTGCAGATAACAAATTTGAGCATCTGCCTCTTCCCGTCTGTCATATAAATTCACTGAAAGTTCTTCAGCTTCGAGGAAATGGTCTTTCTAATTTGCCACCAGATTTTGACTCTTTGAAACAACTGAAAGAGGTAAACCTGAGCTTTAATAAGCTTCAGATGTTACCACCTAGTATAACAAATCTTCCAGACCTCAAATATTTAAATCTTGCTGGGAATAAAATTCGGCATGTTTCACATCATTTTGCCACAGTTTCTAAACTAAAAGTACTGCACTTGCAAGGTAATGAAATCGAGCATTTTGCAGAAGGATTTGTGCACATGCACTACCTAAATGTGTCCGAAAACAGAATCTACACACTTTCTGTTGGACGAATGAAAAAGCTGCAGTATTTGAATGCCAGTTTCAATCAACTGGACAACGTTCCAATGGGATTGTTTTCGTGTCCAAAATTAGAAGAGCTAAAATTGAACGGGAATAAAATACAGGTTATTCCTCATGAAATCATACAACTTCAAAAATTACGAGTGCTGGACCTCGGTAACAATGAACTGACAAGCTTCCCCCAAGTCATTGACAAAATGGTTAAACTGGACTACTTCAACGTTCGTGGAAACTTCATGAAACAAAGAGAAGGTTCCCCAATGCAAGTCTGGCCTCAGGGTTTTTCAGTGAAGGTAAAGAAAGACAAGCCTTCACCGAGATCAGTCAAATCTCCAGTTTCAAACCACAAGCCAATGAAGGCCTCGCCAGGTAGCAACCAATTCCTCCGTAAAAGGCCAAGACAACAACAATCTCAACATTTGGATGAATTGTTACAAAACGGATTTTCTCTCCGTCATATTGAGAATGGTCACGATTCTGTCATGCATCACTACAGAAGAGACGAAGAAACGGACAGACAACACACACGGCACGTTGGAGACAGACACGTGATAGAAAGACCGACAACTTCCGGTAGAAGAGAGACTAGACACCAGATGGCGTTCGAAGATGACAACGGCACTCTTAGATCAGGTGATGCTGATTTCCAGTTGCTGGGAATTTGTAATCAAGTGGAGATGTTGCTCAACAAACAACTTCTGCATCCTGCAGTTTGAGGAACCATCATTCTACTGACATTGGATGATGGCGATTTCTGGCTGTGTACATCGTACTCGAATCAAAATTTTGAATTTATCTGAGGAATTTTGACATCAATTTAAAAAAATATATCAGAGGTTTAATTCAGGTTGCATTAAGTTTAACTTAAATACATTGTACTATACTCACTGGACTAAACCGCATTTCCTAGAATATTCTCTGCAATTCTATCGATATATGTTTTCTAAATAAAACACTTGACAATTATTTGAGAGGAGGGGTATCGGAAATTATTTACCGGTTTTTACTGAATTTTTCGAGAGGATTTTCAAAAAAGTTCCCCCAATATTAAAAAAAAACAGAATGAAAATTTTTTTTTGAAAAAGTCCCGTAAAAAATTCTCACAAGATATAAGATAAATTATACTTGTGAAAATACTGCAAATATTCCAATAATGATAAAATTAACTTTATATTGTTCTGATATAATTTATACTAAAAAGATTTAACTTGATTTTACGGTAAAAATCAAATCTATTCTATTTTACATCTAAGCACAGATCACTTTATATGACTAAAAGTTCCGTGAAATTAAAACTTTTGTGAGCAGCGTTTCAAACTTCATAGCAATCACAGTCGTCTGGAATGAGGAATGTCTTATTGAATGCAATGTTAGATGAAGATATAAATGTTGAAAAAATGCTTATAAATGTATTAAAACATTAAGAAGAAATCATAACAGCTAGTTTGGTAGGAAGAAGGTACATGTATAATGACTAGATTTTTTTGGTCACCCTTTACATTTTGAAAGTTGAATACAGAGAAAAATCAAGACAATTTGAATGGATTTACTTTTCTATCAATTCACATTACACATATGACATTGACAATTTCAATGAAAATATATGTACATGTACATGTAAAACTATGTTACTTTTTTTTAAATATGTGTGTTCATTGCACCATCTTAAAATGTACAGTATTCTTTACAATTTATATCAGTATTAAAAAGTTGCATGTTATTATATGTTTATTACTTCCATGAATATAGTTATCTGATTTTAAGTTTCATAATTAATAACAATGGAATGTTTAAATACAATGAAGGCATTGATACAAAGCATGTTTTATGATATGTTTAATAAATAGAAACATGAAGCAAGATGTACTTCATACAAGTCACAAAAATTGTGTTGAACCTACAGAATATAATTAAAATCTATCAGAGTAATAATAAAATGTAACTTGCAAATCTCATATAAATCAAGAACTCAGATAACGAGTAATAAAAGGACGGAATTCTGTGAGTAAATTAATACATGTACAGGGAAAAAGCAACCACTTCATGTACAGAAATCTAGGATACTTTTGCAAAAAAAAAAAAAAGTACAGACAAGTATGCTTGTTCAAATGGCATGATATAAACATTTTATATTCTATCTAAAGGTAAATTCCCATATATGCAATCAATGGCAGGAAAACCCGAAATGACCAAGTGTACAATTGTGTTTGTAATTTATAAAAGGGAGACCACTACTGCGATTGATTTATCTCATTTGGTGGGTTCATTGTAAAATAAATAATGATATGCTACAAACTACCACAAAATACTAAACTGTAAAACATTATCATATAACAAAACATTAATTTGATTAACAACCTAAATATCAATTTAAAGTACAACCCTGTCCAGGAAAGGCATAGCAAACATCACAAGGTTCTTGGCTTTGTATGAAATATCCCAATTGCAAACAAAGTACTGAGCAAAAAAAGAACCTAGAGAAAAATATTTTTTTTTGTTTACAATTTTCTGGTTTACAAAGATTAAAAATTCTAACTACCTACTGTTAACAGGATACTTATTGACCATATAAAACTGTACCAGAATCTGTATGTGTGGTGGTCATTTCCATGATCCTGAATTATTTATGCTAAACAAATTATACAACAACAATTTCTTCTAACATTGATGGTAAAATTCACCACATATAAATGTCAACGTTTACAGTTTGTAAAAAGCTACAACACTTCAGCTCTTCACAAATACTAATCATAAATTGTATCTTTGCTTGATATGATAAATGCACCGTTTTGTTCTACAATGCTAACATCACAGTTGAAACTAATGCCACAACGAGGCCTAATTGAGACATTTCTTGTCAGATCTATTGAAGAGAACTACATTAAAAAAAATATTGTACATTGTATGTACACTTCTAAAAATAAGTACAAATTGACTTTCACAACACTTAAGTTCTAAAATATTGTCCATAATCGTCATCAAACAGCCATTTGCATGTCTGCATAATTATAAAAGTCTTCAATCTCTTTCTCAGCTTCTGAGCGACTTTCAGAACAGAAAAAGTCACAGATATTTTCCTGCTGGAATGCATTAAGTGCTGCACGGATGATATCTATACAGCCTTCACCATTAAATTCTAAGCCTATAACAGATCCTACAAAAAAGAGAAGCATATTTTAAACCAAACAAGAGGCCCATGGGCCACATTGCTCACCTGAGAAGCTTTGACCATTACGTTCTTTACCAGATTACCCCTTGCAATACATATTGTGACCCCACCCTACCTAACTGATCATAATTTAAACAATTTGAAATCTACACTACCATAGGATGCTTTGATTCAACATTGTAAAACTTTGATTCCCCATTGTGGCCCCGCCCTACCCTAGGGGTCATGATTAGAACAATTTAGAATCTACACTACCCTGAGATGCTTCCACTTAAGTTTCAACTTTTCTGGCACAGTGGTTCTTGAGAAGAAAATTTTCAAAGATTTTTTATACATATTTCTATGTAAAATTTTGATTCCCCATTGTGGCCCCGGAACCTACAACCCCCCGGGGGTCATGATTTGAATAATTTCAAATTGACACTACCCAAGGATGCTTCCACATAAGTTTCAGCTTACCTGGCCCCGTGGTTCTTGAGAAGAAGATTTTCAAAGATTTTTCCTATATATTTCTATGTAAAACTTTGATTCCCATGTGATTGTGGCCCCGCCCTTTGTAAAAACGAGGGTCATGATTTTAACAATTTAGAAGAACAAGTACCTCTTTACTATCCCAGCATGCTTCCACATAAGTTTCAGCTTTTCTGGCTCAGTGGTTCTTGAGTAGAAGATTTTCAAAGATTTTTCCTATATATTTCTATGTAAAACTTTGATTCCCCATTGTGGCCCCTGCCCTACCCCCGGGGGTCATGATATCAATACGAACAATTTAGAACAATACGACTTGTATCAGGATGCTTTTGCATATAAAAATTTTTTTTGCATTGAAATAAACCAATTATTTCTTTGCAAATGAAGATTTTCAAAGATTTTTAAAACATATATTTCTATGTAAAAAAAATTAATGATTCCCCACTGTGGCCCCATCCTATTCCCGGGGGTCATGATTTTTAACAATTTAGAATTTGCACTACCCCAAGTTGAAAAAGCTTCCATGTAAGTTTCAGCTTTTCTGGCCCAGATGACGTTTTTATTAGAAATATTTTCAAACATTTTTCCTATATATTTACAGTATGTTAACTTTTTAATAACATTTTTAAAGTTAAATACATTGTGGCCCCATTTCTACCCCAAAAATTAAGAATTAGTACATATTATCATTTTATTGAACAAATGGGCTTAAAAAAAGTTCCACCTACCCCAGGAAAAAAAAAAAAAAAAAAAAGCCTGCTTCCACATAAGTTTCAGCTTTTTTGGCCAATTCATTGATTTTTTTTGGAAGAAGATTTTTTATTTATTTCCCCACCCTTTTTATATTTCACTTATTTATTTTATATACCCCTTGTGAAGGGACTTGGCCCTTCTTTTGCATAAACGTGTAATTTAAATTTTTACTTTTAACCATCAAATGCTTTGTACCAAGTTTGGCCTAACTTTTTAGTGTCCAATTATTTTCCAGTGGTTCTTTAGAAGAAGTCGAAAATGTGAAAAGTTTTACAGACCTCCTAACAGACAGACGCACGGTACGACGGACAAAACATGAAACAGTAAATGACACAGCTCAATTTTTAGCCTTTACGATGTAATTCTACATAAAAAAGTGAGCAATTGTAAAAACATTTCAATAACAGCTGTGTTAATTTTGAGCAGATTTCTTCCCCTCATTTTGTCCATTATGATTTATCCACCGATTTATTTTGAGCAAACAAGTTTTAACACTAGTGTAATATCTAAGAGAAATAGAGAGCATAAGTACCTCTTTGAACAAATGGAATGTATAGTTCTAACTATCCACATTTTTGTGATATAGCATCACTGGGCTCCGCGATATATCTCGTGTCTATATATTAAGGATATATGTTAAATAAACAGACAAGAACAAATAAATTATGATGTATTTTTGAAGCATGTGGTTTGCAACATTTTACAAGATGCATATAATTATAAAGCTCTTTTTAATGGAAGAAGATTTTCATGTGTTTTATTATTAGCTTAACAAGTATAAACTTACATTGCTTTCATATAATTTATCGATGAATTGTCTTGCTCTTGTGATGTTGGAGTTCTTGCCATCATTGAAAAATACAACCAAACAGGACTGTAAGAGAATTAAACATGCATCTAATAATCAATTTCCTAAGTATTTGTGAATAAATTTATCATATTTCCCACCTCAAATTTAAAGATGTGACTCATACCAACTGCTCAGATATTCTAATTGTCCAGATATCCAAATTGTTAAAACATACATATTGTCAAGTCATCTATGTACCTGAGTAATTGAATGGTACCTTTAAAGCCACCCCCTCCCCCACCAATTGATGAAATTTTATGTTAGGCTAGAAAGTATTTGAATTCTTGTCCGACATTTTATTCATGGAATATATTTAATGTACACTGACTGCACTAAAGTGATCTGGTGCCTTACCTCATCTGAGATCTTTCTCCTGGGACCCAGTGTTAATGGCACAACACTATCCACCCTAGAAGTGGACACGGTTACTGACTGAAACTGTTCTGTACTGGGGAGGGGCACAAAATTCTCTACCTTGGAGTCCTAGAGTAAAAGAATTAAATTGATCATTGACATTTTCACTATCAGCATTCTTTTTTTAAAGCAAATATCAATGAAAATATGAATTTTCTGATTCATATAATGTGTGTTTGACCCTCAAACTGACAAACATGGAATGCAATGTAAGATTATGTAGAATTGCTTGCAATATATTTTCATATAAATCATTACAGTCATGCATTCACATTATATTTCATTGCAAGTACCAGTATGCAATGGACAAATGCCTTGTAGCTTATTTTAACTATTTAGTAGAAGATGTGTAATTCTAAGTCCCTCTGACCTCTGGTAGAAGAGAGTGGTGCTGTTCATCTGGATCCTGTGAGAAATCATGGATGTTTCCCCAGTTATTGCTGAACACACTCAGACCAGCCATTTTGAATTGCACTGAAAATATCCAAATTATAGTTACAGCATTTGTCAATCAATAAGCTAAGTTTCAACATATATTAGATTTGATCATTTTATCATATTTCCTTTTATAAGTTAAAGAGAATACACAAAATTGCATCCCCATGAACCTGTAAGATTTATTCCCTGAATATTGGTCCTACAAATTTTAATGATTCAACAGTATTCACTAAATTCTTTCGAAACTCAGCAAAATTGGTCTGGAACTAATGACTACTGTACAGAATGTAGATCAACAAGTAAATATCAATATTTCAAGTTATATTACATTGGAAAATGTCTTTATGTTATTATGGCCATTCCTGCAGTGCTTACTTTTGAGTTCAGGATAGTGGTACTGGTAACAGGCAAATTTCATTCCGGAGGATGACTCAATAATAGGCTGTGTGTTACAGCAGAGAAATATGTCCACCTTACTGCAGTCTCGGGTGCGGAACTGCTGGCAGGCCACAATAACTTTACAGTTCTTACTATCCCGTATAAAAACACTGAAAACAGACATAAAAGGGAGACAAGTGTTAACAATGTCATGATTATCAAAAAATATTATGATGGTCCAAATTTTTGTATCAGATAAAATGAAATTCTATTATTTTCTCAACAAAATATCAGGAAAAATTATTAATACTGTATACAGGGAAATTATCTCCCCTTTAAAAAACAAGGCAAATTCAAAGAATACAGTATTATTTCTTAAACAAAACTAGTACTGGGCGAGTTAAAAATGTGGCAGAATTGTTTGCAAGTGTGAAAGGGTGAAAATTAAACGGGGGATTCACAAAATTTTTTTAACCCCATATACAGTAAATATACTGTATAAGAAATGGGTTGTGCTCTGATATTGATATTATTTTAACTGCTATCTGATTAAATCACTGAGTGAATTTTTTTCCCATTAAGTAATATGGCACTTTTAGACTCAAAAATGTAAATGTTTGCATTTATTATTAATTCAGGACTTCTTTTTTTTATCAAGGAGGTTTCCTCTAAAATAAGAGTTTTCTCTATATAAATTTTGTTTTGCACCTTTAGTTAAAATTTTGAATTTCAAAATTGATAGCAAAAATTATCAGGAAAATATTATAATATTATAATGAACAGGGAATGCTTAATACTCCTAGGCACCTGGTCCACCTCTGGAATATATTTGTATTGTTTATAGGCTTTTTAAAATTTTGCAATTTTCATTTTATTGTACATGCATACATGTACATGTTCTATGATTTTTCAAATTTGACTCCAGGTAATGTTTTTATGAAAAACAACTGTTCAGTTAATTGTTTTTCATCAAAAATGGGGGGGGTCAATTTAGTTTATCTAAATTCTATTTTTACACTAATGCAAACAATTATAACCTTTTATTTTTGAAAAAAAAGCAAATGTTTTTCCCCAAAATTCTGCCAACATTTGTTTTAATAATACATGTACCATTAATCAATTTCTGTGGCTTTTATGGGAGATAAAAGAGTTACATCATGTTTTATAGGCTTTATAAGTATTACTCCCTTATACCGCTAGGTTTTAGCAGAATATTGGTAAATGATAAGGTTCTAATAACACATCTGTCATGTGTTCAACGCTGGCATAAATTGAATAGTTCTCTTTTAGTACATGCACTCAGGGTTAATCCTCCTTAAGGTTTGTCTTGTTCTGCACACAAAGAAAGTGATTGTAGAAAACTAAATTTCCCACCATGACACATACCTAGATTTTACAGGCCCTAGAAATATATTACAGTCCACACAATCATCTATATTAATGGCTGCTATGTAGTCAAACACATAGATATTACAGTTCTAAAAAGAAAACAAAAATATATTGAGTAATAAATAATATATGAATTTAATATACACAAAATGTAGCTTAAATTTATGGGGGTTTTGAAGACAAAAAAAAATTAATTAAAATTTAGGACTTTAAGGCCTAGCTTAAAAAGACTTAAAGCCTATCATCAATTTTGATCATACATTTAAGAAAAAGAAAGTAATCTAGGAAAAAAATCTTCAGAAATAAGGAAGTTTTTATTGCAGAGTTTGGAAATTTTTCATACAATATCCTTAAATGATTACCATCTATAATATTTATTTGTATAAAGAACTGTCTCAGACATATACCAGTTTCCCTATAAACAATAAAATAGGCCCACGGGTAACAACGCTCACATGAGTAACTTTGGCCATGCTGTTCATCAACAGATTCACCCCTTGTAATACATATAGTGGCCCAGCCCTATGCCTGGGGTCATGATTTGAACAATATGGAATTTACAGCACCCCAGGATGCTTCCACATAAGTTTCAGCCTTTTTGGCCCAGTGTTCTTGAGAGGAAGGTTTTCTTTCTCCTATATATTTCAATGTGTATAATGTGGATTTGCTATTGTGGCTCCACCCCACCCCCAGGAGGTCATGATTTAAACAATTTAGAATCTACACTACCCCACTACCTGAGGATAATTATGGCTTTGACATTCATTTTTAAAGAATTTTCCTATATATTTCTATGTAAAACTTTGTTTCACCCCTGGGGGTAATGATTTGAACAAACTTGAATCTACAATACCTGGTCCCATAAATATGGAATTATGGCTTTGTCATTCTTGAGAAGAAGATTTTTAAAGAATTTTCCTATATATTTCTATGTAAAACTTTGGTCAGCCATTTTGCTTTTTCCTATATATTTCAAAATAAAACTTTCCTGGACAGTGGTTATTGTTTTTAAAATATGGCCCCACCCCCTTCACCCAAGGATACTTTGTGGCAAGTTTGGTTGAAATTGGCATGAGTTTACAGGATGTGAGAACAATTTAAAATCTAAACTACTACATGTTACTTCCACATAAGTTTCAGCTTTCCTAGCCTTGTGGTTTTTGAGATTTTTTAATGACCCCACCTATTTTCATCTTTTCTTGATTATCTTTCCTTGGAAGACGGATATTGGCCTTTCATTTAAATATTTAAACTGCCCTTCACCCAGGGATGCTTTGTACAAAGTTTGGTAAAAACTGGCCGCGTAGTTCTTGAGAAGAAGTTAAAAATGTGAAAAGATTTCAGACAAATGGACAAACAGATGAACAGACGCATGGATGACGGACAATAGCGGATCAGAAAAGCTCATTTGAGCATTCAGCTCAGGTGAGCCCACAATGCTAGTTTGAGAGCTGAGTGACCAATACCACCTAGATGAACATGAATACCTTGCAGTTTTGGATGACAAACTGTTGTCCATTGACCTGGCCTGGTACCCTCCCTAAGGTGGAATCTGACTGGTTCTCTATCATATAGTCCTTCACATTTATCTCCCTTCTCTTGTCCCTAAAAATAAATCAGGCTCCATTGATTTAATTCAAGCACATCAATGTACAGTGATGAACATACATCTGCTTACTCAAAACAGGACCTGAGAGATATCAATAACATTTCATGCATTCATTTAAAATACTAGTACATGTATTAGGATTTCTTTGTTTATATGAGGATGAATGGCAGTTCAAACATTTTTGGACTGTAAAATTCTTTTGCAATCTACCTTGATATATGTGGATGAATGTTGCAACACATTGAGGGTATAAAGTCAATGAAACAAAATGTATAAATTAAAGCAAAAAAATTTCAAAGGGGAAAGTGGAACTGGCATGCCAGTGCTAATTTTGCCTTTGATTGTTTTTTTATAAGAATATAAAATGGAGGTTAAATTTATATAACATAAAGAAACTAGAGACAACATAATACTAGTACTCTTCTGTACCTGGCTTTCTTAATACGTGCCCTCAATCTTTCACAGTAAATGTTCAAACAGTTCATAATATGCAGCCAAATTGATTCAAGCAATGATTTTCATTGTTTAATAACGCAGCATAGAAAACCTGGTCCATTCAATTTTGTCACTAAGGTGTGTGAAAATTATTGACTGCCTTTAGCGACATATTTCACGAAAATCTTCAATCAGAATATGACGTACAAGAAGCATCCTGGTATGGATTTTTCAGGTCCATAAATTGAATTCCAGAAAATACATCATAATGTCACAATCATATAAGTGCACTTCCTGATAATCATAACAAATCCATTCTTTTAATTAAAAAAAAAATATCACTACAAATTAATATAACAGAAATATTTCCTCTCCAACTCATTACATCTTACACCATCAACTGCCCACATGGCTAAAAACAGAAAAATTCCAGGAAATATCACAAAGTTCAAAACTGAAGTCCATTCAGTTTAATCATAATTTTGGGTGTCTCATTACAACGAAATCAACCGAAACATTCCAATATACTTGTTTCACCATCAGTATGGAATGTTCATCGGTTCACCATAGAAATTAATCTAGCATGGGAGATTGTGTTATCCACAACAATCTCACACAGAAGTCTGCTGTCACATCTAATATTGATCCCGAGATCAAAGTCTAATCAATGAATGAGCATTTGATGATCAGAATAGAAAAGATACACGGCTCTTTCTCCCCCTCTCTCGCTGATTATACCTGTAAACCTGTTATCACTAGGGGCATGAAATATTTATAAATTATTGACATTAAGGAAATTGGTAGGGGAACGGCAGCTTTAAATTACCAAGAAAACAAAATTGCCATAATAGGAAGGAACACATCATGTTTTATGCAAATAAAATTTCACCAGCATTCAATATTGAACAAAGCGACATTGTCAAAAGTTGATCAAAACTAATTACCGTTGTCAATATTTTAGCTACTAACTTTGAAATTATATCACAATTTACTATTCCAGTATCTGTATTTAGCATCAATTATATAACAAATAGCTCATTAAACAAAATTATGCAATGCACTAAAGAGCACAAAAGCGAAGGTATAAATTTGAATTTATGGCCATTATTAAATATAAACTTTCAAAAAGAGAGGAGGAGGTTTAACCAAGAAGCCCTAGTGATCATTAACATCCCAAGAAATATACTGTAAACCAATTATTATACGCGTCATTTTTTATTCGCGACTGACCGCCAGAGAACTTATCCGCGACGATTTATTTCCGCGAACGAGTGGTCACATTCTTTTTATTTCCACGAGTATTTTTGAATCAAATAAAAAATTTATATCCGCCCATAAACTAGGTAAAATGGTAGCGTGAGGTCTGCTTACGCATTATTCAAAACATTCTGTGCATTCATACGCATTTTCACAACGCTCAAACGAAAATCGGGGAAAAATCTAGGAGATTAAAATTGATTTAAAACTCAATTGTAAAAGTGCCTCATGCTAATTGGGTAATTAAATCGACGCTTTTTAAGATCTACACGGCCAAGGGGCAATTATTATAAATGGTTGGGACAGAGCAGGACTGGGCCATAATTAGCCGTAATTAACCAGGCTATCTCTGACTCGTCTGTAACAATAAATGAACAATAATAACACAAGCTGAAATGATTATTGACATTTTAATCATTTTTAAACAAATAGTTTTAGATTTGCCATTCGTTTTTATTTTTTTTTTTTATGTTTGTAATTAAATTTCAACTGCTTCTTGTACACTAACAGTAAAGTTCTTCCGTGATTACTTGTTGAACCGTCGGGATCGGTATTGAAAAACGGGCAAATAACTCTAAATAAATCATGATATGGGAATATAATGAACAACTGGTTCGCGACGATAAATATCCGCGAGCAGAGGTTACTCGCGGAACTCGCGGATATTTATCGCACGCGTATAATACTTGGTTTACAGTAGATACTCGAAAATAAAACCACTTTTCGTAGCCATGATTTCAACAATTTGATTCCACAGTTTACTGAGATTATAATGAAGATAATGGACAGTGGTCAAGTTCAAAAATCCATTCAAACAATGTACATATAAATGGTGAACAAAGCCAATAGGAACTTTACTTATTGTATTGCAGCCTAGAAATGTTCATTTCCATGAAAACCCTCTACCCTTTTCATGACTCCATCCTAGCCCTAGGGGGATAACTGTTGTTTGTGGGTGGGGGTAAAAGACAAATTAAGCTCCCTAACTTCAAAAGTTCATTTAAAATATTTTACCCGGTAATCTAGTCTGAGGAAAATTGTCCCAGCATACTTGAGGTACATTTGAGGCATATAGTGGCAGTCTTAGAAATCCACGGAATTTTCTACCAACAGATTGAACTGAAAATTGTGATAAATTCACAGAATTTTGACCCTGTGGAAAAAAGTACCTAACATTTACAGTTAGTCAAGGAAAAGATTATTAGCTTCAGAAGGAACCTGTAAAGGAATATTACAAATATAAAATGTCCTTGTGAAAATTCACAATGCAAATTCCCAAACAATTTCCTTACAGACTTCCTATTTCTACGAGGGTTGTTCGAAAAGTTCGTGGACGATGTCCATCTTTGTTATATTACTCACTGGAAATTCAAAACAAGCACATTATAATATGTAAAAATATTTGTTTTGTTGATTTGTAAAGTTTCATTCCATTCGATTTAACACAAATAAATTTACTTCATTTTAAAATCAACATGTTTTGTACCCGCGGAGCACAGAAAACGGCACTGTTACGTCAACACATAGCGTCGAGAATTTATAATAGATACTATACCTATACATTTCACACAGAATATTCCAATGCCCATTCATTAAATTCTTTTTCTAATACTTGACATTTATTTTTTTAAGAATTGAACTCATTGTATAATTTCCTTTGTTAAGGTTTTAATTTATTTTAGTACTTAACTCTGCCTTTACAGGATAAGCAACTCTGAAGCGCCTTTGTCTTTCATTTACGTTTCAAATTTTAAAGTTTTGTTCAGATGTTTACAGTAAAACCGTCATCCTCATCTGATACAGAGTCTCTGTCTCTTAAATATTGCATGTACTATTTGTACACACATGCACAACTCGCCTGTTACATATTTTCTTGATTCCTTCAACGTTTTTAGACTTTATTCGGGATTTTTCCTGAGAAAAACACAAAATTGCTTCGGTATCTGCTGCCCCGTGACGTTCTAAAACGTCATCGTTTTTGTCATTTTCAATAAGGAGTACTTATCTTCTCAAGTTGATTTCTTTTCAACAAAACAAAATATAAAACCATAATTTGGTACACGTATCAATGTAACAATTCTTAATTTGAATTTCTAGGTTGTTTTTCGTTTTTCCTACATTTTACAGAGAATATGACTAGAAACATTTATTGTATTTTCTGTAACTGACTAAATTTTGACCTGCTCCGCGATCCGATTTTTGCATTTTTAAAATCTGGATAAGTTTTTAATCAATAGTAATATTTTGTCAAATCTAATACATATCATTTGGATTTATTGTTAATATATTTCTACCAAATTTGGATAACATATGACGTCAAATAAAAAAGATATGACAGTTGTCCACGAACTTTTCAAACAACCCTCGTATGTTTATAAATACAAAGTCAGACTCTCAATTCTGAATCTTTTCATAAAACATACGAACTCACCTTCTCATTTCATGGAAATGACACATAGGTCATTTATTTCTGTAGTGTACTTCTAACTTTGAGGAGAATTTGGCCATTCAGATTTGACTCCAGTCTACACTTAAATTGAGAGGGGTGAGGTTATACCGGTACTTCTATCTACAAACTTACGATGTGAACCACACAGATAGTCTGATGACAAGGAAGATGGGGCTTCTTTTCAAGTGGTTTTAGAGCCATCATAACTACCACCACTTAACCAGTCTGTAACAATCCAAGCCTGTTAGGGTAATTCAGAATACTACAGAAATTTGCGTAAAAATGAAAGTACTTTGAAGTTTATATTATCAATGACGATTTTACAAGATAAATTTTATAATATTGATCTGCACTCTTAATTAGCAGTGAGAGTGGGTATACACATTAGGATAGAAAAAGTAATTACGAGATGGCACGTTTTTCTCTTTACTTTTAAAAATTGATTTTTAAAAAACAATGTCTGGAATTGCCTCTCGCCTCATCAAAATGACCTCAACAGAAAAAAAAATTTGAACAAAAATAAGAAATGTCTCTTTTTCTGCAATGAATTTTTACATCTCTAATGCAAAAACTGGGTTCTTGGTTCATTGATATATCTTTTACAACAAGAGGTCCATGATTCACAATGCTCACCTGAGTAACTTTGGTCATGCTATTCTTCACCAGATTTTCCCCTTTGTTTTACCTACTGTGGCCCCATCCTACCACTGGGGGTCATGATCTGAACAATTTAGAATCTACACTATTCCAGGATGCTTCCAAATAAGTTTCAGCTTTACTGACCCAGTCCACCATATTAAACTTCCCTTCACCCAAGGATCTTTATAACTTTTAGTGTGGTTAAAACTTAAAATTGGCAAGTTCTTTAGGATATGTTGAAAGTGTGAAAAAAATTACAGATGTACAATGAACAATGGGTGATCAGAAAAGCTCACTTGCGCTTTCAACTAGAAGCTCGGGAAAAAATGTCTTCACAGCTGATTGATATTTTTATCAAGAGTTTTTAGTTTTACTTCAGTGTTGGGGGATGGGGGCCACCGGTGGTCAGTTCCTTCCCCTCCAATGGGACTGGAATCTACCAAGCAAAAATTCTGAGCAAATGATTTTTCAAGATGTCCAAATCAAACATCCATGATAGTTCTGCCAATACAAACTAATACTGAAATTAATTTTATTAAAGTCATAAAATTGAAACAAGATACTTCATCATGTCATGATGCAGAGAAAAACTAGAAAATTATGTCTGTAACTGGAGGACAGAACACTCCTATTAGAAATAAGAACTTTGCAGAAAATCATTTACAAAGCATCATATAGATTAAAAACTCTTGCTGTGTTACCATGGATACAGACTTCCAATAAGATATGTAGAATATTACCATAATTACTCCCTACCAATAAATATAAGAACATGTCTTGCAACTTTGATGTTATTTCGTACATTTCTTATACAAATGTCATTTATGTGTTATAATACAATTGATTTCCAGCAAGTAGTAAAATTTCTTTGAGCTATTATAAGTTTCATGCAAATAATGGAACAATAAATCAATTAAAAGTACCACCAGTAGGTAATGCCATGACATGTGATAAAACAAGCAAAATCAAAGAATTGTGGTGCCCCGCTCTCGGTGTCTTTGTGGGTGAGATGTCATTTTTTGTGGCACATTGTGTCAAATATGAACACCCTTTCATATGTCATTCTGAAGTTATCACCGAATTTGATTTTTTTGAAGATCTTGAAGGTCAACTTACAAGTTCAAGGGGTCTAAAATCATAGCATGCTCAGAAATATCTTGTCACAGGAAATGCACATGTCAAACATGAAAGCCCTCATAATCTCTTCTCAATCAATTAAAAGTTTTAAGGAAAAATTAACATTTTTGAAAATAAGGGCAAGGGTTGAAAATTACACAAATTATGTTTTATGTCATATTTGCATTGAGAAATTTCTGACTACTGCACATTCATCCTTCAACAGAATTTTCTTCCGCAGTAACTGAATCTGGACCCACAATGCATAACTAAATTACTTGTTAGAAGCTACGTTCCCACAAGAATAGCAAGAAAAGGTCAACAAAAAATAAGCTTGCCTTATCTTAATTGCAATATACTGTAGTAATAAATAAAACAATTTCTTCATTAAACACTGTTCAGATCATGTGGTGTCAGTGTCCATTGTCTAAATGCCCCAAATGCTACATGCTGTATGAAGAGATTTCAGTTTAGAAACCTCAAGGTATCTAAGCTCGCTATAACAGATGTCTGAAAAATCTTCCAGGCTTTTTTTACGATTTTCACACTTTACATGCCAGGAAAATGTCAGAGCTGGCTCCATTACAAATACTGGGAATTTGATCTTCTACAACCGGAGTTGAATTTCTATATTTGCGCAACGAACTAAATGCCGAAATCAGAATTTATCAATGCCACAATGCTTGTAGTACTCATCAATGCAATGAAAAGAAAAACATCACTCCATATTTCAATACAGGTTTTAACAAGATTTTAAAATGCACGAAATGAAAACAAATTTCGACAGTCTGATAAAATCTTTTTATTGGATTGTATATTTTATAAATGAACCATAAAAACAATGTTGGTAAGTACTAAAAGTATTGTACTATTGATATTATATAAGTTTAATTCGGTTCGCAAGTTAAGTAACAAAAATTCACCCAAGAATGCTTCCTTCGTTTGGAGTCTACAAATTCCCAGTTTACGTAATGGCGCCGGTTTTGACGTTTTCCTGGTAGGTAAAATATCAAAATCTTTTTAAAAAAGGCTGGAAAACGTCAGAGATTTTGGACTAGCCATTATGGCTGTGCACCATCAATATAATAAATCTTGGCCTATATGGCTATTTCATGCTATAGTAAATATACATTTAGCATTTAGAGATTATGCGGGGCCTGGAGATTACTATTTAATGCTAAAAATTATGCCTATCAATGCATTTTTGCGTTAGGCTACAAGTGTATTTATTCTTGCTCTGAAATAGTGCAAAAATAGTTTTGATGCAATCAGAGTTCCCTGTGCTCTATTGTTGTTTACGCTCGATACCGGTGTAAACTTACCATGAATACTGTTTGGGTGGCTCTTCCACGAGTTCCTCATGGTGATGGGCTCGGCCAAACCCGAGCTTTGTCAGCAAACAACCCATTCTAACTTACACTGAACATAGAATTCAGAAAAAAGTATGAGAGGTTCAGAAAAATGAGAAATATTAAACAGGTAAATTCAGGTAAAATTTGACGGAAGTTTACAAATAAGAATTACGATCCCGATGTTAAATAATGCAGATAATAGACCATATGGTTTCAGGAATGTGTATTTTGCGTTTTCTATGTCCGTTTACATAAACTCACAGTTAAAATAAAGAACAGCTCAAATTAGCATTTTAAACAAATAAATTTCTTATTACACAATACACCCCCCCAAAAACTTTAAAAGGGTGAAGAACAATATCAAAAAAATTATCAATAGCCAGAGATCACATATTTGACCCCCTCCCCTTCAGATTCTTGTCTTCTATCATTTTTAGGATTGTGTCCAAGAAATTGATGCTGGTTACATACACACACACCCTCACACACACACCCTCACCCTCACACACACTCTCTCTCTCTCTCTCTCTCAAGGTCATCGCACAACCAGATGGGTGAACTTTGAGACAAACTGAGTCAGAGGGAAGAAAAAATATGTTCCAGACAAGAGATATCAGATTGGCACACATACAGAATGGATTGATAACTTCAGATCAATGAAGAAACGACGCTCTAAAAATTTGTAAAAAAAATTGTAAATATTGGTCCATGATCCCATTTTATTACTTACAAAGAAGATATACCGCTATACTTATTGCGCTAGCTACTGAAAGGGAGTAAGTTCCAAATCTGCACTAGATTTCATGTACTTTGGACAAGACTTATAATTATACACTTATACTTTATTCTCTTTTCCCAAGTGAGATTTTTTTTGCCCCAACTTGCTATAATTATCAAATGGAGGTATTGTGAAGTTAAGAACAACTTCGAATACTTTTCCGTGTCGCGTTAATGTATACTTTACATGTATTGCGTTTGTTTTATGTGAATTACTTACAAAATTAAACTTATTCACATTTATAACCAAGTATTTTAAAATTGTATTTCCCAATTAATTACAACAAATTAACCGTGATGGAACTTAATCAATATTTTATATGATAGAACTTATTCAGCATTATATCTGTAATCACCGAAGCTTTTCGTAACTGGTGCATGGGATGCATCACATCCTAGTCCCTTCCAATACTAGTACCGTCCTCGCGATATCTTGGACCATAATTGGGGATGAAAAACTTAGAATCTTCCCATATTTGAGTCTTCTCCTCAAAAATGCAGGCTTGAGGACTACATTACTTTTACTGAGTATTTTAACGGGGGAATTCAAAAGCAACGTTTCCGTATATGATTTTTAAAGTGTTCAACTCGAAAAAATAAAATATGAGATAGGGATGTAAATAATGATTCCAACAGATAAGATATTATTTGATGAACCGTGTTTCATTTTTGCGGTATTTCCACTAAACGTGGAAGGAAGATCTTAAATGTGTTCAACACTACATTTTCCGAAACTGCAATGTGTCTTTAGTTTCTAAGCGTTATATGCATACTCTTTTTACAATCGTTACTACTATCTGCTAATTCCCTTGATATAATTAATACAGAGGTAGATATTCTTTAATCTGTAATACATAAGTGAATCAAAAAAAAATTCAAATGATATTTTGTTTATTTAAAAAATAGCCATATACTATAATATCGAACATTCTTGAGTATGTCAAAAAATAAAATAAAATAAATATATCAAAACGTGTACTATACAAAACTTGTGATATACTTAAAATATGTAGTTCCTCACTGAACCGTAAGTCCCCCCCCCCGAACTTGATAAAGTTTTAAATAATGTATATGATATGAATTTTAAAGCGTTATTTGATTTTGAAAGTTAAGTTTTATCCGTTTTAAACTTTGTTTGTATTCTTGAAAAGATATTCTATCAATAACATGCATGACACAGAGAAAAACCATTCCATGAAGTAGAACTATATATAGAACAGCTATACATCAGCCATATAATTATTGATAATTTCGGAAGCCCGACTGTATCATAATCCATTGAAGTGAGGTCTGTATTAACAAGAACTTAAAATAAGTGATATGCTTGCATATAATCATTTAGTTTTGCAGGCTAAATGGAAGACGAAAGAGTTGACAAACATCTACTAGGGCTTTTCGGAAAGTTGTATCGAACAAACCAAACATAAATGGATTAATGGTGTAACTAAAGAGATAGCTACGGCGGAGAAGTAGAATGACATTAAATCCGAAGTCTGAAGAAATGTCACCAATGACTTCCGAATCAATAGCTTCCAGTACCATGATGATGATTGGTGGTATAAAAGATACAAAGGTCACAAAAGATATGGAGACAAACATATAATAATATCGGAACACAAATATTCCCAATCTTGACCGCGCCTTTTTGACCTCTGACACGGTGTATTTTCTTTTTCCAGCCTCTGATTGGCTTCTTTTTGGAGGAACTCCGTTTTTCTCGGTAAACTTCTGTAATATAGCATCGGAAGACTCATCCAGGGGCGCCTGGAGCCTGTTCTGTAGATTACTGTCTGATTTGGAATACTTCAACAAAGAATTATAATGTAAACTGTCATAGGAGGTGGACATTGCGTTCTTCTGAGGCGGCTGTATGTTTGAATGGATTCTTTTACCAATGAGGGTGTAGATGACACTGATGCTTATTACGATCCCGAGGAACAACAGAGCAACAAGAGCTAAATATGCGTGTAGGCCATTTTGGGCGTGGTCACTGTTAGTTGTTAGCTCACAATGAAATTCTGTAATGTTGTTGTATTTAGGTTTCTTGATTTGTTGTATGCCATAAAATAACAGCGTAGGAAACGAGAATATCGCACTCACAATGATCGATATCATGATTGCTAATCGCTTCCAAAGCAAAGAGAATCGATTCCTTCTTTTCGTACAAATCTTCTTGTATCGTTGCATCGATATTATCAGCAACATGGTCAACGATTCAACACAAGTCAATCGTGTGACGAAATTGAGACCCTTGCACAACGACGCTGACGTAAACATGGCTGGAATCGAATTCATCGTCACTGACATGACCGAAGCAGATATACACGCCAACATGTTTGTGATCGCAAGGCATGGTATGAAATAACGATCATCTCTTTTGTTTTTCATTCGAAAATGATAAGTCAAGATCACAATCGAGTTCCCGATAACGCCGATACTCAACAATATTGATACCAATACTGTGTTGATTTGATACTTGTGAGCAAGAAAATGATTCAAATCCTCTGTTGATTGAAATCGGTCACTAGTGGTTTGGTTGAGCCACTCCATCTTGTTGTATTCTTTAAAATGAAAAAAAAGTGAAGTTAATCCAGGAAAACGTTTAGAGTACTTTCAATAACTCTGTGTTTGTTTTGGAGTGTTGATATTTTTTTTTTCAAACTTCGAGTTTTACTGGAGTGGATTGAGTACTTCCTTATACAGATATAGTGCCTACTATCAACCCGGAAGATGAAGAAGGGTCAGATTTTCCATAAAAGAAATATGTTGATTATCAAAATTAAAATAATTCTAGGAAGATAAAAATATTGCCAAAATGGAAAGAAATAGACACATGAAGGATATTGATAAAAATTAAATCTGATATAAATTGCAAAATATAGAAGCTTAATTCAAGCATAATCCTGATATTAGAAAAAATCAAATTTAAGTGCAAACATGAGTGGCTGGGTTCCTTACTATACTGAACAAATCAATCGCAAATGAAAACAAAAACATTTCTGTAAAAAGAATTCGATAATCTTCCATTTGTATTTTATAATTTTTCAATTTATATAATAAAAAAGTTATTTGATTTGTATATTTTTTTATTTGTATATATATGCATTGTTACAACGCACTTTGAAAAATTACGCACTTTGAAAAAATTTTTCAAAGTGCTTTAAATTTGGGACCAAAGGAATGGGGTGCGTCCAGAATATAATTCCGATCGACCTGTATCCATTACCGCAAAGCTGACTGACCGTAGTAAAATCAACACAATTCTTAATGCCCAAAAGCTAAAGAAAATTGCTAAACAACCATTGCCTTTCTTTATTACAACGCAGCAACCTGCATCTATTGTTTCCGCTCGAAACAAGGTGTTTGATACGGCAGATAGTTTGCGCAGCCAAAACATCACTGTTAAGATTCAAAAGAATCAGGTCATCTTGCCCAACGGCTCCACATATAAAGATGACGTACCATTTCTCACAAATGCAGATGCTTTATTGGTAACACCTGAAGAGACAGAACACCTAGACTCGGTTGAAATAAAAAACTCGGACCCAATCAAAAAGGACGGTTCGGAATTTATGGCTTTCGGTGCTCGAGTTAAAAATGTGGATGATGTGAAGAAGATGTACAGCAAAGTCCTAATAGATCCCTATGCAGCAAGTGCTGATAACCGAATTTTGGTGTACAGATTATCTACAGAGAACGGTACCGTTCACGAAAATTATCATGACGATTCAGAACACGGGGCTGGGCGTAAGATGCTGCGCTACATGAAAGAAAACAATATAAACAATGCAGCTTTCGTTATCACAAGGTGGATGGGGGATGCCCATATTGGACCCCAGAGATTTTCAATTATGGAACAAGTGATTAATGAAGTCGCCAATTCTTTAGAAATGTGACTTTTCAAACAGTTTAAGACTGACGGTAACTATAATATCAGGTGACCTTTTTGATCTTGTAAATATGTTCATTTTTCATATATAGGCCTAAGTACGAATATTAATGCCGTTTTCCCTTCAAATTCAATACAACGAAAGTTTTTATTAAGAATATTATTTTTGTTTAATATATAAATGGGTAAAGCCGGATTTAAAAGTAGTTTTCAACTTGGAAAATATATTCATACTTTTCCGGATTTAAACGGTGCGTCGATTTACCCAAAAGGACCCAAAAGAACCCAAAAGGACCCAAAAGGAACCCAAAAGGACCCAAAAGGAACCCAAAAGGACCCAAAAGGAAATTAAGAACGACCCAAAAGGACTTGAAATAAAGAGATTAAATGGATATATAATGAATACTTTCATATTTTATTAAAACTAAAACTAGTTTTTTGAGGGTAAAGTGCGTGTTTGGGTTGAGGTGGGAGCCCCCCCCCATCCCCCACCCCCACCCATCCCCGATACCATATGCCTAGAACATGTCATTAAATAAACTTATTTCTTTATTTATCAAATATCATATAATAAGATATAATAAAACAGAAGGAGAAATAGAATAATACAGTGCACTTTGTTAAATTCAGCTAAAAGAAATCAAAGCATATCTGACCAGATTTAATGATTGATGTGTTATAAAAGTCGTATGTTATTTCTTTAAGAAAAGTTGCAACAATATAAATGTATGTTTTTGCCAATTTTTAGGTAAATTTATAATATAATATTCATAATTTAATTCAAATTATTATTTTTCAATGTATCGTAATATATTATATTGAGTTCTTTTGATTTCCTTTTGGGCTCCTTTTGGGTTCCTTTTGGGTCCTTTTGGGTTCCTTTTGGGTCCTTTTGGGTCCTTTTGGGTTCCTTTTGGGTCCTTTTGGGTCCTTTTGGGTAAATCGACGCACCCGATTTAAATGTTTACCCTTTTTGGTTTACTATTTTTTTCTCGAAGCGGCATATCCGATATGATTTGTAAAATGTCTTTGCCCTATCGACTAAATCTCTAACAAGACGTGCACACCTATCACTCTATGATGCATGTGTCTTTATTGCTAAACCATTCTTTAATCTCCTCTTTTATCTTCTCTTCTATCTTTCGCATGTTTAGAGCAACACTTTTTCTGATGGTGAGTAAATATTTGTCCAAGTTTTTTGCACCAGTTCAATTTCATATTTCATGTCTGGGTTTACAGTAGTTTCAGCAAATTGTCAGGGTCTTCATGATTTTAAAAAGAGAAAGGACGTATTCCAATATTATAAGCAATTTCAATGCAATATTCTATGTCTACAAGACACCCATTTTACAAGTGATATGGAGAATGATATTAGAAATGAATGGGGATACGAGGCTTATTTTAATTCATTTTCGTCAAAGTCAAGAGGTGTTGCTATTTTTTTTAATAATAATTTTGAACATAAGGTTCATAATAGAATAGCTGATGACGCGGGAAATCTTTTGGCTTTAGATTTAACAATTGAAAACAAGCGTCTGAGTTTAATTTCAATATATGGACCAAATGAGGACACACCCTCATTTTATGAAAGATTGTCAAATATTGTAAAGGACTTATCAAATCAAGATGTTATTTTGGTAGGAGATTTTAATCTAGTTTTAGACCCAGAAAAAGATTATTTTAATTATCTTCATATTAATAACCCAAAGGCAAGAAGCAAAGTTCTAGAAATCATCTCTGAGTATGATTTCAGTGATATTTTTAGAGAAATGCATCCTGATGAAACAAGATATACTTGGCGTAAACCTTCCCCTTGTAAACAAGCAAGATTAGATTTCTTTCTCATATCAAATTCTTTTTTAAATAGTATTCAAGAAAGTAGAATTTTGAATAGTTATAAATCTGATCACTCACCAATATGCCTAAAGATTAAATTGAATGAGTTTACTCATGGAAAAGGTTTGTGGAAATTTAATAACTCACTTCTTAAAGATATTAAATATATTGAAACGGTCAACAAAGTTATTCAGGAAACAAAGGAAAATTATGCATTACCTATCTATTCTAAAGAATATATCAAAGAAATATCAGATTCAGAAATTCAGTTTACTACGGATGAACAGCTTTTCCTTGAAACACTCCTAATGGAAATTAGAGGCAAGACCATTTCTTATTCTAGTTATGTAAAAAAAAAAGCAATGAGAAAGAAAATCAGTTAATTTCTGAAATCGAAAATTTGGAAAAAGACTACGATAAAAATATTCAAACAATTTATAATAAGAAAAAGGAATTGGAAAATATAAGAGACCATAAACTTATGGGAAATATCATAAGGTCTAGAGTAAAATGGATGAATGAAGGAGAAAAACCTACTAATTACTTTCTAAACCTAGAGAACAGACACTATACAAATAAAATAATCCCTAAATTGATTAAAGATGAATCAATTGATTCAGAAATAACAAATCAGAAAGATATTCTTCTTGAAATCGAAAAATATTATAAAGTACTTTATGAGGCTAATTCTGATATGACAAATGTTGATCTAAATGATGATACTTGGGACATTGCTGCAGAAAAACTTAGTGATACACAAAAGAATAGTCTTGAAGGGGAGATAACTTTAAATGAAGCATTATTAGTTTTGAAAAATATGTCAAATGATAAAAGTCCTGGAAGCGATGGCTTTACAACAGAATTCTTCAAAGTTTTCTGGAAACAGCTGGGAAATTTCATAGTAAGATCAATAAATTATGGTTACCAAAAAGGAGAGCTTTCTGTTACACAAAAACAGGGAATTATCACTTGTATACCTAAAGAAGGAAAAAGTAAATTTTTCATAAAAAATTGGCGCCCAATATCATTATTAAACGTTGTATATAAAATAGGATCTGGCTGTATAGCAAGTAGAATGAAAAATATCTTGAATACAATTATAAGTTCAGACCAGACAGGTTTTGTACCTGGAAGATACATAGGAGAAAATACCAGGTTAATCTATGATCTAATGCATTATACAGAAGAAAAAAATATTCCTGGAATGTTGTTAATGATTGACTTTGAAAAAGCTTTTGACACTGTGTCATGGAATTTTATTGATAAAGCCCTGAAATTCTTTAATTTTGGTCCTTCTTTAAGAAGATGGGTTTCATTATTTCAATGTAATATTGTATCAGCAATTAATCAAGCCGGCCACCTATCTAATTTCTTTAAACTAGGCCGTGGTTGTCGTCAGGGTGATCCAATTTCACCATATATATTTTTACTCTGTGCAGAAATTTTAGCTTTAAAAATAAAAAATAATAAAAATATAAAAGGGATTAAAATTGATGGGGAGGAATACCTAATGTCTCAATATGCAGATGACACATTAGTTATACTAGATGGAACAGAAAAATCCCTAAGAAATTGCATTGAAGAAATAAATCAATTCTATAAATTATCAGGACTTAAAATAAATCTCTCTAAAACACAAATAGTCTGGATAGGAAGCAAAAAATATTCATCTGAAAAACCTCTTAATGAAATGGATTTTCAATGGTCAACACAATTTAAAGTATTGGGTATTTATTTTGATGTTGACTTAAGTAGAGTTCCAAAACTCAACTATGACAAAAAATTGGTCAAAATTAAGAATATAATACTACAGTGGAGTAAAAGACGTACTACCCCCTTGGGTAGGATTTCACTTATAAAATCATTATTAATAGCACAGCTAAACCATCTTTTTATTGCTTTACCTTCACCTTCTGAAAATTTTGTTAAGAATCTAAATAGTGTTCTATTTAATTTTCTTTGGGGATCAAAAGTGGACAAGATAAAAAGAAAACAAATTACTCAAGATTACAAGAGTGGAGGATTGAATATGATTGACTTAAATAACTACATTAAGAGCTTAAAATCATCTTGGATTAAAAAACTACTCAATGGACAGGAGTCTAAATGGAGATCACTTGTTCAAAAAGCTTTTAATATTAAAAAGTTATTTAATACTGGTTCAAATTATATTGAAATAATACTACAAAGTATAACTAATGATTTTTGGAAAGATACTTTAATTGCTTTCAAAAATATAGAAGACAAAATGAAAATAGAATCATGGGAAGATTTTATCTCTCAACCATTATGGTACAATAAAAAACTTAAAATTGACAATAAGCCCATTTTTTACTCCAAATGGTTTATTAATGGTGTAGTTTTTATCTCAGACTTGTTAGATGAAAAGGGAACTTTTCTAGAATTAAAGGATCTACAAGCAAAATTTCATATAGAAACCAACTTTTTAACATATGCAAGTTTACAGAAAGCAGTAAAAAAAGCTATGGCTGTAGAAAAAATAAACAAAGAAAGAGTAAACCCAAGGCCCATCCTACCTTTTTATTTAAAATTATTCTGTCTATGTAAAAAAGGAACAAAAGCTATGTATAATATTCTGAATACAGAACATATACTGCCTGTTTCAAAAGTAAAATGGAGTAAACATTTTGAAATTGAAGATTCCCTATGGGAAATGATATACAAAATTCCTTTTCAATGTACAAAAAGTTCTAAATTGCAATGGCTACAATTCAGAATAAATCAACATATCTTAGTTACAAATAAAATGTTATATAAAATAGGTTTGAAGGATACTAAACTATGTAGCTTCTGTGAGACATGTGAGGAAACAATTTTTCATATTATGTGGGAATGCCAGAAGGTTCAGGAGCTTTTACATAGTTTTACCATTCTTTGTGAAGCTCATAATATAGACTTTCCAAAAGGTAGTTGTAATTTCATATTTGGGAATCCAAAACCCAACAATACTGAATTAAATACAATATTTTTATGTATTAAATCATTTATATACAGAACTAAATGTCGGAATGAGGTTTTAAGATTACAAGCGTTACGTGGAGATATTAAAACATTGCTATCTACGATGAAATATAGTGCAACAAAAAGTAATCAAATTAATGAATTTAATGATAAATGGAAAGACTGGCTTCTACTCATGTAAGACCCTGAAACCAGACACCTAAAGATTTCTTGCAATGCTTGGACATACATAGACCACTATTTTATTTCTATGAACATGCTTTTCTGTTCTTCTTTCACCTTTTCTCACCTCTCTCTCTCTCTTTTCTTCTTCTTCTTCTTTCCTCCTCTCAATCTCAATTGTCATTATTATATTTTTTTTGTATTTATTTACTATATGTATTAATGATGTTTTGATGTTAATAAGATATTATAAACATGTATAC